ACTGTCTACAGTGGCTGGAGTTGGGTCAGGGCTGGAGCCAGGAACTGAGAACATAATCTAGGTCTCCCATGTGGATAACAGGAATCCAACTACGTATGCCATCACTGCTGCCTCCCAAGGTCTAAATAAGCAGAAAGCTAGAGTCAGGAAGAACTGGAGCTGGACACTGAATCCAGGCACTCTGATATGAGACATGGGTGTCTTAAACAAAATCTTAACCACTAGAGCAAATGCTCACCACTCAACGAGTATTTCTTCATCACAAAAGTTGGTTTTGGTGACATACTTTAAAATATTTTGAAATATTGCTATTACAGTAGGACACTTAGTTAATAAGCTATTTTCTGTCATCTTAGTAGTATTGACTTTCCAAACTCCTAAAACTTGAACAAAGACATTGGTTTAACACCATCCACTGAAGAAGAGTATGTCTATATTTGTTATCTTAAGCCTGGCAGCTTGCAGAATAGGGCTAATTTTCCAGGTGTTACCAGCTCAACTACAAAAGGATGCTTCTTCAGTCTGCTGCTACTGGTGATGAAGCTAATCTCAAGTCTTGGTGAGGATCAGAGGCAAAGGCCCCAAATACTCTGCCCAATTTATTGCCTAATCTCCTTTACAACTTATTGGCTGCTTTGATTTGGCATCTCACATAGAACTACTTCAAGGAGGTCTGGCAAGAAAAGGAAAAATCAGGGTGGCATTATGGCATAGCGGGTAAAGCTGCTGCCTACAATGCCATTACCATGTCTTGTGTACCGGCTGCTCCACTTTCCATGCAGCTCCCTCCCTGTTAATGGCATAGGAAAAGCAGTGGAAGATGGCCCATGTGTGGGCCCCTGCCTACATGAGAGACCTGGAAGAAGCTCCTGGCTTTGGCCTGATCTGCCCTGGGTGTTGTGGCCATCTGGGGAGTGAACTAGTAGGTAGAAGATCTCTCTCTCTCCAACTCTTTCAAATAATAAATCTTTAAAAAAGAAAAAGAAAAAACCATATTTACTTTTACTCCCTACTGTATCCTCTGGCACTGTGTATAAGGCCACTGTCTGGTTTATAATTATCAAATAAATGACTAGCATTTTCTAGGCATAGCAAAAGTGACAAACAAAGCAAAAGGGCCAACGCTCTATGTTTAAAAATAATAGCATGTTCATAACTGTCCCTCAGAACTTTTTGATCCTAATGACAACCACTAAACACCATAATTACACGACAGATGATGAAAATAACTAGAATAAGTGGGGGTGATCTATCCTCACACTTTGGTCAAAATGCCTTCTCCTTAGTTTATGAAGATTCTGCTGCTGCTGACCTCAAAACTCAAATCCTTCCCATTACCAGGACAATGAATTGCTATTGTCCACGTAATGACTTTGCATGATTAACTGGCATAATGAAAAACTATCTTAAACACTCCCATAGATGAACCAGAAATTGCTAAGATGTAACATAGATACACTCGACTTGGTGAGCAGAGCCAGTAGTAAATATGCTTGACCTGTTTTTTTTCTCCCTGACATGAGCACTAGGGCCTGTCAGTCATACAGTCAGCCCCCTGAATTCACAGGCTTCACATCGGTAGATTTAACCAACTGCAGAACAAAAGTACTTGCAAAGCGTAGGCATTTTGGCACAGCCCCACATCCCATATCAGAATGTCTGGGTTCAAGTTCTGGCTCCTCTTCTGATTCTAGCTTCCTGTTAAATTGCACTCTGGGAGACAGCAGGTGATGGTTCCAGCAATTGTGTCTTCACCGCCCATGTGAGAAACCCCTATTGAGTTCCCAACTTCTGGCTTTGCCAAGATCCAGTTGTTGCAGGCATTTGAGAGTGAACCAATAAATGGGAGATCTCTGCCTTTCAAATAAGAAATCATGACTGCGGGGGCCAGCGCTGTGACATTGCCAGTAAAGCCGCCGACTGCAGTGCTGACATCCCACATGGGCGCCGGTTTGAGTCCCAGGTGCTCCTCTTCTGATCCAGGGAAAGCGGTAGAAGATGGTCCAAGTCCTTGGGCCCCAGCACCCGTGTGGGAGACCTGGAAGAAGCTCCTGGCTCCTGGCTTCAGATAGACACAGCTCTGGCCGTTGTGGTCATCTGGGGAGTGAACCAGCAGATGGAAGACCTCTCTCTCTCTGCCTCTACGTAACACCTTCCAAATAAATAAATCTTTTTTAAAAAAATTACTGCAATGAACATGTACAACTTCACACACACACACACACACACTCAATAATGTAACACAGCATTTATGTTTATTAGGTATTATAAGCAATCTAGAGATAATTTAAGGTAAACAGGAGGATGTGCATGAGTTGTGAGCAAATAAGCCATTTTATAGGAGGAATTTGAGCATTTGAAGATTTTGGTATCTTTGGGGATTCTGGAACCAATTCTTCTCAGACACTGAGGAATATGTCTAGTTTATAACTGTCATCTGCTACTACAATAGTGCTAATTTCTTTTTTCTTTCTAAAGAATGCATTGCTTTTTTCTTTAAAGATTTATTTATTTATTTGATACATTAGCTGAACCTCAATTTAAAAAGTATCATTAGAGATATACTTTGAGTAAAATTTTCTTAACATAACTGCTTACTCTAGAGTTTTGTTAGTGAATTTCTTTAAAATGGCAAATTTTAAGCTTCTGTGGGGCTAATTCTACTCATCTGAACCTTCCCAAAGAAACCAGAGGATGTCTCTGCATCAGAGATAGCCACCTCTTACAAAATGGCCAGGGGCTGGCTGCAGGGCACAATGTGTAGTTACTAGTCTCTGATCTAATTTTCAGGGTTTTATTATGGATTGACTACACAACACTTGCCCTCTAAAAGGGTTTATGTAGGCAGAAAAACAATTAGAAGCTAAAGTAACTACTATGATTAGAGAGCTATTTATTAAGATCAACTTCCGGTTGACCCTGTGTAACTGTTACCTAACAACAGGTATTACATATCTTGTGTCAACCATTGTTCTACCTGAGTTAACTTTGAATGTTAGCATTCTCTCCATTTTACAACTAGAGTTTATATAGCTACAAAGGAAAGAAGATAAAGCATTCTGAACTGCCATGGGTCAGTAAGAAAATATGTGACTATTCAGTTGCTTATTAAGTAAGGGAGATGAATATGCATACTCAAAATGTCAATCTTGAAACCATGCTATATTTAATCGTTTTGTTTTTTTTTTTAATTTTTATTTGACAGGTAGAGTTATAGACAGTCAGAGAGAGAGACAGAGAGAAAGGTCTTCCTTCCATTGGTTCACTCCCCAAATGGCCGCAACGGCAGCTGCTGTGCTGGTCCGAAGCCAGGAGCCAGGTGCTTCCTCCTGGTCTCCCACGTGGGTGCAGGGGTCCAAGCACTTGGGCCATCCTCCATTGCCCTCCTGGAGGAAGAGGAGCAACCGGGACTAGAACCGGGCACCTATATGGGATGCCGGCGCCGCAGGCAGAGGATTAACCAAGTGAGCCACAGTGCCGGCCCCTCATCTGTTTTTGATAAAAAATTTCCTACCAATGTTAAGTATTTCTGTGTTCTGTATCGTTCCAATTTTAGTATATGTGCTGCCGAAGCGAGCACAAGTATTTCTGTGTTCTTATATATAGCCTGTACTTTTCATGCGTTTGTATCTCTTGTTCCCTTTTCCTCTTCTGGCTTTATTGAAATTCTGCTCAATTTCAGGCATGGAAAGCCAAGACACTGTGGCAAAAAATGATCTACATGAAAGATCTCAAAGATCCCGGTGGAAAGAAGGGGCCATCAAAGAAGGAGGTACCTTTCTCTAAAGGGAGGAGAGAACTTCCACTTTGATTATGGCCTTGTCTAAATACTAATGGAGTTTGTGGACTCAAGAGGTTTCCATAGCCTTGGCAGCTCATGACAAGAGCCTAGGGTGATCACTGATATAATAAATAAGAGTGTCAATTGTTAAATCAACAAAAGGAGTCACTGTGCACTTGCTCCCCATGTAGGACCTCTGTCCTTAATGAGTTGTACTATGATAATTAACAGTAAAATTTGTCTTCAAACAGTACTTTATACTTTGTGTGTCTGTGTGGGTGCAAACTGTTGAAATCTTAGAGTTGATCTTCTGTATATAAAGATATTTGAAAATGAATCTTAATGAATAATGGGATGGGAGAGGGAGTAGGAGGTGGGATGGGAGTGGGGGTAGGAGGGTGGGTATGGGGTAAGAACTGCTATAATCCAAAAGTTTTACTTATGAAATTTATATTTATTAAATAAAAGCTTTCTATAAAAAAAATTCTGCTCATCCTTCCAAGTGCAGTTCAAAATTCAAGTGTTTTCTGAAAGTATTTCGGAATATATATATATATTTCACTACCAAGTGATATATATATATCATATGTGTGTGTGTGTATATATATATATACACACAAATATATATTTCACTACCAAGATATACAACTAAGAAGAAAACCTATGAAAACCTAAGAAAAAAACACCGAGGGTTAGGGAAGGAGGGAAGGTCTATAGGAATACCTTGACAAAAAGAATCTTAAATGTAGCAGAGTTACATAGACAAACATGAACCAAGAACATTAACTCTGGTCAGGTGTATCCGCAGTGAGCTCAGTGAAAACAGCATTGTGGTAGGGAAAGAAAAGGGTGAGGAAAATGCAAAGGAAGAATAGAGGAGGGTTGATCACTCTTTCAGAAATAAGGAAGGACTCTTTAAAAAAATCTGATAGTAACTAAAGGGACAGAGAGCTGTTGAAGGAAAAGCTTCATTTTTATTTTTTCAATTTTTTGTTTAGCTTTTCAAACAGAATCAAGGCAATTTTGGCTTTCATATTAAGCGCTATGGAAACAAAGTACTTCAAGATGGAACACAGGGAAAACTGGTGGTTCCACATCAGAGGTACCATGTGCTATGTCTCAAGATTTACCTAGGTTTCAATTATCTTCAGCTTTTGGTAGGCATTTTCTTGTGGTATCTAATTCAGGTATTGCAGAATCAAATGAATACATAAAACAGTAATAGTTCATGATATTTATTACTGGGGTTGTTTACAGAAAATCCTTTATCCCACTGTGAATTAAGCATAAGAATAGTAGTTTGTCTCATATGACTTCCTTTTAGAACTTTTATTTTAAAAAAAATCATAAAACTATCTGAGTCTGGGAAGGTATTAGTATCAATTTTTTAAAAAATAAGGAAGGTTGGAGAGGATTTTGCTGTATCCTTTAGTAACTCCGACCAAACAAGGTGTAGAACTTGGCAGGGTTCTTGCCACAGATGCATTTGGCTCCAGGCTGCAGCTCACGAAGTGGTTTGAAGGGGATGCAAAGACTTTTTGCTCCCATGGATGGAGCACCAGGTTCAAGATCTTGATCCCTGAAATTAAAACAAATTAAGAATTTGTTTTATACTGTATATTGCTATTACTTTCCATTGCAGCAAAGCACATGTTTTATTTGTACTTATGCTTACCTGGCAGTGGTCTTTTTAATCCAGTCTTCACAGTCAATTTCCCCACAGAATGGAATCTGAGCAATCTAATAAGAGAAAACATTCAGTATTCATAGCTCTTTTTTAGTCTATTCTATGAAAGCAACATTTGAGTTCTCCATTAAACTGACAAGCAAATAGGATAGGATTCCTAGCCCTTTTCAGGCTTTGGTACCTTTGCAAACCTAGTAGGAGCTTTGCTAAGAGAAAGCAAAGAAGGGTTTAGCTCTAAAACCTACACCCATAGAACAAGAGATAACAAAGACATCTTTGCAGTGCACTAAAATGTCCCAATATACTGATACAGCCTAGATGCTGAACAGAGGTAAATTCCAGCTCTACCTCCTTTTCATGTCTGGGACACTGTCTGTGCTACTTATCTAAATAACTATTTAGGAGGATAAAGGGGAGATGACAAATAGTAAACTGATTTGTAAAGTGCTATTAATAATAATTAGGGGTCGGCACTGTGGTGTAGCAGGTAAAGCTGCCATCTGCAGTGCTGGCATCCCATATGGGCGCCGGTTCGAGCCCCAGCTGCACCACTTCCAATCCAGCTCTCTGCTATGGCCTGGGAAAGCAGAGGAAGATGGCCCAAGTCCTTGGGCCCCTGCACCAGCATGGGAAGACCTGGAGGAAGCTCTTGGCTCCTGGCTTCGGATTGGCACAGCTCCAACCATTGCAGACAATTGGGGAATGAACCAACAGATGAAAGATCTCTCTCTCTCTCTCTCTCTGCCTATTCTTTCTCTGTGTAACTCTGACTTTCAAATAAATAATTAATCTTTAAAAAAATAATAATAATAATTAACAAGCAAGCCTCACTTTATGGCCAGGATGTTTTTCTTTCTTTCTTTTTTTAAAAGATGTATGTGTGTATTTGAAAGGTTAGAGGGGCTGGCACTGTGCCAGTGTCCCATATGGGCACTGGTTCAAGTCCTGGCTGCTCCACTTCTGATCTACCTCCCTGAGCCCAAGAAAGCAGCGGAAAATGGCCCAAGTGCTTGGACCCCTGCACCTATGTGGGAGATCAGGAAGAAGCTCCTGGTTCTTGGCTTCAGACTGGCCCAGCTCCTGCCATTGTAGCCATCTGGGGAGTGTACCAGCAGACGGAAGGTCGATCTCTCTCTCTCTCTCTCTGTGCCTTTCAGATAAATAAATAAGTCTTATTTGTTTATTTATTCTCTTATTTGTTCTCTTCTATGGCCTGAGAAAGCGGTGAAAGATGGCCAAGTGCTTGGGCCCCTGCACCTGTGTGGAGACCCAGACGTGTCTGGTTTCTGGCTTTGGATCGGCCAAGCTACGGCAGATGCAAGACCTTTCTGTCTGTCTCTCCCCTCTCTGTCTGAACTCTACCTTTCAAATCAATAAACAAAAATCTTAACAACAACAAAAAAAAACATGGATTAGGAAATTACGGAACAAGGAATTCATCAGATGAACATTAATATGCAGTGACATTAAATATTTTTTTATTTTTTTTTTATTTTTTTTTTATTTTTGACAGGCAGAGTGGACAGTGAGAGAGAGAGACAGAGAGAAAGGTCTTCCTTTGCCGTTGGTTCACCCTCCCCTCCAATGGCCGCTGCGGCCGGCGCACCGCGCCGATCCGATGGCAGGAGCCAGGAGCCAGGTGCTTCTCCTGGACTCCCATGGGGTGCAGGGCCCAAGCACCTGGGCCATCCTCCACTGCACTCCCTGGCCACAGCAGAGGGCTGGCCTGGAAGAGGGGCAACCGGGACAGAATCCGGCGCCCCAACCGGGACTAGAACCCGGTGTGCCGGCGCCGCTAGGCGGAGGATTAGCCTAGTGAGCCGCGGCGCCGGCGACATTAAATATTAATACATTCATTTTAAATGATAAAATGTTCATTTAAACCTAATTCCTAACGTTGAAAAACTGTTACTCTGATAATCTGCCTTAAGACAATAAAGAAGTGACAAATTTCTAGGTAAGACTTCAGGGGGATGGGTGGAGGGAAGGTGGCAGAGATGGAAATCAAAGACAAATTTGAATGAGTTTTAATAAATAAATAATTTGTGTAATATATAATGAAAAGTAAAACAAAAACAAACCTAGAGATATAAAATAACCTAAAATAAATTATTTACCTGGTATTGAAAGTTGGTAAATCATTAGCATTTATCCAAAGACATAACAAAACACATTCATAAAAATACTGTTTAAACTTCATTACAAAAAAAAGAATGGGGAAAAATTTATAATCACTCTAATTAAGCAATGATAAAATATTAACACTTAATTAAAAAGAATCTGGGCAATAAATTTAAATCTGGTTTTGTTGATACTTTTATTAACTTGAAAGATTTACAGCCGTATTTTTATAACTAATCATTGTTACATTTAACAAAATCATACTTTTCCTCAAAGACAAAAATAACTAAGTCTTCAGAAGGTTTGTATTTCTAAAATGATTTTTAAAGTTTAAATGGTTTTAGCATATAAAAAAATATGAGTTCAAATACAATTTTACTTAAATGATAATTCTGTAAAAACGGTTTTAATTCTCTCTCCAAAGCAAGGTGTAGATGGTGAGACTTGATATTTCTGGTTATTGATTTTGGCACTTGCTAATACAAAAGACAGCATGCATTTTTAGGGTATTTAGTGAGCCATGACAAAGTTTTCAACTCTCCACTTTTTATTATTTCTAAATGTATATTTTTAAAAAGATAATCTTTTGTAAAAATGTCTTCAATTCTTTAGATGGTAAGAAATAGCAATATTCAAACATCATAGTGATCAATAAACTAGTAATATACAATAAAGTGTATATGTATAAATAACATCTATTTTTCATTTACTAAGCACTTATTTTGAAAAATGTGCTAAAATCAAGTACTGTAAATCAGGTAATTTTTTTTTTCACTTATACCAATAGATAAGAGTAGAAAAATCAAACTTTCACCTACATGCTAATTCCAAAGATCCCTTCCTCCTTTTCCCCTCCTGGTAAATACAACTGTATTTACAACAGCTTCAAAGGTTGCTTGATGGTCAGTAAATACATCTAAGCTGACCAACATGAGGTGAGATAGAAGCTGACTACTGAAAACAAGAAACAAAATTTGCTTTCTGGCCCTCCGACATACAACTGAAATACTCTGTCCTATTTTGTAACTATAGAGATGTTGAAATCTCTGCACTAATTTATCTAATTTTGGAATAACAGATATGATTATACTAATACCTGCTGAGATTTATTTCTTTGACAGCAATGGATTACCTGATAGTTACTCTATTGATTTATTAACTCTTATGCAATGTACAATGATATACTTTGAGGTAAAAGTGACTTCCTTATTTCCGTAATAAAAGAAAGCTTAAAATTCAATAATTGGGGCCAGTGTTATGACACAGCAGGTTAAGGAATGCGATGCCAGCATTCCATATCGAAGTGACAGTTTGAGTCTCTGCTATTCAGCTTCCAATCCAGCTCTCTGCTAATGTACCTGGGAAAGCAGTGGATGATGGCCCAAGTACTTAGGCTTCTGCCACCCATGTGGGAGACCAGTACAGAGTTCCTGACTCTTGGCTTCATCCTGGCCCAGCCCTGGCTATTGTGGACATTTAGGATGTGAACCAGCAAATGGAAGATCTTTCTCTCCCTCTCTCTTTCTTCCTCCCCTTTCCTCCCCTCCCCTCCCCTCCCCTCCCCTCTTCTCTCCTCTCCTCTCCTCTGCGTCTGTCGCCTTGCCTTTCAAGTAAATATATAAACAAGTCTTCAAAAAATTTCAATAATTAATGGAACAAAAAGAAAACAGTGATAAATTACAGTGAAAGGGAAAAAATACTGTAGCAGATGGCTATCTATCCTCTAGCCTTATAGTAAAAGTAGGCAGTTGGAATCAAGTGAAAAATTATGGAACCCTGAAAAGTCAAAGATTACAAAGGCAATAAACAAGAACAGAAGACTAAATACTAAAGAATTATGGATCTAAAAGGGATTTTGAAATGATTTATTTTGTACTCATTATACAAATTAGTAAACTGCAAGCTACAAGGAGCTAATTTTCCCAGCTCACACAATCAGATATATTAATAGGTTATGACTATAAAACAAGCTTTGCATTCTATTTTCAGCATGAGTTAAAAAAAAAGAGAGGAAAGTACATTAAACTGTCATAAGACAGAGATGAATTCTAGCACGAGATTTGCTCATGTTAGCTTGGAGTAATTCATTTAGACTTGCCCATCGCTTTTTCATTTGTAACCTGGGGACACAGAATCAGCTGTACATTCAAACATGTATACCAGAGTATTAAAGTCCATATGATTAATCACTTTGCAAATCAGGATTTCCTCTTTCTGAATAATAAAAAAGTTATACCTAGGAATAGCTGCATATACACAATACATAAAACCAATGGGATCTAAAGAGCCATTAACTATCTAAGTAGAAACACCTAAGTAGTTTTAAGGATCCCAAAGTAGCCAATCACCCTAAAAAAACAGGCCCAGACACGGGCATTATCCTCCCTACAATATTCAGAAAGTTCAATCAATTAAGAGCTGGTTAGGTATGATCAGGGAGTTAAAAGAAACTGACTCTCCATCTTATTTTAGGACTCTGCACATTACATTTCTAAAGCTAAAAAAAATAACAAACAAATTCATTTTCAAGAATGAATAAAGTCACATAGAAGTTTTTAAGCATTGTACCAAGCTTGAGAAAAAACTTAAATAATCAGTTTACTAGTGATTTCCATAAACCATGTCATGTTTTAATTCTTTGGGAAAGTCATATGTAATGCTGAATAATATACAATCCTTTTATATAAATAGCTTGAAAAAGAGATTAGGACCACATCTAGTTTCAAGGAGTCATTAAATATGATTGAAGTATTTTATATTAAAAACTTTTCAGAAGTTTCCTACCTTTCCAGAATCTAGTATCTTCTGAAAGTCTTCCATTGTATCAGCTACAACCATATGAGTCTTAAGGTCTTCAGAAGCCCTACCAAAAATATTGAATAATACTTATTCTTCTGACAAACATGAGTTTTACACACTTAAAATATGAGAAATTTGCCAAGCACACAATGGGTAATCATTATCTTTGTTACTGCTGTTAAATCTGTACTAATATTCTACTCCTACTTATGCTAGTAAGTAGGTTATTTTTTTAAAATCTCTGGTCTTAGTTTTCCCTTTCATAAAATTGGAAAAACACTCTAGTAAGTCTAACTACCACAGAGGATTGTTTATAACAATGAAACATAAAGACATGAAAGCATTTCAAAAAGGAAAAATACATAAATATATGAGTATTATTTGAGATATTTTCACATAGGATGTAATTCTCTTTTGCAAGAACCTTGTTTTAGAAATACAAATAAATACTATCCTCTTCCACATTCAAAGTCACACATTACACGTGGCCCACTGAAGGGTGATGACTGAGGAAGTGAAGGCCTTTTCTGACTCTCAGAGTTACAGCCATGTGAACTGTGTGCCAGCGACTGCTAGCTGTGCACCAAATCTGTTTCTTCTTCCTATTCTTGTGTTTTTATAGTGAGATAGGCCCATGTGACTAAGTCATGGACAATGCAGAGTCGGGAGGGGTGGATATGCAACTTGTTAGGCCTGGGTTTAAGGAAGTGGGCCTGGCTCCTAAGCACGCTCTCCCATTTCCCAGCCAGCAACAGCCTAGAGATGACTGTTACCTACTTTGACCATGTAATGACAACAAGCCCTAGGGCATGGCAGAGTCAACACAAGGTGTCTATACAACCAAGGGAAGCAGAGTCACCCCAGACCTGCAACATTGACCTCATTGATCCATAAAAGAACAGGGAAGCCATTTCTTTATATTCCCCAAACTTAATCCTTGCTTTTTACAGCAGCTTAGCCTACTTTACTTACACAACTTTTTATACTTTGGTAAGACAAAGCTCAGGTTAACTGAAAAACTAAAGTATGATTCATATATGTGGAATGATCTAAACTACACACACCCATATTCACACATGCTTAAAAAGAAAAACAAGAAGGAAATACACCAAAATGCTTTCATAGGTCAAGGCAGCCCGGAAAATTTTCCTCCAGGCCTGACCTTCAAACCCAATCTGGAGAGTCTCAGCCAAAGCTACCTTATCATCTCCTGGGGAGCTCTTAACACTGTGATTGCCAAGCCTTCTCTAGCCCCATCAAAATAGTACTTCAGGAAAGGGGCCCAAGCACTTGTATTTATTAAAGCTCCATTTATTGAAGCTTGTGCTGCCATAGGTACCGAGCAGGTGAGTGTCAATGCCTTAATCCCGCATAGTTGTATATTGTGTAGGTCTAGTTATAAAATTAACCTAAACTAATCCAGGGGACTAGTCCATCACTCCAAACCTACTAGCGGCAGAAGGTACTAAGAAAAATAACTCATGGATGGTGCCATGGATCATTTGGCTAATCCTCCACCTGCAGTGCCGGAACCTGGGGTTCTAGTCCCAGCTGGGGCGCCGGGTACTAGTCCCAGTTGCTCCTCTTCCAGACCAGCTCTCTGCTGTGGCCCAGGAGGGCAGCGGAGGATGGCCCAAGTGCTTGGGTCCCTGCACCCACATGGGAGACTGGGAGGAAGTACCCAGCCCCTGGCTTCGGATCAGCATGGCACCAGCAGTAGCAGCCATTGGGGGAGTGAACCAACGGAAGGAAGACCTTTCTCTCTGTCTCTCTCTCTCATTGTCTAACTCTGCCTGGCAAAAAAAAAAAAAAAAAAAAAAAAAACCAGGCTGGTGCTGTGGCTCACTAGGCTAATCCTCTGCCTGCGGCACCAGCACCCCGGGTTCTAGTCCCGGTCAGGGTGCCGGATTCTGTCCTGGTTGCTCCTCTTCCTGTCCAGCTCTCTGCTGTGGCCCAGGAGTGCAGTGAAGGATGGCCCAAGGACGGCCCAAGGACTTGGGCCCTGCACCCACATGGGAGACCAGGAGAGGCACCTAGCTCCTGGCTTTGGATCAGTACAGTGCGCTGGCCACAGTGCGCCAGCCGCAGTGGCCATTGTGGGGTGAACCAACAGTACAGGAAGACCTTTCTCTCGGTCTCTCTCTCTCTCACTGTCCACTCTAACTGTCAAAAAAATAAATAAATAAATAAAAGAAAAATAACCCAAATGCAATTAAAAAAAAAAAACTCAAATTAAGTAGCATGGAGTTCACAGGGAATGATTACTTGAGGCAATTTGAAATTTTCTTGGTATAGATCTCAAATACTGGATAGGATTTGGAGATGACAGACATAACCAATACTAAGGAACCACCTTGTAAAAAGGTTAGCCTGGATATCTTCCAAAATAGTCTGAAGTTTAGTCTCAGCTTCATTTTCAGCAATTGTCAGCTTTTCTCCAGTATCTCGTCTGACAGCTACAAACTGACAGTTCTTCATATCACGTGGCCCAACTTCAAGTCTAATTGGAACTCCCTATAAAATAAAGAAAGGTGGTTAATATGATAAACATGTCACCATTTGAATACACTGACTATTTCATGGCTTGTGTTCTTAACTATAAATCATAAAAATCCAAAAAAAGCAAAGCTATAATCAAACAAAAAATGTAATATTCCTGAGATATGATAGAAAACTACTTCATTAAGGAAAAAAATCTGGAGCAGGCAGGCGTTTGCCATGCTGCTTGGGATACTCGCATCTCATATCAAAATGCCTGGGTTACAGCCGGCGCCACGGCTCACTAGGCTAATCCTCCGCCTGCGGCACCGGCACCCCGGGTTCTAGTCCCGGTTGGGGTGCTGGATTCTGTTCCAGTTGCTCCTCTTCAACTTCAGCTCTCTGCTGTGGCCCGGGAGTACAGTGGAGGATGGCCCAGGTCCTTGGGCCCTGCACCTGCATGGGAGACCAGGAGGAAGCACCTGGCTCCTGGCTTCGGATCGGCACAGTGCACTGGCCACAAAGCACTGGCCGTAGTGGCCCATTAGGGGGTGAACCAACAGAAAAAAGGAAGACCTTTTTTTTTCTCTCTCTCTCTCACTGTCTAACTCTGCCTGTCCAAAATAAATAAATAAATAAATGCCTGGGTTCAAATCCCAACTCCACTTCAGATCCCAGATTCCTTTGAACCACAAACTGGTAGGCAGCAGGTGATAGCTCAGGTACTTGGGTCCCTAACATCCATGTAGGAGAGCTAGGCTGAGTTTTGGGCTACTAGCTTTGGCTGGACCCAGCTCCAGCTGTTGTAGGCATTTGGGAAGTGAATCAGTGAATCAAAGACCCCTATCTGTCTGCTTGTCTACAGTGCTCTCTCTGCTTTCCAAACAATTTTTAAAAAAAAAAGAAAAAAATATTTCTTTTTTGACAGGCAGAGTTAGACAGTGAGAGATAGAGACAGAAAGGTTTTCCTTTTTCCGTTGGTTCACCCCGCAAATGGCCACTACAGCTGGCACGCTGTGCCAATCCAAAGCCAGGAGCCTCTCCTGGTCTCCCATACGCGTGCAGGGCCCAAGCACTTGGGCCATCCTCCACAGCTTTCCCAGGCCACAGCAGAGAGCTGAACTAGAAGAGGAGCAACTGGGACAAGAATCTGGCACCCCAACCGGAACTAGAACCCGGGGTGCTGGCGCCACAGGCGGAGGATTAGCCAAGTGAGCCGCGGCACTGGCCAAAAACAGAAAACTTTTAACAGAAAAGAAAAACACCTGACTGAGTGGTTCTGGGCTAAGAAAACTTTGAATGGAGAAACATAAGGTAACTATCTAGATCAGCCTTCCTAACTTTGCTCACAAAACAGCACACATGGACAATTATATTTGCCTGGTACATGGGAGTAAACAGAGACATAAGACACCCAAGCCACTGAAGGGAGCAGTGCATGGGCACATTCTTGACTCACTAACAGTACAATGCTGCAGTTTGGTTCCAAGACCCTCGCTCTACATGTTACCTTTGTTTTTCACATGCATTAGAATCACCTAGAGGCTGATTAAAGAACAGATGGTTGGGCCCCATCTCCAGAGATGCTTATTACAGCATTTGCAGATGAGCCCTGCAAATTTATATTTATTTTATTTTATTTTTTTTTTTGACAGGCAGCGTTAGACAGTGAGAGAGAGGGACAGAGAGAAAGGTCTTCCTTTTTCTGTTGGTTCGCCCCCCAAGTGGCTGCTACGGACAGTGCGTTGTGGTCGGTGCACTGCGCTGATCTGAAACCAGGAACCAGGTGCTTCCTCCTGGTCTCCCATGCAGGTGCAGGGCCCAAGCACTTGGGCCATCCTCCACTGCACTCCCGGGCCACAGCAGAGAGCTGGAATGGAAGAGGAGCAACTGGGACAGAATCCGGCACCCCGACCAGGACTAGAACCCGGGGTGCCGGCGCCGCAGACAGAGGATTAGCCAAGTGAACCACGGCGCCGGCCTCAAATTTATATTTCTAACAAGTTCCCAAATGATGGTGAAGTAGACTGCTGGTCCTGGGATACACTTCGAGAATGACTGCCCTATGCCACCTTCTTTTTTTTTTTTTTACAAAGAAAATTAAGGACCGTCTATATGCAAGTTTAAGACTTGTGAATCCTTATCAGCAAGAGGGAATCAAAATCCTTAAGGCTTAGGAAGACACTTCATTCTTAGGATCCAAATCTAACTTGATAAACAGTATGTTTTAAGTTATTTTTTTTATTAATGATACTCTAATTTTAACTTTCTGATTTTAAATTAGACTATTCTACACACAATTTGGCTGCTGTTGTACCCCAAATCAAAGCTATAGGAAAAATTTTAAATGTTATTCTAGAAATCCTAATTTATCCCTTCAGAAAACTTATTTACAAAAAAAAAAAAAAATCAACAGTCTGGAGTAAACAGAAAGCAGGGAAGTGATGACTCAAAAGCAATGAGCACAGCCAGCAATAAATACGATTTTCCACTAAAGAACACCAGAACATGTTAGAGATGTGGCTAATTCCAAGGGCCAGAGTAGGAAAAGCGCCATAATATCTTGTGCCAAATAGCAAAAAAATGCTCAAAGAATGATGAGCAATAACAAAGGAACACAAAAGCCAACCTTAATGGATCCTACTGGTCAAATCAGAGATACTTTAAACATCAAAATAAATAATGATAGTAACAGATTATATAACCTACTCAATACAGAAAACATGTGAAGAAGGCATACTACACAAAGAGGAAGAAACATTAGCTGTATAATAATTAGATTCTTCAGCACAAGATTTCCCTTAGGGGACACTTACAACAGATATTAATCTTCAATGCCTTACTATTAGCTGTAACAATGGCAGCTTGGTGAAGCCTATGTACCATTATTCTGAGAATCATATTGTTCAAATTATTATATGGATTCCTGGTATAAACATTTTAGTTTACCAACCACATGAGACTTATTGATCAAAAACAAGGACTTCAAGATTATTTTTGTTCATAATAAATATAAGCGTCTACAAAAACTATTTTAATTTTAAAAAATACACTTAGTTATCACAACTACAAAGCTATGAACTGGCTCAGTGCTAAGCACTCAGTTTAAGTGAAGAAAATAAGTCATACAATCAAAACAAAAAAGTTTTTGGAAAAACCTCAAGTTTTATAAAACACAAGCAGAACAGAGAAACTCTAAAGCCCAATGGTGTGGGTGTGTGGGGTAAAAAATGCAAACTGAAAAATTTACCTTGAGCTCCCAGTGATTGAATTTCCAACCTGGAGAGTAGTTGTCTCGCAAATCAGCTCTAACTCGAATGCTAACACTTAGTAACCGCCTGCAGTAATCATTGCATTTTGCAATCAGTGCTTCTTTGTCTTCTTCAGAGAGTGCATTTGTAATGCCACAAGGAATCACCACCACCTAGAACCCAACACAGTGACACAAATTTACACAAGAAAATAGCAAATGGAAATACAGAAGTCCTATAACTGTGGGAACTAAAACCCACTAGTGACTATAAATCTTAAGACAAATTAATCGTGATTTCTAATCACATATCATATCTAATTAGCTGTGTATAACTAATCTATACTAAATGCATTTTCATTCGACTTACTATTTTTAATTTAATTTGTATCATTTCAAAAAAGTTTCTAAAAAGTTTTATATAAAGTAGCATAAAATTAAATAGAAACTAATAAACAGTTCAAATGACACACATAGTTACATAATACTGAGGCCTAGGCTGTACTGCATGTTGTTTTTATCAATTGAATGATTCAGAAAACTATCCTTTTGAATTCCCTGTCATAAATATGGCAATGATAAATGAATTATCTCCTTACCTGAACAGAGGCTACACGGGGTGGTAACACTAAACCCATATTGTCTCCATGAACCATGATCATAACACCAATAGTTCGAGTTGTCAGGCCCCATGAGCACTGATAGGCAAATTGCTTCTCTCCTGGTGTCTTTGGATCTTCAAAAACAATCTCACACATTTTGGAGAAATTCTGTCCTAAATGATGTGATGTTCCTCCCTAAAATAAATAAAATAATTTTAATAATCTATTATGCTTTATCATGACTATTTTATCTCTTCCTTTATACATTAACAAGGTTTTAAAATATAAGAATGATCCCTTTCTCTCTCTTTCTCTCCCTCTGTCTGTAACTCTGCCTCTCAAATAAAGAAATAAAATCTTTAAAAAAATAAATATGTCCTAAATAGCACTCTGGCCTCAGAATCAGCCCTTAAGGCATTCGGATATGGCTGAAGAGCCCATGAGAGTATTTTAGGCATGGGAAACCAAGACACTCTGGAAAAAAAAAAGAAGACCTAAATGAAAGATCTCTGTAAGTGAGATCCCAGTGGAAAGAACGGGGCCATCAGAGAAGGAGGTACCTTTCTCTGAAGGGAGGAGAGAACTTCCACTTTGACTATGATCCTGTCAGAATAAGATCGAAGTCGGCAAACTCAAAAGGCTTCCATAGCCTTGGCAACTCATGACTAGAGCCTAGGGAGATTACTGACGCCATAAACAAGAGTGCCAAATTGGAGCCATTGTAATCCATAAACTGTACTTTGGAAATTTATATTTACTAAATAAAAAAACAAAACAAAACAAAATAAAAAATAAAATATAAGCATAATCAATATAACAAGTGATTAGGATAAGTCAAAAAAAGAGAATATATGAAGTATTTGGTCCTGGACAGTCCCTTTCATAGTAGTAAGGATTGCAAGGGTTCAAAAAGAATCCATACTTTGGTAATTCAGGATATAAGCCATGATTCACCTGACTTTGGAGATCTAAGAGGAATGGGAAGAAATTTCCTGAAAAGCACCACCAAACTACTACTTCTCTGGTGGAAAAAACTGCTAAATTTGCCCATGAACTGCACTTACAGTAACCTATCAATTATATGTAGCAGTTTGGTACCTGGATAGCCCTTCCACTGGCAGATATAAATGCTTCTATTGTAGTTGTATAGTCTCCTCCTGCAAATTTTTCCTTCTCAGTCTTTCTTCCTTTTACAACAGGAATTGCTAGGAGTTCTTCATACACCCGAGCATATAAGTCAAGTATCTGCAAGACCTGTAACAACATTTTAAATGTAAATGTGCTCAAATTAGGATATATTCAGTCATTATAGATCTATAGAATTACACTACTTAAAACTAACCATGTTAGAAAAACACTTGGAACAACTCAAACCTTTTTAATGGGAAGGTTAAAGCAGCCAATATGAAGATGAAAAGCAGTATGAAAACAAGCTGAATAATTTTTTAATGAATATAAATTTAGAAGAGAAGCTAAGTGTTTATAAAAAGTACACAGTAATTGAAATGAAAAATCTCCCCTAAAATGATTAACTTCAATCACAAGATTAGCATTTGTCCACATATTAAAGTCCAAAAATACTTTCACAAAATTTAAAACAGCATATTCCATGTATTAAGCATCTTTTTAAATTCATGTAGATGTGAATTAGTTAGATATTTATTTTAATACATGTTACATAAATCTTGTTACTTAAATAAAAAAAGTAGAGCCTGAACAAAGAGATGGAACATAATTAACATGGAAGTCAACTTTTTATACCTCTTCTGCTGCTTCTTCAAAGGTAGCAAACGCACTATGCCCTTCCTGCCACAGGAATTCACGAGTACGCAGAAAAGGCTGAGGGTGCTTGAACTCCCAACGCTAGAAGACGTAAGAATATAATTTGGTCATTATAGAAAGCTTTTCAATGTTTATCAACAATTTCACAGGGTAAGTAATCAAAAATCTTAACTGTGATCTAAAGTACTTCAAAAAATGCTTTCATGTACTCAATTCTTTGAATTTGAAAGTAAAGGGGAAAAGTATACCTTTTAAATAAATAAGATAATGGAAGAATATAAGAAAGGGTGTATACCTACCACCACATTGCACCACTGGTTAAGCCTGATGGGCAGGTCTCTGTGTGACTGCACCCATTTTGCATATGCAGGATACATTACTAAAAGGGGAAATCAGGGACAGTTATTTCTCCTTTAAGGCTGGTAAGAGTTAAACCAGCAACATAATTAATAGGAATTACAAAGTACCTTGGTATAATTGTGTGTCTAATGTTTGTTATGGTTAAGTGAATGGTATTATTATCCATTTCATAAACACATTACTCAAGGATAGAAATCTACCTAAACTTAGTCATAAATTACATTCTTCATATAAGGTTTAGATTTAGCATTTAATTTTCTTTGACTGCTTTTCATGTTTCATTTTTCAAACCACTAGTCTGTGCCATGCTCTATGTTAACTTCCTTGCATTCATAATCATGTTCAATTCTCACATTTAACACAATGCAGATACCATACTCTCAATTTTAAAACTGTGGAAATTAAATAACTCTGCACAGTTGTGCAGTAGAGTAACTGTTTAGATCCACTGATGCTGCCACTGAGAGTATGGAAGTTCTTGCCAAAGTCTCTGTCTTTATCTTTGCCTATCTGATCTACAGCAAGCAAAACAAAATAAATTTGGTCAATCTAGTATGAGAAGAAAAATCCTGCTACCATAATTTTAATAATGCATTTTACAAAATATCAATATTAGTATCAAATAAAAAGCAAGCAATCCTTAGCTGTAAAGATGGATAATTACTTTGGAATACATTATGAAGCCTAAAGGCTCAAAATTTCCAGTGAGACTCCCATTTACTATCTGTACTTTAGGAAAATTATTTAACCTTTCAGAGGTTTTATTGGCAAAATGGAGATAGCCAGTTGCCCCTCCCTACCTTCTTTACAACATGTTGTGAAGATAACAGAAGATGACATAGATGAAATCACTTAGTTACCCATAAAAAACCCTGCAGGAGGAGCCGGTGCTGTGGTGCAGTGCATTAACACCCTGGCCTGAAGCACTGGCATGCCATATGGGCGCCAGTGATGCTCCTCTTCTGATCCAGCTCTCTGCTATGACCTGGGAAAGCAGTAGAAGATGGCCCAAGTCCTTGGGCCCTGCACCCATGTGGGAGACCCAGAAGAAGCTCCTGGCTCCTGGCTTCGGATTGGTGCAGCTCCAGCCATTGCAGCCATTTGGGGAGTGAACCAGTGGATGGAAGACCTCTCTCTGTGTCTCTACCTCTCTCTGTAACTGTCTTTCAAATAAATAAAATAAATCTTTAAAAAAAAAAAAAAAAAAAAAAAAAAAACCACCCTGCAGGAATGTATATCCATTTATAAAACTCAGTAAGAAAATCAGTAATACAGCACAGAGCCTTAGTATTTATAATCTTATAATCAGTTCTAAGAACAAAATTCCTATAAAAGCTCTGAAAGATTATAGCAAAAAATAAAAAATGACAGTTTTAAAAAATCCTGCTATACTAATGATAAAAAGCTCTATAATGAATACTACATAGAGAATAAAATTCTATACAACCTAAGTTTGTGTTTAAACTTCATCAACATTCATTAAACTTCAGATTATCAGCAAGAATTACAAATGTCAGAAAATAAAAGTTGAAACTCTACTGTTTCAGTGAGATTTCTCCTGTGCTCCAAGGCCCATCCTCACCTGTTTCACTAGTAGGACGAATGGCAATTGGTTCTGCCAATTCTGTTTTGCCAGATCTTGTGACCCAAGCAACCTAGTAAGATAAAATCATTTCTTATACTTGTTTTCACCATCAATTTACAAATGTTCTCCACATCAATTTTTTCTCAACATTAACTAAGACAAGTTAAAATTGTTGCTGCTCACTGAGAGGAAAGGTAAAAGCCAGATAATTAATATGACAAACAGAATAATAATTTCCCATAAAAGTAGAAATACACTTTTTAAACAAAAATGGGTTTATTTTTCTCTAAATTGGTTATTACACACAACTGAAAATATATCCTTTATGGGGCAGTGTTGTGGCATAGTAGGTTAAGCTGCCGCCTGAGATGCCAGCATCCCATAGACGCGGATTTGTGTCCCAGCTAATCCACATCCAGTCTAGGAAAATATACCCTTTAGTTTATAAGAAAAAAATTGCAAAAAATTTTTAAAAGCAAGTTAACTTACCTCAGGGGCAAAGTCAGCAACATGTGTCTTCTCTTTCTCTAATGCACTTTGAGACACAAATATGGGGAAATAGCAGTTTTCAACACCAAGTTTCTTGATCTCAGCATCAAAAAAGTCCTTGATGGATTCCCAAATGGAGTATGCCCAGGGACGAAGAATATAGCAGCCACTGACGTCATAGTATTCAATCATTTCTGACTTTGTAATAACCTTTTGAAGAGAAAAATAGTCTTTAAATCCTAAAGAAAATAAGCATTCTAGTAAAATGGTAAGAATATGACAAATTAAAATCAGGAGACTTCCACTGTTGATACATCCACTAAAAGGAGAAAGTCAAAATGGGAAAACAGAACTTCCTATACTGACAAATATCTAACAGGGCTCCAAACTCTTACAAACACCTCAATTCCAATCTCATCTCTGCTATTTATTGATTATTGTGACTTTAGACTAATTCCTTTACGTCACCATTAAGGAAAAAGAAAAAACAATGAGTATCTCACGGAACTACTTTTTTTTATTCAATACATTCATCCCTGCTATCAATGGGGGATTGGTTACAGAATACCATGCCTCCCTACCCCACGCACAGATGCTCCTGTCTCTTATGTACATGGTTGCTGGGGGCCAGTGCTGTGAAGCAGCAGGGTTGAGCTGTAGCTTGTGATGTCAGCATCCCAGATGGGAGCACCAGCTTGAGCCCTTGCTGACCTGCTTCTGATCCAGCCTTCTGCAACTGGGCTTGGGAGAACAACAGAGGATGGCTCAAGTGCACTTTGGGCCCCTGCTACCCACATGAGAGACCATGATGACATTCTGGTCTCCTGGCACTGGCCTGGACCAACCCTGGCCATTATAGACATTTGGGGAGTGAACCAGTGTGAATGGAAGTGTCTTTCTCTCTCTCTCTCTCTCTCTCTCTCTGCCTCTTCCTTTCTCTGTCACTCTGTCTGTCAAATAAATTTTTTTTTTTTTAAGATTTTATTTATTTATTTGAGAGGCAGATTTACAGAGAGGGAGAGGCGGAGAGAAAGGTTCACTCCCCAAACAGCTACAATAGCCAAAGCTGGGCCAACCCAGAGCCAGGAACCAGGAGCTTCTTCTAGGTCTCCCATGTGGGTGCAGGGGCCCAAGGACTTGGGCCATCTTCCACTGCTTTCCCAGGCCATAGCAGAGCCTGATTGGAAGAGGAGCAGCAGGGACACGAATCATGCTGCAGGTGGAGGCTTAGCCCACTATGCCACAGTGCCAGCCCATAAATTAATCTTTAAAAAAATAAATGGGGGCAGCGCCATGGCGCAGTATGTTAATCCTCCGCCTGCGGCGCTGGCATCCCATATGGGCACCGGGTCTAGTCCCGGCGGCTCCTCTTCCTGTCCAGCTCTCTGCTGTGGCCTAGGAAAGCGGTGGAAGATGGCCCAAGTCCTCGGGCCACTGCACCTGCATGGGAGACCCAGGAGAAGCTCCTGGCTCCAGCTTCAGATTGGCGCAGATCTGACCATTGTGGTCAGTTGGAGAGTGAACCAGCAGATAGAAGACCTCTCTCTCTCTCTCTCTGCCTCTCCTTCTCTCTTTCTGTAACTCTGACTTTCAAATAAATAAATACATCTTTAAAAAAAATGTATAAAAAAATGTATAAAAATAAATGGCAAATGCTTAGGCCCCTGCACCCACGTGAGAGACCCAGAAGAAGCTCCTGTCTCCTGGCATCAGCCTGGCCCAGCCCCAGCCAGTCACTGCAGCCATTTGGGGAGTGAACCAGCAGATGGAACACCTCTCTCTTGTCTGTCTCTCTCTGTAACTCTGAATTTCAAAATAAATAAATCTTAAAAAAAAAAAGTCTCCTATTTGCATATAACCTATACACATCCTCCCATATACTTTAAATCATCTCTACATTACTTATGATAGTAATGTAAATACTATGTAACTAGCTATTTTCTGTATTGTTTAGCAAACAACGACAAGAAAGATGTTAGCAAAGATTTTACCCTAAGTATTTTCTATCTGTACTTGGTTGAATCCACAGATGCAGAACTCACAAAGAGAGCCAACTTTACTTTATGTGACATTTTAAAAACTGTGACATGTTGAGACTATATTACACATTATTAAAGGCTTTATACACTGTTGCTATTAAACTTGTACATGAACTTTAGAATCTAAACACAAAGAAGCCTTAGAGAAATTTAAAATATAAATATCAACCGAATGTATACTCACCTGAGAATACCAATCAGCAAGATTTTCTTCCTTTTTTGCCTCAAGACCCAACCTGCAGATATAAAAAATAAAATATAAATTCTTTCCTCAGCAATTCTTCTAGGTTGTGTCTTACTCTGTTTTCCACTGCTTTAACAAAACACCCAAGACCAGGTAATGTGTAAGAATAACAGTTCATTTGGTTCACAGTTTTGGAGGTTGGGAAGTCTAAGAGCAGGGCACTGCCATCTGCTTGGCATCTGGTGAGGGCCTTCTTGCTGCACCATAACAAGGCAGAGGGTGTCATGTGGTGAGACAGAGCAAGCATGGGAGTTGGGGATTCTCTTTCTCTTCTTACAAAGCCACTATTGAGTTGCGTGTGTATGTGGTGGGGGCACTCTCATGACCTCACCTAATCCAAATTACTTCCCAAAGGCCCCACCTCCAAATGCCATTAAAATATGAATTTGGAGGTCAAGTTTCCAATAGATACATTCAAACTATCACTGGTTGAATGAAAATAAACCTAAGTTCAAAATAGATTTATTTTTTATTTTTCTTCAGTGTTATTTCTGTATTTACATCTTCTATATTTATTCCTAAACAGTTCCATCATTTCATAAAAGATAGTGATACTGTCTGCAAAAGACTAGGAGAGCCAAATCTACCAAAAACTATGATTGCAATGAAGGCATTTCTTTCACAAAGTTCTTTTGTAAGGTAATGTTTTGGGGCCTCCACTTGTGATGCCAGCATCCCATATTCAATTCCTGACTGCTCTGCTTCTGATTGAGCTTCCTACTAATGTGTCCTGGGAGACAGGGGGTGACGGCTCAAGTACTTGGGGCCCTACTACCCATCTGAGAGACCTGGATAGAGTTCCAGACTCCTGGCTTTGGCCTGGCCCAGCCCTGGCTCTTATAGACATTTGGGGAGTGAACCAGTGGATGGAAGATCTTTCTTCTCTGTGGCTCCTTCAAGTAGAAGAAAACCAATAAATAAATAACAATTTTTAGAAATTGAAGAGTTGAACTCATTCAAACCAGCTTCACTTCAAGTAAGGCCTCCATGTCTTATTACCTGGTCTGCTTCTTAGGCCCTTGCCCTTCTCCTGCTCCACTTGCTGACAGTCCACCTCCTTGGCTTTTAGAAGTATCTTTCCTTTGGCTGTCATTTTGTTTCTGAGGCTTATTCTGCTTTTCAGATTTATTTTCTTTTTCTTTCTTCTTCTTATCTTTTTCCTCAGCCCCCGTGGCAGATACAGGCTTGTACTCCACTCCAGTCAGTGACTTGTATTGTGCCTTCAGCTGAAGCAGTTCCTGTACGGCTGCATCTATTTGATCCTTTGGTTTAAAGAGAAGACAGTATTTAATTCAAATCACTGTCTAGGCACCCAAAAAATAATGTGAAAAACTTTAAAAGAATATGATCAACAAGGAAAGAATTGCTTAAGAGTGACTGGAGAATCATAGTTCATAACCACACTGTCCAAACAGTAGTCCCCAGTCACATGTGGCTGTAGAAATAAAATGAACTCAGTTCCTCAGTTACAACAGCCACATTTTAAGTGTTTAAGAGCCACATGGATCAGGGCCGGCGCCGCGGCTCAATAGGCTAATCCTCCGCCTTGCGGCGCTGGCACACCGGGTTCTAGTCCCGGTCGGGGCGCCGGATTCTGTCCCGGTTGCCCCTCTTCCAGGCCAGCCCTCTGCTGTGGCCAGGGAGTGCAGTGGAGGATGGCCCAGGTACTTGGGCCCTGCACCCCATGGGAGACCAGGAAAAGCACCTGGCTCCTGGCTCCTGCCACCAGATCGCGCGGTGCGCCAGCCGCAGCGCGCCGGCCACGGCGGCCATTGGAGGGTGAACCAACGGCAAAGGAAGACCTTTCTCTCTGTCTCTCTCTCTCACTGTCCACTCTGCCTGTCAAAAAAAAAAAAAAAAAAAGCGCCACATGGATCTAATGACAACTGTATTGGACAGTATTGTTATATAACATCCCATAACCACAGAAAGTTAAGTATTCCATAGGAATCTCAATGAAGAGCCATTACATTACATTACATTGAAAACTTCACAATTATAAAGATGACTAATTGAATTCCTTTATTACTGGTTAAACTTTAAAACCTATGACAACTTAACTGTCTTCCTCTCATGTGAATCTGTATCACAAAATTCCTACTCCACGGGATGGGCACTGTGACACACCATAGTAAGCACCACTGCTTGCGATGCCCTCATCCAATATTGGAACAGCTGGTTTGAGTCCCAGCTACTCTGCTTCCCATGCAGCTTCCTGCTAACCCATTCTGAGAGGCAGCAAATGAAGGTTCAAGTGTTTGGGGCCCTACCAACCACATGGCAGACCCAAATAATGTTCCAGGCTCCTGGCTTCAGCCTGGCCCAGCCCTGGCTGATGTGGGCATTTGGGGAGCGAACCAGCAAATGAAAGACATCTTTTGCTCACTCTGCCATCCAAGTAGATGAAAATAAACACTTTTAAAAAATCTTACTCCTAAGATAGTAGAGACAGCAAAAACTACACTGGAACTCAAAAATAAAACCTATACTTAAGAAAGACAGAGCTTTAGGAGAAGGAATCAAATACTGAGGGCCTACAAAGAGACAGGCACTATGCTAAGGTCTAGGTCCTTACATCTAGGATCTTAGGGATTACAAAAAAACAAACAGATAACTAAAATATAGCATGTTTAAGTACTATGTCAGGGAAGGGCTCTGTCATATGAAAACAACTAGTCAAATCTAATTGGGGAACAAAGAATCAACAAGCGTCTCCAAAAGACAAGATAAGAGTTGAGAACAGATATACAAGAAGTTAGTCAGATGTGATAGGGCAGAAAGTGCAAAATTTCAGCAAAAAAAAAAAAAATCCACTGAAATGTAAAAAGCAAAAACACACGAAAAGAATAGCACACTAACCTTGGAGGTTTTTTCAGCTTTAAGTTTTCGAACTACTTCTCCTTGGCAAGCTACTTTGTCAAAAAGTGCTTTGGCTTCTGGTGTTTCTGGACCCCTAGGGTCAGAGTTTCCAGCAGGACTTGAATCTGAACTCTGAGATAATGGGGGCTGACCAGGTACATACTCCTTCCCAGTTTTGGCTTTGTATTCAGCTTTCAGGGACAGCAAGCATTCTACAGCTTCGTTAATTTTAGCCTAAAATTAAAGAGGAAATGAGACAAATATTTAATACTTTCTGAGCTATCTAAAAATTTCAATCCCATTTAAAAATGGAATTATCACCAAAATACAGTCAGCCATCTGTATATGTGGGAAACTGTCAATTTATTCTGCTGGAGAACAAAAGCAGTTGGAAAACAAAACAAAATTTATCTCAGGGGCCAGAACTGTGGTGAAGCTGCTGCTTTCAACACAAGCATTCCATATATGAGCACCAGTTCAAGTCCTAGCTGCTCTTCTTCCAACCCAGCTCCCTGTCTACACACCTGGGAAAGCAGTGGAAGTACTTGGGTCCCTGCCACCCACGTGAGAGACCCATATGGGGTTCTGGGCTCACGGCACCAGCCTAACTCAGCCCTAGCTATTGTGGTCATCTAGGGAGTGAACAAATAGATGGAAGACCTCTCTCTCTGTTTTTCCCTCTCTCTCTCTGTTACTTTGCCTTTCAAAAGAAATAAATAAATCTCTTTTTTGAAAAAAGAGATTTTAAAAAAGGCAGTAGCAGAGAGCTGGATCGCAAGCAGAGCAGTCAGGACTCAAACTGGTGCCCATATAGAATGCTGGCACTGCAGGCACTGGCTTTATCTGCTACGCCCCAGTGCCGGTCCCAGTAAATAAAGCATATGGGGGCCAGCACTGTGGTGTGGCAGGTGAGGCTGCTGCTGACAGTACCGACATCTCATATGGATGCCAGTTCAAGTCCTGGCTGCTCTACTTCCAGTCCAGCTCTCTGCTACAGCATGGGAAAGCAGTAGAAGATGGCCCAAGTGTGTTTGGGCCCCTGTACCTTTGTGGGAGACCCAGGGGAGGCTCCTGGCTTCTGGCTTCCAATCAGCACAGTTTCAGCTATTGCAGCCATCTGGGGAATGAACCAGCAGATGAAAGACCTACTGATCTCTCTCTCTCTTTCTCTCTGCCTTTCAAATAAATAAATAAATCTTTTAAAAAAAAATCCATCTGTACTGAATGTACAGACTTTTTTCTTATCCTGACTCCCTAAACAATATGGTATGATAACTATATACATAACATTTACAATATTAAGTATTACAAATTACCTAGAGAGGAGTTAAAGGATACAATAGAATATTCACGGCTTATACACAAATCTGATGCCAATTTAAGTAAAAGATTGTAAGTAAAAGATACCAAAATAGCTTTGGATTTTGGTATCCTTGGGGTCCTGGAGCCAATCTCCCACATTCATCAAACTAGGACTGTTTTCCTGGCCAGCGCCACGGCTCACTTGGCTAATCCTCCGTCTGCGGTGCTGGCACCCTGGGTTCTAGTCCCAGTTGCTCCTCTTCCAGTCGAGCTCTCTGCTGTGGCCCGGGAAGGCAGTGGAGGATGGCCCAAGTGCTTGGACCCTGCACCCCATGGGAGACCAGGAGGAAGCACCTGGTTCCTGGCTTTGGATCCACGCAGCGCACCGGCTGTAGCAGCCATTTGCGGGGTGAACCAACAGAAGGAAGACCTTTCTCTCTGTGTCTCTCTCTCACTGTCTAACTCTGCCTTTAAAAAAAAAAAAAAAAAAAAGACTGTCTTCCTATAAGCTAGTTAATCATAGGAAAACTCTGTTAAATCATCAGCCCAAAGTAACAGAGAAAACTAAAGTTAAAAATACAAATCATATACACTATCTCAGATACTCACCATAAAAATAAACACATGTAAACATACAATACTATAACTTTCCAATTTATATAAGTAAACAAATAAATCATAGAACATCAAGCAAATTGTCAGTGTCATGCCCTGGGTCTACAGACAGTGAAGTCAAAATGTACAAAATAATAAAAATTAGTTGAATGGCTTTGCCTACACAAATCTTTTTTTTTTTTTTACAGGCAGAGTGGACAGTGAGAGAGAGAGACAGAGAGAAAGGTCTTCCTTTGCCGTTGGTTCACCCTCCAATGGCCGCCGCGGCCGGCGCGCTGCGGCTGGCGCACCACGCTGATCCGATGGCAGGAGCCAGGATCCAGGTGCTTTTCCTGGTCTCCCATGGGGTGCAGGGCCCAAGCACCTGAGCCATCCTCCACTGTACTCCCTGGCCACAGCAGAGGGCTGGCCTGGAAGAGGGGCAACCGGGACAGAATCCGGCGCCCCAACCGGGACTAGAACCCGGTGTGCCGGCGCCGCTAGGCAGAGGATTAGCCTAGTGAGCCGCGGCGCCGGCCCTGCCTACACAAATCTTATTTCCTTCTTCAAAAATTACTTATTTATTTGAAAGGCAGAGCGACAGAGATTTTCTATCCACTAGTACACTCCCTACATGCCTACAACAGGAATCAGGAACTCCATCCAAGTCTTCTTTGACAGGGGCTGATGCACTCGGGCCATCATTCATTGCCTTAGTCAGCATGCTAGATCAGAAGCTCAACAGCTAGGACCCAATCAGGGACTCCAATGTGGAAGAATGCGCATGCAGTGGCTTAACCTACTGTGCCACAACATCATGCCCCAATTACTTTCTTCAGTCTACTCAGCAGACTTTACCTTTCATTTAAAAAAATGAAGTTTGGGCCCAAGCACTGAATAGCTATGTCACTCTTTTGAAAATTTACAATGAAATGAGAAAACTTGAAATACTCACCTATGTATTTCAACCTCTGATAGGTCAATAAAATTATAACGAGAAAGACTAAGACACTGAGCCCAACTGAGACATTTATGATTCTAGTGGAGGATAGAAATGAGACTAAAGGCCCCAAGCTGGATATATTGCCTGAAACAGTGGTACTATCTAACTACAGAATAATAGACCATCTCAGGGCCTTAAAATAGAGAGGAAAAGTACCTGCAAATTGCCTTGTCAATTTTTTACTGCTACATTATAGCAGTGCTTCAGATAGCTGACACCCAAAAGAATGCCAGGAATGAGGATGAGTGTTTGGCACAGCAGTTAAATTGCCGCTTAGGTATTCCTAGTTTGAGACCCTGCTATTGGATCTGACTCCAGCTTCCTGCTAATGCAGACCCTGTGAGGCAGTATTGATGGCTCAAGTAATTGGGTTTCTGCCACCCAGAGTGGAGACCTGAACTGAGCTCCTGGCTCCCAATCTAGGCCTGAACCAGCCTAGTCATTGCAAGCCTATGAACAGCCTGACCCAGCCCTAGTCATTGCAAGCATTTGAAGAATGAATCAGTGGATGGATGAAACTCTATTTCTACCTCTCAAACAAGTAAGTCAGTAACTAAAAGAAAATTTTTAAAAAGAGTCCTCCCTGACCAACACCTCCCCCTCCCTCCATAAATGGAGAAATGGAAGAGAACGCTCGCATGGTCACATATAGAATGAAAAGTACTCAAACAGCTATTTTTGCAGCAGCCAGTAGGTGGAAGCATTTCTCTAAATGACCAATAGTACATTTTGACTGTCATCAAATGGGAAGGGGAACAATACTGATGCTGTGAAAATATCCCCTTATCCCCAGTGTCATGGCATAGTGGGTTAAGCCGCTGCCTATAATGTCAGCATCCCATATGAGCACCAGTTTGAGTCCTGACTGCTCTTCTTCTATTTTTTAAAAGATCTACTTATTTATTTGAAAGTCAGAGTTACAAAGAGAAAGAGAGGCAGAGAGAAAGTCTTCCATCCGCTGATTCACTCTCCAGATGGCCACAAAGGCCAGAGCTGTGCCGATCCAAAGCCAGGAGACAGGAGCTTCTTCCACATTTCCCACGTGGGTGCAGGGGCCCAAAGACTTGGGTCTTCTTCTACTGCTTTCCCAGGCCATAGCAGAGAGCTGGATCGGAAGTGGAGCAGCCAGGACTCGAACCAGTTTCCATATGGGATGGCAGCACTGTAGGTGGTGACTTTACTCACTGCGCCACAGTGCCGGCCCCTGCTCTACTTCTGATCCACCTCCCTGCTAAGGCACCTGGGAAAGTAGCAGAGAATAGCCCAAGTGCTTGGGTCCTTGTACCCATGTTGGAGACCTGGAAGAGGTTCCTGTCTCCTGGCTTCGGCTGGCCCAGCCCTGGCGACTGCAGCTATTTGGGGAGTGAACCAATGGATAGAAGATCTCTCTTTCTGTAATTCTACCTTTCAAATAAATAAAGAAATCCTAAAAAAAATAAAATGTAACATATACTTCAGTCAAAACCTAGTATCATTTGAAGGTTTCCCTATGAACAGCCTGAGATAACCACAGATCAAAAACCTTGTGATAGTTCATTTGCTATTCCCTGAATACAGCTTCACCTGCTTACCTCCCATACTTTCCTAGTGAGTGCTACCATTTATTCCAGTGATCCTCAAAGCATGATTCCTGGGCCAGTAGCTTCAGCCATCACCCAGACATCTTTTCAGAAACACATATTCTCTGCATACTCTGAACTAATCAAATCAAAAAGACAAGGGGGAAGGGAAGGTAGCACCTTGTGTTTCAGAACAAGAAAGCTGGGGAATCATGGCTCTCTATTTGGTTCTATACTTAGAATGCATTCCTACAAGCTTTGTTTCCCATAAAGGGCTTCTCCTACTTTAGGACTATTTTAAACTTATGAGTTATATCCTCATTCTAAGACACTTTCAATCACAAACACTTCTAAGAATTTATACATATCACACATGACTACAGCCACATCACAGAAAATCATGAGTTTATGTGCTTCTTCCCCAGTAACCTCTCTCTCTTGAATGTTTCTTGTTTGTATTTTCAGAGCTTGGCACACAGCAGATATGAATAAATGGGGACAGTTACGTAAAAATATTTGGAGAATGAATAAATAGAGTAATTGGGGGAAGATACTTGAGCAGGCAATCTCTAAATGTATTATATAAGATGAGGTGGCCCCAACTAGTATGAACTTATATGCTTACTCACAAAGTGGTCTTGACCTGCTCCAACATACTGACCTTGGGGGCCTTCTCGGCTTTCAGCTTACGCACGACCTCCCCTTGTGCAGCAACTTCATCATACAGAGATTTACTTTCCAGAACACTTGTTGATGACTTAGAAGAAATATTCTGTATGACTGCAGTGGGAGGATTCCCAGGTTTATATTCCTGGCCAGTCTTCTCCTTATATTCAGCTTTCAGAGCCAAAAGCTGTTTTACAGCTATATCTATATCTTCTTTCGCTGCTTTTTTGCTTTTTAATTCACGAACCACATCCCCTTGAGCAGCCACTTTGTTGTAAAGGAGCACAGGATCCTCAGATGTAGCACAAGTGTTACTCAGAGAAGGTGCTGGTCTGTCTTTAAAAGGAGCAGTTGTCTACCGAGGTAAAAAAAAAAAAAAAAGTAAAATAATTAATTCATGTTAAATGTATTCCCATAAAACTTAAGTTAAAAACAAAATTTTATGTGAATAATTTAAGTTTAATAAATAAGTGATTTAAGTGAATAAATAATTTCTTTCCTAAAATCTTATTCTTGTGAAAAATGACAGAACTGAACAAGGGAAGGGGGTACACTGATATTCACTGGAGCATATTTTATCAAAGTAAAAAAGCTAAAAATACACTAAATCCTTATCATTAGAGGACTATGATACAACTATCAGGTCTGAAAATAAATCATTGTTACATCCTAGCTGTGCAACTTCAATTCATTATTTAAGCTATTTCCCTTATTATAAAACAGAGTTCATTTTATTTAACTCAACAGGTTGATGGGAAAATAAAAGCAATAAATCTGAAAGCCCTTAATCACAGAGGCTGAGAAATAGTGAGCATCAATAAGCATTAAATAACATCACTAATTTTTTTTAATTGAGAAATGGATAAAGATACAGATAGAGATATTTGGTAAGGCAAGTTTCAAGCTCCATGAATATACTGTGATATAACTGTAACTCTCAACTGCGGAACAGATCTATTTGTGTATACGTTCATAGGTATGTATTTGTTTATAAATATATACAACATATAGAGTCATGTTCTTTAAAATCACCTCTGGATAGTGAAGAAGCATGTTATTTTCATTCTCAGTGGCATGTTTCTTCTGCCTCCAATGTGTTCCTCCTACTAAAACCCTTCCAACCTTAAAATCCAGCTCACAACTTATGTTCCCCATATCTTTTTACTTTAATGGTTTTCCTCTTAATTTTTCTAAATAATCTTATCCATATTCATGGGGGCACAAGTATTAAACTCCAAATTTCTCATCAATATTCCAGAGCACTGTCCTGATCCTAGATCTGGCATTTTCAGAGGTCTTTAAATAGCTAAGATGAGGCTGGTGCTGTGGCACAGGTTAATCCTCTGCCTGCGGTGCCAGCATCCCACATGGGCACCGGTTCTAGTCCCAGCTGCTCCACTTCCAAGCCAGCTCTCTGCTGTAGCCTGGGAAAGCAGTAGAAGATGGCCAAAGTCCTTGGGCCCCTGCACCCACAAGGGAGACCCAGAAGAAGCACCTGGCTCCTGGCTTTGGATCGGCGCAGCTCCAGCTGTTGCGGCCATTTGGGGAGTGAACCAACGGAAGGAAGACCTTTCTCTGTCTCTCCTTCTGTAACTCTACCTCTCAATTAATAAATAAAATCTTTAATAAATAAATAAATAGCTAAGAGCCACTGTAAGCTGTACCAGAGATACCTTTTTACCTGGGTGTTAGGTTCTAAAATCAGCACAAACTTAAAATTATAACTCCCCCCAAATACTCTATGTCATTCATAATTTATAATATTGAAGTTTTATAAACCCATAAATACTAATATGCATATGTAAATGCACATTACATAGTAATTTTTTTGAAGATTTATTTTAGGGGCTGGTGTTTTGGCACAGCAGGTTAAGTCTCTGCCTGAGGTGCTAGCATCCCATATGGGAGCCAGTTTGAGACCCAGCTGCTCTACTTCCAAACCAGCACCCTGGAAATGCTCCTAGGAAAGCAACAGAAGTTGGCCCAAGTGCTTGGGTCCCTGCACCCATGTGGGAGACCCAGAAGAAGCTCCGGTCTAGCCCAACATAGTCTTCTGTGACCATGTGGGGAATAAACCAGTGGACAGAAGATCTGTCTCTTTCTCTCTTCTTCTCTCTGTAACTCTGCCTTTCAAATAAAAATAAAAATAGATCTTAAAAAAAAAAGATTTGGGGTTGGTGCTGTGGTGTAGCAGGTAAAGCTGCCACTTGCAATGCCAGCATCCCATATGGGCGCTGGTTTAAGTCCTAGCTGCTCCACTTCCTATCCAGCTCTCTGCTATGGCCTGGGAAAGCAGTGGAATGGCCCAAGTTCTTGGGTCCCTGCACTGATGAAGGAGACCTAGAAGAAGCTCCAGGCTCCTGGCTTCGGATCGGCTCAGCTCTGGCCATGGCAGCCAACTGGGGGGTAAACCAGTGGATGGAAGACTTCTCTTTCTCTCTCTCTTCCTTCTCTGTAACTCTGCCTTTCAAAAAATAAATAAATTTTTATTAAAAAAATCAAAAAATTAAAAAAATATTGGGGGGGGGCAGCACCATGGCATAGCAGGTAAAGCCACTGCCTGCAGTGCCAGCATCCCATAGGGGCACCAGCTTGAGTCCTGCCTGCTCCACTTCTGATCCAGTTCTCTGCTATGGCCTGGGAAAGCAGTAGAAGATGGCCCAAGACCTTGGGTTCCTGAACCCCTGTGGGAGGACTGGAGAAGCTCCAAGCTCCTGACTTCTGATCAGGTCAGCTCTCTTTCTGCTTCTGCATCTGCAATTCTGCCTTTCAAGTAAATAAATCTTAAAAAAAAAATTGGGGGCCGGCGCCGCGGCTCACTAGGCTAATCCTCCGCTTTGCGGCGCCGGTACCCCGGGTTCTAGTCCCGGTCGGGGCGCCGGATTCTGTCCTGGTTGCCCCTCTTCCAGGCCAGCTCTCTGCTGTGGCCTGGGAGTGCAGTGGAGGGTGGCCCAGGTGCTTGGGCCCTGCACCCCATGGGAGACCAGGAAAAGCACCTGGCTCCTGGCTCCTGCCATCGGATCAGCGTGGTGCGCCGGCTGCAGCGCGCCGGCCGCGGTGGCCATTGGAGGGTGAACCAACAGCAAAGGAAGACCTTTCTCTCTCTCTCTCTCACTGTCCACTCTGCTTGTCAAAAAAAAAAATAAAAAAATAAAATAAAAAATTGGGGGCTGGTGCTGTGGAGTAGCACGAATAGCCAACATGTTGTGGCTTTAACTGCTACACCACAACACCAGTCCCAATACACTTTTTTTAATTTTTTTTTTTTTTTTTTTTTTTTTTTTTTGACAGGCAGAGTGAACAGTGAGAGAGAGAGACAGAGAGAAAGGTCTTCCTTTACCATTGGTTCACCCTTCAATGGCCGCTGCGGCCGGTGCATTGCGCAGATCCGAAGCCAGGAGCCAGGTGCTTCTCCTGGTCTCCCATGGGGGTGCAGGGCCCAAGGACTTGGGCCATCCGCCACTGCACTCCCGGGCCACAGCAGAGAGCTGGATTGGAAGAGGGGCAACCGGGACAGAATCCGGCGCCCCAACTGGGACTAGAACCCAGGGTGCCAGCGCCACAGGTGGAGGATTAGGCTATTGAGCTGCGGTGCCGGCCCCAATACACTTATTTTTAAGAATGGGTACTGATGGTGGTCAACAGAATGTATCAATGTAACACCGAAGTAATCACACTGCCTTGTATGTGATCAAGTTTCATTTGTGTCAAACACAGAACAGTGCAGGAAAAAAGTTTCTCACAATCAAAAATAAAACTATAGAAATTCATGATAATCATAAGAAAAAGCTAAAAGCCCTGCATTAGTGCCTTTAGTCTACCACCAGGTATATTAAAAACACCGATTTCCATAACACTAGCCATCTGATAAAAGCACAAGTGCAGGGAGCTGGTGTTGTAGCATGTTGGATAAAGCCAACACCTGCAATGCCACATATGGGTGCTGATTTGAGTCCTAGTTGCTCCACTTCCAATATAGCTCCCTGCTAATGGCCTGGGAAAAGCTGTAATAGATGGCCCAACTCTTTGGGCTTCTGCCACCCATGTAGGAGACACAGAAGAGGCTCCTGGCTCCCAGCTTTGACCTGGTCCAGCCCTAGCTGCTGAGGAATGAACCAGCAGATTGAAGACATATCTCTCTCGCTCTCTCAAAAAAAAAGAAAAAAAAAAAGTGCAGATGGAGAGGTGCCAAAAAACACAAAAGACACAGGAGGAAAAAAAAAAAAACCTGATGAAGTAAGGTAAACCCTGGATCAGACTTCAGTTTTGACATACTGGTCTGTATTGGAGGAAAACACTTTCAAAGATCTATCTATACATCAAAGGATAAAACGTTATTCTTAAGGTTTAAGTTTATAAAGGACCTGAAACTGCAATGCTGGGTATAAATGCCAGTCAAATGTATGTGAATTTCTGTAAGGATTTGTGCAGGTTTCAAGGCATGTCCACAGTTTTCTGGACACTCCTTCCACCAAGAGGTGGAGGTCTCCATCCCCTCCTCCTGAATCTGGACAAGCTTACAACTGCTTTGATCCATTCAATGTAGCAGAAGTGACTCTGAGACCTCCAAGGCTAAATCATAAAAGGCAATGCTGAGACAGGCATTTGGCACAGCAATTAAAATGCTACTTGGGAATCACACATCTTCTATCAGAATGCCTGGTTTTATTTCCCGTTCCAGGTTCTGCCAATGATTATCCTAGGAGATAGCAGAGACAGTTCAAATGTTTGAGTCACTGCAACCACATGGAGACTAGGATGGAGATCTGGTCTGGCTTCAATTCCCTCCTGAATGGCCTGGCTGTTGTGGGCATTTGGGGAGTAAACCAGGAGACAGAAATCTAGATGTTTCTGTTTACCTGTCTCTGACGCTCTGCCTTTCAAATAAATAAAAATTAAAAAACAAAAAGGGAATGCTGCGTCTGTCTTATTTATTGGTCACTCACAATTGGAGGCCTGCACTGTCACAGAAGTTTTATGACTGACACCACCATGCTGGAGTATGTGGTTATTCCAGTCAACACTTCCACTTGAGCTGCCAGCCAACATCAACTGGCATTCAGATGACTCCTCATCTATCCAGATCACTTGAGCGTTTGATAACTGCTACCCAGCCACCATCTGTTTCTTACCACATCAGATGCATAGGTTTACCCCCATCCTATTTGTCTTGATAAATCAGAACTTTTCCGGTATGTGATTATGTAGAACATGAAGTTTTAATTTTTTTTTCCTTTTCACTGAGTTTATATAGTTTTTAATTTTATGTAAATTAGAATTTCAAATCTGATTGGGCACTGTGGTGTATTGAGTTAAGCTGCTGTCTGAGACACCGATATTGCATCTGGGATGGTTTGAGTCCCAGCTACTCTGATTCTGATCCAGCTTCCTTCTACTGCACAAACTGGGAGGCAGTAGATTATGACTCAAGCATTAGGGGACCTGGATGGACTTCTGGACTTTGCCCTAACTCAGCCACAGCTATTATAGGCATTTGGGGAGTGAACCAGTGGAAAGAAAACTCCCCATCATTTTGCCTTTCAAATAAATCTAACAAACAAAACAAAACAACCTCAAGTCACACTGTAAATAATTCTAAATTCTTATCTCCCAAAAAGCTCAGGTGTTTCTGTCTTCCCTGGCTCAAGTTATTTACCATTTATTTACACAGTCACCCAAAACAAAAACAAAAGGTTACTATCTTGTCAATTCTATTTCTTGATCCATCATCTTCTTTATATACTCCATGCTCTCATCCTTTAGCTTTCCAACAATTTATAACAAAGTTTTCTAACCTCACATCCAAGCTACCCTTCAAACTGTCTTCTACACAGCTGTCAGCTCTTCAGCAACTAACTGCCAAGATCTATGCATCTCACATTACACATTTCACATCAAGGTGCTCCAAGGTGCAACAGGAAGTTCATAGGAATGCTAACAGAGCATTTAAAACATTCAAGGCAACAGAAATATACCCAACATCTGTTAAATACTGTGCTATAAACTCAAAGTGGTTCAGTTTTAACATCAGAGGGATGTACTACATGGCTTTCAATGATGTTACATATTTGAAAAGCTGGGATTCCCATGGTGGTTGTGTTAGAAACCAACTACCACATGCAAGTCAATGTGGACATGAAATAAACATGGTAGTAGCTTATCTGAGTCTAAAACTTGAGGGGAAAAATTATTTTCTTTCAATTTGTGTATTCTAAACATTAACAAAGATCATTGATCAAAGAATCAAAAACATATCTGTAAAAGTCAGTATTTTACCTCATTTTTTATGGTTTCTACTTTAGTCTTTTCCTTTGAGCCAGATGTTGGCATTTCCTTTGTATGTCCATCTGGAATGTATATCAAAACGCATGGGGCTTCTTTGCAACTATGCGGGCTAAAAAGAAAATGAAGGGACAAAAAAGTTTACTTGAACAAAATTAACAGTAATTAAAACTGAACTCTGAAATAAATTCCAAGGCACCGTTAGTGTCTTTTCAAAGTACAAATAAATAGTCCATTTTGAATATTCAAACCAGAGGCTGTTTAGAATAGTTTAAAAACAGTAACTACATAAAAACTGACAGGTCTTATTATTATAAACTTTCAGTTTGTGAACTTTCGTACACACAAACAACCTAACTCCAAGGCAGAAATATCTGATATGTCTGCCACCACAAACAGCATTAGAGGATATTAATGATATCACTTTTGATTTAAGGAAATGTATCCACATGCCACAGTGAATCTGCTTACAGAAGAATTTCTCCAAAGCATCTATAAGAATTTTTTTTTTAAAGATTTGTTTATTTTAAAGATGGAGTTGCAGAGAGGCAGAGCTAGAGAGCTCTTCCATCAGCTGATTCACTCCCAAATGACCATGATGGCCGGAGCTGGGCTGATCCGAAGCCAGGAGCTTCTTCCAGGGTTCCCACATGCATGCAGGGGTCCAAGCACTTGGGTCATCTTCCACTGCTTTCACAGGCACATTAGCAGGGAGCTGGATCAGAAGTGGAGCAGCTGGGACTCGAACTGGCGCCCATACAGGATGCCAATGTTGTAGGCAGTGGCTTAACCCACCACACTATAATGCTGGCTCCTGTAAGAATTTCTTAATTTAGGGGCCGGTGTTGTGACATAATGGGTAAAGTGACTATCCAATATGCCAGCATCTCATCTGGGTGCCAGTTTGTGTCCCGGCTGTTCCACTTCCAATCCAGCTCTCTGCCGGTGTGCCTGGAAAAGCAGTAGAAGATAGTTCAGGTTCTTCGGCCCCTATACCCATGTGAGAGACCTGGAAGAAGCTCCTGAATTGTGGCTTCAATCTGGGTTAGCCCTGGCCAATGCAGCCATTTGGTGAGTGTACCAGAGGATAGAAGATACCTCTTTCTGCTTCTCCCTCTCTGTAACTTTGTCTTTCAAATAAATAAAATCATTGTGTTTTTAAAAAAAAAGAGAAAGAAAATAATTTTTCAATTTGTGGCCCTCATTGTGATGCAGCCAGTTAGGTCAATGCCTGTGATGCTGGCATCCCACATGGATGCCAATTTGAGTCCTAGCTGCACCACTTGCAATTCAGTTCCCTGCTTATGTGCTTGGGAAGGTAGCAGAAGATGGTCCAAATCATTTTAGTACCCACATGAGAGTCCCAGATGGAGTTCCTAGCTCCTGGCTTCAGCCTGACCCAGAGCCAGTCATTTGGGGAGTGAACCACTGGATGGAAGATATCTCTCTCTCTCTCTCTCTCTCTCTCTAACTCTTCCTTTCAAATAAACAAATCTTAAAGAAAAGAAAAAAAAAAGAAAAGAAAAGAAAACCAGGGGCCAGCACTGTGGTGTAATGGGTTAACACCATGGCCTGAAGTGCCGGCATCCCATACGGGTGCCGGTTCTAGTCCCGGCTGCTCCACTTCCAATCCAGCTCTCTGCTATGGCCTGGGGAAGCACTAGAAGATGGCCCAAGTCCTTGGGCCCCTGCACCCACATAGGAGACCTGGAAGAAACTCCTGGCTCCTGGCTTCGGATTGGCGCAGCTCCAGCCGTTGCAGCCATTTGGGGAGTGAACCATCAGATGGAAGATTTCTCTCGCTCTGTGAAACTCTGCCTTTCAAATAAATAAATCTTTAAAAAAAAAATCTTCAATTTCAAAGGGTACAATAATTAGCAATAATTTGTTTGTGATACCAATAAGAAAAAGACTTCCGTGAATATTATAGTAAAAACTACAAAGTATACAGAGTAAGAGAAATAATTTAGAGACAGTAAGATCCTTTCTCCCATTATTTTTTAAGATTTATGGGCTGGCGCCATGGTGCAGTAGGTTAATCCTCTGCCTGCGGCACCGACAACCCACATGGGCACCGGTTCTAGTCCGGCTGCTTCACTTCCAATCCAGCTCTCTGCTATGGCCTGGGGAAGCAGTAGAAGATGGCCGAAGTCCTTGGGCCCCTGCACCCACATAGGAGACCTGGAAGAAGCTCCAACTCCTGGCTTCAGATCGGTGCAGCTCTGGCTGTTGCAGCCATTTGGGGAGTGAACCAACGGAAGGAAGACCTTTCTCTCTGTCTCTCTCACTGTCTGTAACTCTACTTCTCAAATAAAATAAATAAAAATCTTAAAAAAAATAAGATTTACCTATTTATCTGGAAGGCAGAGTGACAGAAAAGGAGAGACAGAGGGAGGTCTTCCAACTGCTGATTCATTCTCCAAATGCTGGCAACAGCTGAGGCTGGGCTAAGCCAAGGCCAGGAACTCCATCTGGGTCTCCCATGTGGGTGGCAGGGACTAAAGTACTCCAGCCATCATGTGTTGCCTCTCAGGAACACTATTACAAAGCTGAATTGGAAGCATTATAGCTGTGACTCAAACCAGACACTCTGGTATGGGATGAAGGTATCCCAAGTAGCGGCTTAATCTTCTGAATAACACCCACCTCCTCTTAAATATTTTTAATAGCTTTATTGAGCTAATTCACACCCCAAAAAATTACTCTTTGAAAGCATGTAATTCAGTGGCTATGTAAAAATGGGCAACCATAACCACCACACAACATTTCTGAGGCTGCAATGCATCCTATTGTTAGTTCAGGAATATCACTCATTAATTAAGTCTGAAATATTAAATACAGAACAAATCAAACTGAGCAGAAATTTGTCAGTTATAGGATTTTAGTGAAAGTGTTGAAATTCTAACCTGTTACTCACTGTGAGAACTGTAAGCACTTCTATGAAGATGTTCATTTATGTTTACTTACCTCACAGGTTCATAAGGTTGATCACAGATGAAGAATCCTCTTCTCTGGAGCTGAATAATGTCTCCTTTCTTCAGATCCTTAAGGCACGGGTCCCCTAGCATTAGTTCCTCACGCTAGGAAGATGACATCAGATCAAAACACATTTTTGCAAAATTAAAACCACTCTAAAATGCAGTTTTCCAGTAGCTGGAATATTTTCATTTTAAATAGATATGTTAAAAAATTTATTACTTGAGCACACAGCAAAACAGGGTAGTGTTAAAGTAAACGACAATTCAATTTGTCACATTCTTAGAAGTCAACCTTTATAAACTGACAGGCTTCAGGAAACCTTTTAAGCAACTTAAATGGCATTCCTGTGGAAACAGGTAATTTTCCCAACATACATATGTGAAATGCATGTAAGAGGCATGTAACAAAAAAAAGAAGCATGTAACGGACATAGTTGAAGGTAAACTAACATAGTGCTTAAGTGCAAGGACTACAAGGCCAGGATGCCTGGGTTCAAGCCCAGCTCTACTATTCATTATGTGTGCTCATACAAGTTCCTTAACCCCTTTTCACTATCACCTATTACTTATTACTTATTATCACCTATTACCTATTACAGACCTATTACTTCTATTACTTTTTTTTTTTTTTTTAATTTTTTTTGACAGGCAGAGTGGACAGTGAGAGAGAGAGACAGAGAGAGAAAGGTCTTCCTTTGCCATTGGTTCACCCTCCAATGGCCGCCGCTGCAGCCGGCGCACCGCGCTGATCCGATGGCAGGAGCCAGGAGCCAGGTGCTTTTCCTGGTCTCCCATGGGGTGCAGGGCCCAAGCACCTGGGCCATCCTCCACTGCACTCCCTGGCCACAGCAGAGAGCTGGCCTGGAAGAGGGGCAACCGGGACAGAATCCGGCGCCCCAACCGGGACTAGAACCCGGTATGCCGGCGCCGCAAGGCGGAGGATTAGCCTATTGACCCACGGCGCCGGCCCTCTATTACTTTTTAACATGTTTTTACTTAAATAAAATTCTATAGATCATTGCTATTTTATTATAAAAACTAGATCAAATTAATTTTGAAAGTTCAATGTAAGTTTCTACAATAGGAAAAGGTGAAATGTGGTTTCTTTCAGGTTACCTTACTGTTCTTGTTGACATACTGCTTAAAGTCCTCATCTTTTCCTAGTACTGGTTTTGTGATCAAGTGCTCATAGGTGACACAGATTGCTGGAACAGGAAGAGCATGTGCAGTCTCTGCGAGCCAAGTGATCTTAGTGGTTTTCTTGTAGTCCTTGTTCTCCAAATTTAATTTTGCATCAAGAGATACAATTTTTCCATCTGCGTTTCTAAAGAGAAAGTTAAAAAGTAATCAAAGAAAATATACTATACTTGTCAGCAATGCAAAAGAACTTTTCAATAAATGGATAAGGGATTTTCTCTGGAAAAATTCCCATTAGTGCTAGGACGTAGTAGGTAAAGCCACTGCCTGAGGTGCTGGCAACCATATGGGTGCTAATTCGAGTCCTGACTGCTCCATTTTTGATCCAGCTTCCTCAGCTTCCTGCTAATGCGCCTGGGAAAGCAATGGAACATGGCCCCAAGAACCTGGGCCCCTGCACCTATGTGGGAGACCAGAAAAAGTTCCCGGCAACAGGCTTTGACCTGGCTCAGTCTTGGCCATTGCAGCCATTTTGGGAATGAACCAGCAGTTGGAAGATGTCTCTGTCTCTCTTCTTCTGTGTATTTCTGCATTTCAAATAAATCAATAAATATTTTTTAGAAAATCCAAGTATTTAGTTGAGCTTCTAATATGTGCTAGATGTGTGTAAGACATAATCTATGTTATCAAGATACTAATGAGGATGCACTGGAGAAGAAATACAAATATATCTGATGAAGAATATGAACATACTTATTATTTAGTCACCTCCACTAAGCATTATAAAATATGAAATACTGTATTTAAAAAACATCTAACAAATACAATCATAAAGATTTACTATACAATTAAAATTTCAATTTACACAAATTCATCTCAAGCATACTATATGTCACAAATAACTTGGAAATCAAAATATATACGCACACTCCAGTAATTAGAAAGCCAAATTCATCATTAACCAATCAACTTTAAGGATTTTAGGATAAAGACTAAATTCTATTTATATGTACACAAATTCTATCCAAAGGATACTTCTATCAGGGAAACCATTTAACAAAAAAATTACGAAAACTAGGGGTATCAGGGCCGGTGCTGTGGTACAGTGGGTTAATGCCCTGGCCTGAAGCGCTGGCATCCCATATGGGTGCCGGTTCGAGATCCGGTTGCACCACTTCTGATCCAGCTCTCTGCTATGGCCTGGGAAAGCAGTGGAAGACGGCCCAAGTCCTTGGGCCCCTGCACCCACGTGGGAGACCAGGAGGAAGCTCCTGGTTCCTGGCATTGGATCGACGCAGCTTTGGTCGGTGCAGTCAATTGGGGAGTGAACCATCGGATGGAAGACCTCTCTCTCTCTCTCTTCCTCTCCTCTCTCTGTGTGACTCTGACTTTCAAATAAATATATAAATCTTTAAAAAAAAAAAAAAAACAAAAACAAAAAAACTAGGGGTATCAGAATCAGAATCATTTCTGACATCTAGACACAGAAATTCTCTACATTACACCCTGATAATCTATTACTAAACTGGAACATATGTGGAAAAAACTTAATTTGTGCCCAGCATTTGCAGTATATATATCTAGGCAGATTTACTAGTCTGCAACATGAATAGTTCTGGATTAAGTAATGTTTAGTAAGTAAATAAACATAAAAGACTTCTCTTTCATGTTTATTTGAAAATAAAATAACTTACTTATGTATTTTAGTAATGTTGATGTTGCCCCAGTTGATAAACGTAACCATTTCCCCCTCTGACAAAGTCTCTGCATCAGCACCTTCAATGAAAATTTTGGGGCTGTACCACACAGGCTTCAAGCCTACATCAGGATTCTGGTAGGAAAAAGAAAAGGACAGTATTGGTGGAATCCAGTATGCAAATCTATTGCCTCATTCACTTTACTTTTTAACCAAAGAAAAGCTGTCTGCACTGATATACCATTAACAATTCAGTGCTGTATTAGGAAGAAAATGTTTTGCTTTTCCTCCACTGTTTTAATGCACAGGTTTTCCTAATTTTGTTCTTAGCATTTAAACACTACAAGCTTGTTATAAAAATAGTTACACTGGCCACAGTGTAGAAATCACTAGTTTGAAGCCCTGCTCTGTGACAACATTAACAATATTTATGAAGTTAGATATGTTAGCCTGCCCCTAAGATGATATCCAGCTTAAAATAATCATTGACTGATTTGGAGGTTAAGATCATATTATTTATAATTACTCTCTCTAACCAGAATCTGCTTTGCTACCTTCAGAATCTCACTGTTTTTAGAGAAAACAGAAAATAACATCATCCCTGAGCACTTGGGACAGAACACCATGGGGCAACAGATACAACCTTAGGAGGAAACCAGAATGCTTTGATATTACAGAAGGCAAATTTTAAAGAAAGGCTTCTATAAATTCATAGCTAAGACAAATTTTCTGCCTTCCAAGTGTGTAGTGTTTAAAAAAAAGTTAGGGGGAATAAAAAGAATGCTGTCTTTGTTAAATTTCAGTTTTTGTTTGGCAGAATTCACATAAAAAATGTGCAACTAGACAAGAGGAAGTAACTTAAACACTATGTGTTTAATAGTTTTCCAGTGAATGTACAAAGACATTTGAGAAAACTCAGTATCTAATAAAAACTATTATAACAGGCTCAGAAAAGAATATTGGCAGGCTAAAGAGAAAATACTTTGAGGGAAATGTTAAAAATGAAAATTCACAGATCAAATTCAATAATCCGGGGCCTGCGTTGTGGTTTAGCAGGTAAAGCTGCTGCCTGCAAACAGACATCCCATATGGGCACCTGTTTGAGCCCCCAGCTGCTCCACTTCCAGCTCCCTACTAGTGAGCCTAGGAAGGCTCAAGTTCTTGGATCCCTGCACCCACATGGAAGAAGATCCTGGTTCCTGGCTTTAGCCTGGTCCAGCCCCAGCCACTGCGGCCATCTGGCGAGTGAACCAATAGATGGAGGATCTCTCTCTCAATCTCTCACTCTCTTCCCCCCCCCCCCCCCATAATTCTAACTTTCAAATAAATTAACAAAATCTTTAAAAAAGAAAGAAAGAAAGACATTAACTGGGACTACCGCATCCTATGTCAGAGTGACTGGGTTCAAGTCACAGCTCTACTCTCAATTCCAGCTTCCTGCTAATGTGCATCCTGGGAGGCAGGAGGTGATGGTTCAAGTGTTTGTGTTCCTGCTACCCACATGGGAGACCTGAATTGGCTCCTGGCTCATCCTAAGCCCAACCTTTGGGCCATTGCAGGCATCTGGGGAGTGAATCAGTGGATGGGTACTCTGTCTACCTGTTATCATAAATAAACATCTTTTATAAAGTGATCTCCCTAATCAATTATACCTTGCTTACTCAGAGGGCACTATTTAGTAATTAAATTTAAGCTATCTGGGGCCAGTGCTGTGGAATAACGGTAAAGTCGCCGCCTGCAGTGCCAACATTCCATATGGGTAATGGTTCGAGTCCCAGCTGCTCCACTTCCGATCCAGCTCTCTGCTATGGCCTAGGAAAGCAGTAGAGGATGGCCCAACTACTTGGGCCCCTGCACCCATGTGAGAAGCTCCAGGCTCCTGGCTTCGGATCAGCCTAGCTCTGGCTGTTGTGGCCATTTGGGGAGAGAATCAGCTGATGGAAGACCTCTCTCTCTCTCTCTGCCTCTCCTTCTCTCTCTGTGTAACTCTGACTTTCAAATAAATAAATAAATAAATCTTTAAAAAAAAAAAAGACTCCAATGTTTTGATGTAAAAAAAAAAGTGAATAATTTGGTTAACAAAGAATGCACCTCATCTTCCACACAAAGACAAGCTCAGTATACTTGTATGGAAGGACTCCAGGAAGACATAAATTCTCTCAACATGCTAAATGCAATGTCCACAGAATAAAAATGGCTAAAATTTGATTGTTACCATTCTCTACAAAGTGCTGTGGATTATTACTAAATTTCTTCAGCAAGAAATACTTCAATTGGTTTCAAATTCTGACAAACAATGTTAAAAGAAAATGATCCTCAAATCACACTACTGCCATTAAAAGCACATTTCTCCTCATTATCTTGCTTGCTCCTTCTTTTAACAAAGAGAAAAACATTAGTGAAACTGTAGGGTAACCTTCGGGTGTTTGGAGACTTCTTTCATCTCCTCCTGAGCTTCAGGGACATTCACTGAAACTACTTCTTTCTTCAGTAATGCTACATATCGTGGAGCCACAGGGTCAATAACCTGCAACAAACAAATCCTTGTATTAAAACACTGTAGAATTTTTTTTAAAAAATCACAAATAAATAAGTAACAACACAGGAATACTAACTGGTTTTCTTTGTTACTGCATTTACTAATTGGTTTATCTGTTAACTTTTCTCTAATATTTAGCTATCAAGTAGAAAAAAAAGCAATTATAAACAAAGACTATATATAGGATTTAGAGTTCATTCACAAGAATAACTACTGGAGGGGCCAACGCCATGGCATGGTAAATTAATCCTCCACCTGTGGCGCTGGCACCCCTTATGGGCACCGGTTCTAGTCCCGGCTGCTCCACTTCTAGTCCCGCTCTCTGCTATGGCCTGGGAAAGCAGTGGAAGATGGCCCAAGTCCTTGGGCCCCTGCACCCACGTAGGAGACCAGGAAGAAGCTCCTGGCTCCTGGCTACGGGTCAGCACAGCTGCGGCCGTTGCGGCCAATTAGAGAGTGAACCAACGGAAGGAAGACCTTTCTCTCTGTCTCTCCCTCTCACTGTCTGTAACTCTACCTCTCAAATAAAAAAAAAAAAAAAAAAAAAAAGAATAACTACTGGTAATAAAAAAAAAGATTAACTAGTGGTAGTTGAAAGAAAGCAATTAAAGTGTAATATTAGAAGGACTTTGAAAATACTTTTTAAATTGGGTACTAGAAGGTGAAAAAAAATTACACTATCAGGTTATAATTAATCCTACAAGTAAATATGATGCTCAATTTTGTACTGTTGAAGAAATGCAGTTTAAGAGACTATAGATATTTGTGTTTCAGTGTAGTTCAGTGTTAGGTAGCATAACTCGATCAAAAGCAGAACAGCATTAGGTCACTATAATAAGGCAAGTTTGTAGATTAGAAGTTTAAGCAAGATATTTCTATTGGCTTACATGCCATATATATATGTATATATATAGATACCAAGGTATTCTGATTTCTAGCAAGGGCCTGTACATACTGATAATCAGTAAATATATGCAGATTAACTGAATGAATGATTATGCTCATTATCTGTTAACCTAATCTACCTCTACAAGCACAGTAGCATACCCTTCTGAGGCTCATCTATTTTTCTCAATTCATGTTCAAATTAAAATTATCCATGACAACCAATCACAAGAGCAGTGTTTACACAACACATAAAGCATATGGGAGAAAAATGTAGATAACAGCACACAATGTAGAGCCAAATAGCTAAGTAAAGTAGTAGAAGCAATTTTTTTCATTAGGGAACAGTGGTGTTGGCTAATTAAACTTGGCTGGCTTTGTTTTATTTTGCATTTTCTGTTATTATCATTGTTAAGTTGGGTATTCTGTTTACTTTGAGGGTATCTTCTTTCTGAAAAGAATGACATTGTCTGGAAATTTTGAATGACTTCAGGGAAAAAGAAATCCTCAGAGGGTCACTCATGCTAAGTTTGGAAAACTAATTTTTCTTTTTTTTTTTTTTTTTTTTGGACAGGCAGAGTGGACAGTGAGAGAGAGAGACAGAGAGAAAGGTCTTCCTTTTGCCGTTGGTTCACCCTCCAATGGCCGCCGCGGCCGGCGCACCGCGCCGATCCGGTGGCAGGAGCCAGGAGCCAGGTGCTTTTTCCTGGTCTCCCATGGGGTGCAGGATCCAAGCACCTGGGCCATCCTCCACTGCACTCCTGGGCCACAGCAGAGGGCTGGCCTGGAAGAGGGGCAACCGGGACAGAATCCGGCGCCCCGACCGGGACTAGAACCCGGTGTGCCGGCGCCGCTGGGCGGAGGATTAGCCTAGTGAGCCGCGGCGCCGGCCAAGGAAAACTAATTTTTCTTGTCTGCTACTCCTCATCCGCTTCTATTTCATACTAATTCAGCACCAGCTTCTCTCTAAATTTACTGTTTCATTCTTTCCTTTGCTTAAAGATCACTCACCAGTTAAGGGTTCTTTCTTTCAGCTTCTACTAGGCTATAATGATCAAAGATTTAATTTGCAATTACTCAGTTTGGTATTTAAACCAGTGAGATGAAATTTCTTTAAAGAAGCTAAAACATGACAATCCTATCTGAGACACTTATTAGTTCATTGCAGCTCTGCAGACTATTTCCCACAGGTGATTAACTAGAGTAAAAACTTGGAGAAACTATTGCACAGATTCTAAGGACACTTAATCCTAAGGAATTATCATTCCAATGATCTAAAGCCAAATCTGGAAATCTGTTCTTAGTGAGCACTCCACAAGATGGGTAGGATCAGGCCAGTATGGGAAACCTTGGATGGAAAACTTTTAAACTCCTTTAAGTTCTAAATTTGTACAATTCTAAAAGTCTCTGTTTGGATGGTTTTCAAATTATTCCAAAGGCTAAGGATTTCAAAGAGGTGACACAGTAGGCATGAGGCAGAGAGAGAAGGAATTGGATGGAATGGAGTAGACCTTCCCCCATAACACACATGATCAGAACAAGTACACTTTTGTCTAATTCACTGGGACTTACTATAAAAATTTTCAGTGGAAGACTCCCTCCCTATCTGGGGGTAGAGAGAAAGTTTCTACTCTCCACATATTTTCTCTTACTCACCTGGGGCAGATGCAAGGGAGCTTGGATGAGAATTGGGGAAAACTGTTATCTGACTACTGAAATACTGGCATAAATTAAAAATTAAATCAGTAACACAAAGGTTGATGGAGACAAATAACAGCTCCTGAAACAAATACCTTATAGCTATGTCTTTTCTGCCTTTATTAAAAAGTTTAAATCTTTTTTTTTTTTTTTTTTTGACAGGCAGAGTGGACAGTGAGAGAGAGAGACAGAGAGAAAGGTCTTCCTTTTTGGCGTTGGTTCACCCTCCAATGGCCGCCACGGCCGGCGCGCTGCTGCCGGCGCACCGAGCTGATCCGATAGCAGGAGCAGGTGCTTCTCCTGGTCTCCCATGGGGTGCAGGGCCCAAGCACTTGGGCCATCCTCCACTGCACTCCCGGGCCACAGCAGAGAGCTGGCCTAGAAGAGGGGCAACCGGGAAAGAATCCGGCACCCCGACCGGGACTAGAACCCGGTGTGCCAGTGCTGCAAGGCGGAAGATTAGCCTAGTGAGCCGCGGCGCTGGCCAAAAAGTTTAAATCTTAACACTTATGTAAAATCAAGAATAAAATTAGCAAGGCTAATCAAAATGAGCCCTTGAAATGTCTACTAGTATCAAATAAATTATTTTTAATGGAACTGGATATATTTCATTCAACTATGATACAGAAAAATTATGTACTAGTTTCCTGTCAAGCTGAATAGTTAGGCTAAGAAAAAGAAAAATCAGAGTATGTTTAGAGAAACATTGAGATTACTAACTACCACAGAGCTCCCTGTCCCCTGCATCTTTTCTCACATCTTTTTTCTTTTAAGAAGATTTATTTATTCATTTGAAAATTCAGAGTTACAGAGAGGCAGAGGCAGAGGCAGAGGCAGAGAGAAGTCTTCCATCCTCTGGTTTACTCCTCAAATGGCTACAATGGCCAGAGCTGGATAACTGTATAGTCTTTAGATTTGGGAATTTTTTGTTATTGTCTCTTTGAATATACTTCTTTTTTTTTTTTTAAGATTTATTTATTTGAAAGGCAGAATTACAGAAAGGCAGAGGCAGAGGGTGAGGGAGAGACAGAGACAGAGTGGCCTTCTATCCACTAGTTCGCTCCCCAAACAGCCACAACGGCTGGAGCTAGGCCGATCCGAAGCCAGGAGCCAGGAAATTCTTCCAGGTGTCCCATGCGGGTACAGGAGCCCAAGGACTAGGGCTATCTTCCACTGCTTTCCCAAGCCATAGCAGAGCTAGATCGGAGGAGGAGCAGACAGATAATGAACCAGTGCCCTTACTACAGGTGGTGGCTTACCCACAACACCACATCGCTGGAGCATCATATCTTATCTTTACCATATATAATTCACTCAGAAGATAAGGCTCTGTCTCCAAAAAAGCATATAAAAAACTCCAGCTAATTTTGAAATAGAAGCTGTTTTTAAAAATGCTGAGTTAGCAAGAATTGGAGGGAGCCCAAAGAATAATGGTTGATTTTTGCCTTTAAGCTTATTTCATAATGCCACGGCACTCACTAAATTTAGTTCACAGACAGCTCACTTAAATTTTATCTGCTTATAAAGAACAAGCAAGCTAGAAAATAACTAAGCATTAGTTAGAGACTGCTGTGACATGAAGTCTACATAACAGTCCGTACCTCTGGGGTAGGAAAGGGTATGTTTCAGTGTAGGAAGCCATCAGGAAGGCCAACAATATAAATAGAAAGTACATGACCAGATTTTCACTTTCACTACCAATGAAACTTAAACATGATTCTATATTTTGTTGTTTTCTGCCTATTTTGTGTTTTATTGACTTCACAGTAAAGAACATGGAACGCTTCCCAAATTTGCATGTCATCTGGGGCTGGGATCACACTAATAATCTTCTCTGCATCACTCCAGTTTCACTATGTGGGCAGCTGAAACCAGCACAGGTTCTGCTTTTAAGATGGTGTTTAAAGATTAAAGAATCCACAGACACCAGGATAAACAAAGCAGATTCAAAATGCTCATCTCCTTTCACTCACTCCCAAATCTCCTCTAAAACAATATGAGAGGTATTGTTTTGTTTAAGGGCACAAACCAAGAAGGATTAACAGAAAGGAAAGAAGACAACATTAAAATCTAGAAGCTGAAAAACAAATGGAAATATCCCCTTCTCCATGCCACATCATCAGGCAACTGCCCCTCCTCTCAACAAAGATAGAAGTTCACTCTGTGAAAAGGAGGGGGCAGCAAAAGAGCTGAAGGTAAGGGTACTGCCCTGAAGACAAGGAGAGCAATGAATGTATGACATTAGATGTCAAAGCCCTCAGCCGTCTTTCTGCACTCAGCTCCAGAGCCCTGGCAGCCAGGCCTTTTTACTTCAGGCAGGTGACAGAAGGCACCCTCCTAGAAAACTGTCTATTCCAACAGACAAGATACAAAGGTCCTGACAAGGAGGTTCTCCAACTAACCAACCCAGCCAGATCATCCGCAGAAACACATGCAGCTGACAATCCCAACCCTTACCCTTAGGGCTGCCAATCACTCCTCAGTCTCCCACATTAAACACAAACAAATAACTAAGCTAATAAGTTAACTGAGAAATGTCTTTGAAATGAAAGAAACAAACCAAAATAACAACTGGAGGAAAGAGAATCTACAAATGGGGGGGGGGGGCATTATTATTAAAATCATGGTGTTGTAGCGTGGAGGATAAAGCTGCTGCCTGTGATGTTGGCATCCTATATGGGCGCCAGTTTGTGTCCTGACTACTCCAACTTCCAATCCTCCCTGCTAATGGCCTGGGAGAAGCTGCGGGAGATAGCCCAAGTGTTTGAGCCCCTGCTGTCCATGTGGGAAACCCAAATGAAGCTCTTGGCTTTGGTCTGTCGCAGTGCTAGCCAAAGCAGTCATCCAAGTAGTGAACCAGTAGATGGAAGCTCTCTGTCTCTCCCTCTTTCTCTGCAACTCTTACAAAATAAATAAATAAATAAATATTAAAAAGAAATCATGAAATATAAATAGGAAATTATTTTGGAAACTCAGAGAACAAGAGAAACCTTGGAAATGTGATAGCATAAATAAGAAACTCAAATGAAGGGTGGGAAGTTGACCAGCTCTACCAGAAAGCAGGGACAAAAGACAAGATGGAACGTGAAAGAGAAAATACAATTAGAAAACCAGTCCAGTAGCCCCAACATCTTCACAGGAAGCGTTCCTGTGAGATAAAGAAAACAAAGTAGAGAAAAAAACAAAGAAAAAGAATGAATTCAGGAAAAATTTTCCAGAACCAAAGAAACGAGTTTCCAGATGAAACGACAAGTATTTCTAATGGATATGGATGAAAATACACCTAACATCAATGTACATCACCTTGAAATTTCAAAGTAAAAAAGTCACATACAAGGTCTCAAAAATCTTCATTCTGGGCTCCCCTTCTCAGGGTATTATCAGAGGATACAGTACAGGAAAGCAACAAGGTAATAAAACAGAAGGAAGCAGACAATCCCCCAACCAGGACAATGATGAAGAGACCTGGGTACACAGCTGTGGAAACCAAGAAGCCCAGTCTAGATCAGATGAGGGCGAACAGCTCCCACAGAAGAGTGTCCAAGACAAAACTGAAGGAACACCTGAGGCATCTGAGCAACTTGGCAGAAAATTTAGACAACCTGTGGAGAGTCTGAGACAGAATTAGAAGAGCAAGCAAATGACAGAGTGAAAACAAAACAAAACAAATCAACTATGAGAAAAACGGTTATGAGAAAAAGTGAAACCCCAAATTTTCATCTTGCATCATGGGAAATCAACTGATAACACCAAGAACCTAACAAAAGTGTCAACACAAATATTTCACTTAAAGATATGAGCAATAATACCAACAGAATTATCTAGAAAAGCTGAAAGAAGGGAATATGGATCAACTTAACAGGCCCTACAGAATTATTTGATTATAATTATTTGATATACATTTCATATATCTGAACTAAGTGTATACATAACTTTATTAAAATTTTTTTAAAAACTGGATTGTTAATGAAAAGTACACCAAAGTTAACTTTGCCTACAAATTCTAATAATATTTATTATCAGTAACTGCAGCAACACAAAGAACCAATTAATAATTCCTTTATGTATCAAAAAACTAACCCAACAGAGAAGAATAAATGATTAAATTTAAGGCACATGCAAGACAACTATTTCTCGAAGCAAGACATCAGCACAATCAAGCAGCAATCACAAAAAAGAATTTACAGAACACAATCACAGAAACCACAGTTTAAAACATGGCATTTTAATGATTTGCCTTATTATAGTGTCCAAGCATCTGCTCCCAAGCAGTAATTGGCAATGTCAACATGCAGTATTCCACATTGGACTTTCACTTAAGAAATAGTTAAAAAAAAAAAAAAAAAAAAAACCACGGAATTACATTTAATGAATCTTCAATACAACTCAGTGAAACACGTTATTTTAAAACTCTGTCCTCCTAGTACACAAGGGAACAGCAGACAGGATTTAGCCAAGACTTCCCTTTGCCTCTAAGAAAACCAGAGGACAAATGTTTTTAAAACTAGGAATAATGCATTTTCAGTGGGTTTGTATGAGCAAGTCTTTGATATAAATGTGATTGTGCTTCAAAGCTATTTAACATCTGAAGTCATAACATGTAATATGCTAAAAGCTATGTTTAAATAAGGCAAATAAAAGCATTAAGTAATACCTTCTTACAGAGAACTCGCAGCTTGAAAGCAGAAAAATGAAATGCAGAGTGTTCATAAAAAGATTTGAGGAAAAACAACTCCAAGTTTGTTTCAATCATTGTTACTTGTTGGATAGCTAATAGGCTTAATGTTCTTTATATATTTTAAAAAGGAAAACATTCCATTTTCCTGAAAATCTGCAAAATGATAATATTCACAAATTTTTCTCCACCATAAGCACACTAATGAACTCTACTAGTGTGTTAATCCAGAGTCAAGCATCAGGAAAGAGGACTGACAGTAAAACATTTACCTTTTTGTTAAATGCCCAGATTTTGTCCCATTCCATGTTCACAACTGACCGTGAGGAACCCTAGAAAAACAATAATAAAAATGATTTTAAGGGCTACAGAATTACTTAGAATATATCTCTACTTCAATCTAAACAGGTTTAGGAAAAAACAAATCTAATAAATACTTGCAAATTTACTTCTACTGAAATAAAAAACATTTTAATGCACACAAACTAATTTGTTTACCCCCTTAACAGTTCATGGTAAAAGCTCAGTCTATACACTGATCAGAGTCAAAAGGAGTCAGTATTTCACTGGGTCAAAATATTTCAGCTGCCTTCGTACAATCCTGACTTAAGAGTTTAAGTCATTCTCAATTTTACACTACTCTAAACAGTGTTACACTTGCTCCATTGTGGAAAAAAAAAAAAATCTGCCCTCATATCATAAGGCATAAACATGGACTAGAGCAGAAATAATTAAAAGGATATTCATAGAAATACCTGAAAATTCAGCCAGTGAAGCCATACTCACCTGAGCAGCAATGAACTGTTTCAGCCCTTCAACTGTCATCCCTCTTCTCAGCACACCACGAACCGTAGGGAATCTGGGGTCATCCCTAGGAAATATGTAAAATTTTAAATACCATGGAGGTTTAAAAAAATGCATAGATGTAGCTAGTCGAGGATACCTTCATTAATAATAATGTTATACTCAGTGTGTTATATTTGAACTAAGAGTTAGTTATACAAATTGGACATAACACCAGTGAGCACATGATCATGGAAGAGGAAAACTGTTTCTAGTTAATATTGTAGTAAATTAAATGTACAACTAGAAATAGTAAAAGCATAATTGAAGATACAATTGTGATGTCTTCAAGTATGGAAAAACCATAATGTAATACATTTTTATTTGATTTTGTTTAACATTCAAGGCCCCTACACTATTCATAACCATGAGATTCAGATAAGACGGTATCATGTCATCCATGTATGAATACACACATGAAAATATTTACATAGGTTGTCATTCTGCAGGAATTTGCAAATCTGAATAACTAATAACATCTTTTTATGGACCCCAAGATAAACTTGTCTTTTATCAAATTTAGCTCCATAATTAAAAGGACAAAATAAGTACTTTTCAACATTTACGTAATATATGTCTTGATTACTATTACATTGATATTAATATAAACATATAATTCTTGTTAATTCAGGAAAAAATTTTCAGACTTATCAAACATGATAATCCACATGAATAGGTTTCATTTAGAGACAGGTGGCTGTAAGACTGTGGCAACTTTTATACTCATCTATCTTACCAAAATCCTATAAGTTATTAACACTACAGAGGGGCCGGTGCTGTGGTGCAGCGGGTAAAGCTGCCGCCTGCAGGGCCAGCATCCCATACGGAAGCTGGTTCAAGTTCCAGCTGCTCCTCTTCCTATCCAGCTCTCTGCTATGGCCTGGAAAGCAGTGGAAGATGGACCAAGTGTTTGGTCCCTGCACCCACATGGGAGACTGGAAGAAGCTCCTGGTTCCTGGCTCTGGATCAGCGCAGCTCCGGCAGTTATGGCCAATTGGGGCGTGAACCAGTGGATGGAAGACCTCTCTCTGTCTCTGCTTCTCTCTGTGTGTAACTCTTTCAAATAAATAAATAAATCTTTAAAAAATATATATACTATAGAGATTTTTTAACTTTTTCTATGTATTTAATCCTCTGCACACTGCTCCACAGGTGAGTCCTCACCACCGAGACAGACCACTTACATTGTCATCTCAAATAAGGGATATGCTGGCCTTCCTGGGACCCAGCTGAAAAGAAAAACCTCAGAACCTCCACAGGTATAACCAGATTTATGAAAGACCTCTTTTCTATTTAATGCTAAGATCTGCTGAAGATGTGCCTTTATGTGTGTCTTTTATTCCGTGTGCCACGGTCCATAATGGACACTTCATGTTTGCAGGATTAAAACAAGGAGAAGGGACTCTAATGCATCCACTGAAACGATGGTAAGAGCCAGGAATCTTACAGGACTACTCATCCCGCCTCCTCCCAGTCACCCTTCCCATCACTCAGGCAGTTTAAAATCACTGATATACCATAGCATGTTATCACTTCTGGTCAATTCTAGTAACATTAAACATACCATCCATCTACCAGTCCTTCGTTGACAAACCACGTGAGTTTTCTTTTGGATAGCACTGTGTTGTTGAGATTTAGCCGACTATATTCCCAAATATATGGCTTCCTTATGCCTAAAGCTTCAATAATCCAATAAAACTGCTCATCTCTGTCATGGTATTCTGTTGTTCTCAGGGCATGTGTAACACCTTCAATGCTGTCAACTATGGGGCAGGCAAAATCATATGTTGGATAAACACTGGAAAAAAAGAAAATCAACATGAAACAATCACCCTCCCCATCTTAAATTAGGCATTACAGACAGAAATACTTCCATCTGTTGGGTCCCTCCTCAAATGCCTCAGCAGCCAGAGGGGAGTAGCTGGGCCTCACACCTGCACTCCAACAGCTGATGCAGGTGTTCCACGCAGCAGTTTAACCTGCTGCACCATAACAGCCACCCCAATACCAATTTGAAGTATAATTCTTTGACAAGTTAAGAGTTTCTTAAAAACCAACAGTTCTTATGACTCAATAGTCAAAGCATATCAAGAGTCTTTTAAAATAATGAATCAGTCATTCAATATTTAAACAAAAAAGCAAGTCTGCACTTTTTAGCACACAATTGGATATTAGCTTGGCAAATGAAACAATCAATATTTCAGTAATGGCCAATGTGTATCACAGAAGAACCAAGAATAATATATTTAGTAGTTTTGAGGAAGAGTAACTTTTTTAAAAAAGTAAAATCTCAATTGAATAAAGCCCTAAGGGTGTTAACAGTTTTGTAGTTTAACATACTCAAGTACTGAGCATTACATTTTCTGAGATGTAAAAACAAACAAAAGAATTGTTAGGTTAATCAAAATTCCACTTAACATAGAATAATCTTTAATTCCTGCTTAAAATAATATGTACAACATACATATAGTTTTGATATAAATTTTTTTTAAAGATTTTTATTGGGACTGGCGCTGTGGCGTAGTAGGCTAAGCCTCTCCGCCTGTGGTGCCAGCATCCCATATGGGCAACGGTTTCAGTCCTGACTGCTCCACTTTCAATTGGGCTTTCTGCTATGGCCTAGGAAAGCAGCAAAAGATGGCCCAAGTACTTGAGCCCCTGTATCTGTGTGGGAGACCCAGAAGAAGCTCTTGGCTTCAGATTGGCCCAGCTCTGGGTGTTATGGCCATTTGGGGAGTGCATCAGCAGATAGAAGATTCTGTCTCTCCTCTTGCTTTCTGTAACTTTATCTTTCAAATGGGTACATAAATCTTAAAGAAAAGATGGTAGCTGAGATGCCCACATCTCACACTACAGTATCTGGGTTTCAAACCTGGTTCAGTTTCCTGTTAGTATATACCTTGGGAGGCAGCGAGCAATGGCTCAAATATTTGGGTCTCTGCCACCTACAAGGCAGACTTGAACTCAGTTATCAGTTTCTGGCTGATATTACAGGCATTTGGAGGGTGAGTCAGTAAATGGAAATTCTTTTGCCTATCTCTTTCTGTGCCTCAAAAAAATTTTTAGAAACATGTATAATGTTTTACAATCACTATTATGTTAAAAATAGTATATTTCACAATTATTTGATCCTGAAAATGTGTATCCAAATAAACTTTTCCAAATGTATTCAAAGGAGCAATCAACTTGATAAAATGTCACACACACACACTGCATATTTGCCTACACATGTACACACATCCATACCCATGAATTTAAAGAAAGTCACATTAGCTAGCCAGGTACTCATTTATACTGACCAGTCACTTCACAATTTGTAATTCAGCATTGGTACATGGTAGGCTTCTTCAAAGTATCAGAAAATATGGTCTATGGTTTATTTTATTTTTCTGCTTACTTTTTTAAATTTATTTTTAATTATTTTCAATTTTAGCTTTTAACAGATTCAGTATCATTCATAAATACAATCTGTTTGCTTTATATAATGAATTTTTTTGGAAGGAGGAGAAAATATCTGTTATTCTGAAAAACCACACAGAAAACTAAATAAAACAACAAAAACACATGCCACTTTCTTATTTATATTTGTATAAATTTTCAACACTATCATTTTATGAATCAATTTATGTCCAGTAGAATCAAAGTTTACTATAGGAAGAGAAATGTCGTCTAAAAGAACATACCATAGTATACCTAATCAACACATAAAAAATTGAGGCAGACTAAAGGACTTTTGTAGATGGAAGTGATCTTAGAAGTGGCTTTACTATCATCTTGACTGTGAATAAACAGCCCTGAAACATTATAAGCATTTACAGAACACCAGCAAATCTGCAGATGAACAAAGTTCCAGGTTTCTTGACTATTCTGCATCTACTCCGTGTTTACAAAGAGAGTCAAAGCTTAGGCACGGGCAGCTAACTAGCATAGTGTAAGAGATGCACTTACTTGTATTTACTGCCAGTTCTTGGGTGTGGTTGGATTTTGCAGCGATAAAGGGTGGGATCTCTCATGCATCCATTGTTACTAGTCATGTCAATTTTTGCTCGCAAACAGCAGGACTGACCAAACTGGCTCCCTTTTTTCATTTCTTCCCACATTTGTAGATTCTTCTCAATTGCTATAAAAGGACATGTACATTACATCTTATCTAACATATTACTGATCTGGTTTAAATCAAATTATTAGCCCGTGACCAGCTGAGGAGGCTCCATGGAAGCCCCTACAGTCATCCCAGTGAGAAGCAGGATATTCTTGAATCCAAGAAAATAAGAGATGATAGAAAACAGATAGTGAAAGAAAACAGTTTGATCTCAGAAGAAAGAGCTCTATATCTCAAACGCCTGTGGCCCTACCTAAGTAGGAAATATGGAAAATCTGGTCCACATAGACAAGAAAACTTAAACTTTTATGGAAACTACCAGGGTACTGGATATTTTATCTACACTCTAAGAATCAAGATAGGTCTAAAAGTCCAGTTATTAACTAACTTCAAAACTGCACAGCAACTTTTCAAAATAAAAAAGACTATAACAATTCGAATTTACTATACCAAACAAATATAAAACTCAAAATTTAAACACAGTGTATAAGTTTTGGCAATATAATCACAAAATGAAAACGGCTTAACTTAGAAGCTTAGAAGACAAGTCAAGAATAAGAAATGCTGGGGCTGGGGCTGAGGCATAGCGGGTAAAGCTGCCACCTGCAGTGCAGGCATCTCATACGGGTGCTGGTTCGAGTCCCAGTTGCTCCACTTGGATCCAGCTCTCTGCTATGGCCTAGGAAAGCAATGGAAGACAACCCAAGTCCTTGGGCCCCTGCCCTCACGTGGGAGACCTGGAAGAAGCTCCTGGCTCCTGGCTTCAGATTGGCATAGCTCCAGCCATTGTGGCCAATTGGGGAGTGAACCAGCGGACGGAAGACCTCTCTCCCTCTCTCTGCCTCTTCTCTGTGTAACTCTGACTTTCAAATAAATAAATCTTTAAAAGACTGAATGCTGGTCAGTGCCGCAGCTCACTTGGCTAATCCTCTGCCTGCAGCGCCAGCACACCGGGTTCTAGTCCCAGTTGGGGCGCCGGATTCTGTCCCGATTGCTCCTTTTCCAGTCTAGCTCTCTACTGTGGCCTGGGAAGGCAGTAGAAGATGGCCCAAGTGCTTGGGCCCTGCACCCACATGGGAGACCAGGAGGAAGCACCTGGCTCCTGGCTTCGGATCGGCGCAGTGCGCCAGCTGTAGCGGCCATTTGGGAGGTGAACCAACGGAAGGAAGACCTTTCTCTCCGTCTCTCTCTCTGTCTAACTCTGCCTATCAAAAAAATAAAAAATAAAAAATAAAAAATAAAAAAGACTGAATGCTAATATTATTATTAAACATTTTAGAAAGGCTAGATACTCAAGAGAACTAAAAAATATTGCAGAAGGAATCTTTCAAAACAAATGAACATAATGCAAAAGACTGCACACAGGGGCCTGGTCATTTCATATGCAGTTGTAGATGCAACAAAATACTAAGGTAAAGAACATGGAGTGAAAAGCCCTTCACTCCGCCCAGATTCCAAAGTAACCACTGCTGTCATGGGGCCTTTTGGGTTTTCTTCTTCTCTTGGGTGCCCCCTCCATGCCGCTCTGACTGGAGGTCTTTCACTCTAATAAATCTTTATGAATCTCAAAAAAAAAAAAAAAAAAAAAAAAAAAAGACTATGGAGAAAGAGAAAAAATTTCTAACAGACGAATTAACATGAATCATATTCCGAAATGTGTCTCAAACCAGCTTCTTTTGTAGAAAAGAAATCACGTTCCACTAAAGAAGCAGAATACAAGAATATCAGTTAAAATAGAAAACTCCAAAGAAGTCTTACAGTTTTGTCTGTGTTTGGATTCTAGCCTCTGTTCACGCTCTGCCTTCATCTGCTCGGCAGGGGTATCATCCACATAAGCCTTCCCTTCTTGAATTAGCTTCTCTGCGTATTTCATTATAGTTTCAAAATGATCAGAGGTGTAAGTAAACTGATCTGGTTTGATGTGCAACATTGCAACATCTTCCAAGATAACCTGCAATAAGAAACCAAAGTAACCATCAGAATATCTTTTGTATTTTTTCATAAATTTTAATCCTTGATACTGCACTTGGGTAAAAGCAATAAACACCATCAGCTTTATACAGCCTGAAAATGGTTGTGGAAGTTGTATGATTACAGATCAGAAGAGAAAAGAACAAGACAAATACTCCTTTCAGTAACCTTCTGTATTTCCAGCTGAGAATGCTGATCTCATGAGCGAGCTTCCCATTTACTCTGGAAAAGCTGATTATTGGTTGTATAGATAAAAAGAAAACCTATCTCCAGGGCCCAGTTCATTCAAGAAATTGGTACAGGAAAATACAACATTTAGGTAAACTAAGTGACAACTGGGGAAAAAAATATATATTTAAGTTTTTGGTATGGAAGCTCAGTATTCTTGGCTTAAGCCTCAGGCATAGAACATACAGATGAGGGGGAAAGAGCAACTATGAAAACAAAATTTATTTTCATACCATAAAGGTACCAGGTCACCCTCTTAATTATAATTAACTTTTCTGCAAAAGGGTCATCACTACACTTTTAATTACCTTCTCAAAATCTTCCTTTTCTTTTTCAGGATTTGTGTCATCAAATCTCATGATCAGTTTCCCTTTAAAGTTAACCTGGTAGTGCTGGTTCAGAAGAGCAGCTTTTGCATGCCCAATGTGTAAGTAACTAAAACAAAAACATTTCACAAAGAGACTCATTAACAGGTTTTAACTAAATGCTTAAACTTAACCCTCTTGAGGAGAAGAGAACTAAAAAATCCTAACTGATACTGTAATTATATTTTACTTTCTAACAAGGATTGTGATCAAAAATCTGATCCTGAGAGGAAAACAAAATACTGCAACATTTTTAATAAGATAATTATAAGAAACAAAATCATATATAAAATAACCCAGAAGCATGGGATTTACAAACATTATAACCTTAAGGAGAATTGTCTTTTTCTTTTTTCGAGAGGAACTGTCATTTAGTTATTGTCTTTTTCTTTTTTCGAGAGGAACTGTCATTTAGTTAAACAGCCTTGAAAACTGTTCCCAATGCTGCAATGTGGTGTCTTTGTGAGATATGATGCTATTGAGAACTGGGCACCTTTCTAATGTACTCAGTACTTCTGAGACTATCACTGTGTGGTGGCTGAAGAAGAGAACATATGAGAATTAGGAAACCACAAAACACCACTTTACTTTTTCAGTTTTACTTTGTTGGTTTTCTAAGATGCCAAAATAAAATAAAACATTTTAACTAAATCATCATATAGGTCTCGTCAAGCACCAATGCTTCAGAATTAGCATCTATGAAAACACCATTTCTGTTTCTATGGGAAGTTGACAATTACAAGGAATATAGTAAGTCAAAGGACTTTTTTTTTTTTTTTTTTTTTTTTTTTGATAGGCAGAGTAGACAGTGAGAGAGAGAGACAGAGAGAAAGGTCTCCCTTTGCCGTTGGTTCACCCTCCAATGGCCGCCGCGGCCAGCGCGCTGCGGCCGGCGCACCGCGCTGATCCGATGGCAGGAGCCAGGCACCCCTCCTGGTCTCCCATGGGGTGCAAGGCCCAAGCACCTGGGCCATCCTCCACTGCACTCTCTGGCCACAGCAGAGAGCTGGCCTGGAAGAGGGGCAACCGGGACAGAATCCGGCGCCCCAACCGGGACTAGAACCCGGTGTGCCGGCGCCGCTAGGCGGAGGATTAGCCTAGTGAGCCGCGGCGCCGGCCAGGACTTTTTAATAATATTATACAACACCTTTCTCTATGAAAAGTGGAATCTATACTAGTGCTGCTGAAATTATACTTTACTGCAAATGAACCTAGTAAGGGAATAAGGAAGTTTAAATTATTAGCTCTCATAATTTGTGCTGGCTTCAGTTGAAAGTGGTAGCAACAGTTGCCCTTTTTAAAGATGTGTAAATGCTACTACAGAATTAACAATGTAACCATCTGAAAAACAAGGACCTTTTTGGTGTTTCAAAAGAGTAACTACAGTGAGTTAACGCATCCCATCGGGGCGGTTGGGGCGGCTGCTCCACTTTCCCTCTGGGTCTCTGCTGTGGCTTGGGAGGGTGGTGGTGGATGGCCCGGGTCTTTAGGCCCCTGTGCCTACTTGGGAGACGGAGGAGGCTCCTGGCTCCTGGCTTCGGATCGGCGTGGCTCCAACCATTGTGGCCATTTGGGAAGTGAACCATCGGATGTGGGACCCCTCTCTCTCTGCCTCTCCTCTCTCTGTGTAACTCTGACTTTCACATAAAAAGATAAATCCTAAAAAAAAAAAAAGGGGGGTGGTGGTAACTGCAGCTTGGTTTGAAATTTGTACTGTTTCTACCATTAAAAGTTATGGTTTCTTGTTGGATTTAAAAAAAAAAAAAAGAAAAAAAGACTGGCATTCTGGCACAGCAGGTTGGGCTGCTATCTGCAATGCTGGCATCCCATACGAGTACCAGTTCCAGTCCCAGCTGCACCACTTCCAAACCAGCTCCCTGCTGATGTGCCTGGAAAAGCATAAGATGGCCCAAGTGCTTGGACCCCTACTACCACAAGGGAGACACAGAAGGAGTTCCGGGCTCCTGGTTTCGGACTGGCCCAGTCCTAATCATTGTAACAAATAGGGAGTGAACAAGTGGGTGGAAGATAATTCTCTCTCCCCATCTTGTTGTGATTCTGCCTTTTTTTTTTTTTTTTATTTGACAGGTAAGAGTTAGACAGTGAGAGAGAGAAAGACAGAGAGAAAGGTCTTCCTTCCGTTGGTTCATCCCCCAAATGGCTGCTACAGCCGGAGCTACGCCAATCCGAAGCCAGGAGCCAGGTGTTTCCTCCTAGTCTCCCACGCAGGTGCAGGCACCCAAGCACTTGGGCCATCCTCCATTGCCCTCCCAGGCCACAGCAGAGAGCTGGACTGGAAGAGGAGCAGCCGGGACTAGAACCCATTTCCCATATGGGATGCTGGCACCGCAGGCGAGGATTAGCCAAGTGAGCCAAGGTGCCGGCCCCAGCGACTCTGCCTTTCAAATATTTATTTTTTAAATAGTTTTTTAAAAACCCCAATAATCATTGACTACCTACTATTTATCAATTAACGTATTTGGTTTTCCACATAGGAATTTAAGAAAAGTGATAAAATCAAAATACTATCTTATCCTAAAAAATTTTATTTCTGAAAAATATTTGTGGTTCTCTTAACTCCAAATCTCAAGAAAGCTAACAAGGCTATAAAATACTCACAAGGCAACTAAAACAGTTCAAGAGATAGCCTGTAACAGTATAGCTAAACAGAGTAAGAATCATGCTGTGTGAGTAACCCCTGATGCTGAATGGGGCTTCTGCAGACTTAACACATGCATGTAGCAAAACTTTTAATTATGGATTCTAGAGCCAGGAGGCAATGACCAATCACTATCATGCTCTATGAATCAGTTTCTGAAAGCATTTGTAAAATAAAATAGAAATGTCTGAAAGTGCCTTTCTCACAGGACTACTAGGATTAAATGAGTGACTATATGTAATACACCTAGTAGTGTCTACACATAACAGGGCTATACACAAGATAGCTAGAGTAAGAATAAACAGTAGCCGGCGCCATGGCTCAATAGGCTAATCCTCTGCCTTGTGGCGCCGGCACACTGGGTTCTAGTCCTGGTCGGGGTGCCGGATTCTTTCCCGGTTGCCCCTCTTCCAGGCCAGCTCTCTGCTGTGGCCCGGGAGTGCAGTGGAGGATGGCCCAAGTCCTTGGGCCCTGCACCCGCATGGGAGACCAGGAAAAGCACCTGGCTCCTGGCTTCGGATCAGCGCGATGTGCCGGCTGCGGCGGCCATTGGAGGGTGAACCAACGGCAAAGGAAGACCTTTCTCTCTGTCTCTCTCTCACTGTCCACTCTGCCTGTCCAAAAAAAAAAAAGAATAAACAGTAAAGTTAAGCCTCTGGCTTTTCATGTAAAACGTAGAAAAGAAAAAATAAAAGAACTGTGCAGTAGTATGAGGAAAAGAGACCAAAATTACAAATATTAAGAAAAATTGGGGCCAGTGCTGTGGCATAGTGGGCTAAGCCTCCACCTGCAGTACCAGCATCCCGTATGGGTGCTGGTTTATGTTCTGGCTGCTCCTCTTCTGATCCAGCTCTCTGCTACAGCCTGGGAGAGCAGTTAGGCTGGCCCAAGTGCTTGGGTCCCTGTACCCGTGTGGAAGACCAGGAAGAAGCTCCTGGCTTCTGGCTTCAGATAGGCTCAGCTCTAGCCATTGTGGCTATTTGGAGAGTGAACCAGCAGATAAAAGACTTTTCTGTCTCTCCCTCCCTCTGTAACTGTACCTCTCAAATAAATAAAATCTTAAAAAAAAAAAAAAAGAAAAATTAAACATTTATTTAAATTTCAAATCCCAAAACTGAATTAGGACAGGAATACAGTCTTTGAAATCAACATAACTAAGACCAGATAAACATATTTTACATATTGTACATAAATCTATATATACTATAATATACAAACATGAGGAAGCCCATGAAGTGACAGTAACTAAAAATATAAAGAGATTCAGAAAGAACAAATGTCCAAATGGTATAACTATAAATAGCCACTGCTAAAAAAAATTAATAAAGTAGCTTTCACTCAAACCATTAAGTTCATTACTCAGCAGCACAACCATGACCCCTCACACCAAGGAGCAGAATTTTGGGCAGTAGGGAGCTGCTGTCTTCAGTGCTGGCATCCCTTATGGGCACTGGTTGGAATCCCAGCTACTCTACTTCCAATCCAGCTCCCTGCTAATGCACCTTGGAAAGTAGTGGAAGATGGCCTAACTGCTTGGGCCCCTGTACCCATGTGGGAGACCTGGAAGAAGCTCCTGGCTCCTGGCTTCAGCCTGGAGCAGCTCCGGCTGTTGCAGCCATTTGGTGAGTGCACCAGTAGATGGAAGAGCTCTCCCTCTCTGTAATTCTAACTTTCAAAAAAATAAAGTAAATCTTTTAAAAAATAAGTATTATTTAGTTATGATTCCTCTAGTAACTATGAATCAATTAATGATCAAGTTTGTGAATTTTTCAGTAATTTCTTCCATCCACCTATCCTTTATTTCACCACCTCAATCAGCAAACTTTTAGAGAAAATGTGGAATTCTAATTGATTTTGCTTTTAATGGTACTTATAAGACAGTTTGTTAAGAACTATAAAATACATAGCAAAAAGAGAATTGCTCCCTCACCTATTCATTGTTATTGTCTACAGATGGGTGAGAACTTGGCTACAGTACGTGAAATCGGAAATTAAACTACATTTGAGAAAAATGATCATGTTATCTATAAAGCACAACACAATACTTTCCTAATGGTTAAGTTTCTGAGTAAAGTAACTGCTTTCATGAGGCACTGTATTAGAGTATTAGCCATTAAAGGCTCTATTACAAAACCTGTCCAGCATGCTTCAAATAGGATGACAGGTGTGTAAAGACAAAGACTCTCCCATCAGCCTTGGGAAACACTGAGCAAACCTGGACGCATCCCCAAGCAGGTAGCCACCAGCCAAAATAGTCATTCTGACTAATGGGCTATTCAAAATTCTTGGAGCGAGCATTTAGCCTAGCAGTTGTCTGTGTCCCATATCCAAATGCCTGCATTTAATTCCTGGCTCTAGGGGCCTAAGTACAGCTTCCTGCCAGTGTAGACAGGAGATGCCATGACGGTTCAAGTGATGGTTTCTTGCCATTAGGAAACCTGGACTGGCCCAGCCATAACTATTGTGAGCATTTGGGGAATGAACCAGAAGATGTGAGTTCTCAGTCTCTCTCTCAAAAAAAAAAAATTGTCTTAAGTAGAATAAAAATGTAGTCTCTTCTATTAAGTTAGAGAACAAAAATTACAAATTAAATAAGCTAACATTACCTACTAATAATTAAGAAACTATCAAGATGTTTAGTTGGGATTTTAACTTCCACAACTGAAATTTTATTTATGTTCTTCAGAATCATCAACCATTAATATTAAAAGTACTTAATAACTGGTTTACAGCTTTCCCATGAAATATATTTGATTATAAACGGAAGCTATATCTTCTTACCCACTAGCCTCTGGAGGAAATCTGACAGTAACCTTTCCCATCTCTGCACCTGGAAGCTCAACAAATTTCCCAACATCTTGTTTTTTCTCAGGTACCTGGAAAACAGAACAACCACAATAACAAAGTTATATGGTTAGATGCTTAAGAATACAACCATTCAACAAACAGTCAGTACCTACTATGTGCCATACTGGATATGAGAAAAATGATGACTACAGTATCATCCCTGCACTTGAAGACTTAAAACCTGGTGCAAGATATAAATAAAACCAAGTGCCAGTAACATGGATGTGTACAAGGTGCTGTTCCAGCACTACGTTGGAGTCAATCAACAATATTTAGGATCGCTGCTTCAGGGAAAAAAGTGGATAAGAACCAAACTGGACCTTAAAAAAAAAATAAGCAGAAATGTATCACATGGAGAGTGCAAGTGTAAAATGAGTGTGCAGGTAAAGGAGTAAAGCGAAGACACAAAGGCAGAGAAGACCGGTGTAATGTCCATGAAAAGTCAGAAATGCATGTTGGATGTGTGGATAAGGAAGCAGAAATAGATTAGGTCCAAAACAGGAAGAGACTTTTAAGCTTGGCTTTCATGTTTTAGGCAATGAAGAGTCCTCAACTACAACTGGATATTTTATTTGTATTTTCTATTTTATTTTTATTTGACAGGTGGAGTTACAGACAATGAGAAGGAGAGACTGAAAGAAAGGTCACAGCAGAGAGCTGGACTGAAAGAGGAGCAACCGGGACTAGAATTCGGCGCTCATATGGGATGCTGGCACCGCAGGTGGAGGATTAACTTAGTGCGCCATGGCGCCGGCCCCTGGTATATGGCTTTAAGGTCATCAGCTACACAACAATGACAGTACATTATATGGAATTTGGATTGTCTTAGGGACATGTATCAGATGATCATAATCTTTTGGATATATAAAAATTAGGGCTTTATGTTAGTCAAACCGACTTAAGAATGGCATATTCTGGGGCTGGTGCTGTGGCATAGCGGGTAAAGCCGCTGCCTGTAGTGCCAGCATCCCATATGAAGAGGAAGACCTTTCTCTCTCTGCCTTTCTCTCTGTGTAACTCTGACTTTCAAATAAATAAATAAATCTTTAAAAAAAAAAAAAAAGAATGGCATATTCTTCCAAAATTCTTTTAACCTTCCTCAAGGAAATACACTTTATGAATAGAAATAATTTTCTTTTCAGATCTAGAACTTCAATGAACTATAATGTCAGAATTTTAAAAAAGAAAGGAGTGAAAAAGAAAAAAAGGCTTACCACCTTAGCTTTGTTTGCTGAAACTCCCCACTTGGAACCCACTGACTGGAAGGCTTGCTGGGCTTCAAGAAAGCCGAACCAGCGTTTTACATGAACTGGAGCTTTGTTCTGTTTCAATTGTTCCTGCCATGCAGCACTGCCTGGTAGAAAACATAAATTTTAAAATTATTCAACAGGTCTTCAACTTCAAAAGTAATGTTCTAGTCATGGTTGATGTATATAAATTGGATGGCTTAAAGTTGTGCTTCTGTAATAAATTTCAAAAATCTGGGTATACACTGAACTTTTTCTTAATATTTTAATATATTTCACAGAATTCACCAAAGTTATGTATTAAAAAGATTTTTTTCATTTAATATATGGAAGTTCTCTAATACTAGATTCTGCCCACTCTCCCCTTTCCACTCCTATTGTAACAGCAATGCTATATTTCATATTTAAGGGAAAGCTATAAACAGATCAACTGGAGAAAACAAAAATAAAGATGATGGAGCCAGTTAAGCTCCACCCGTGGTGCCGGCATCCCACATGGGTGCTGGTTTGAGTCCTGGCTATTCCACTTCAGATCTACCTCCCTGCTGACGGCCTGGGAAAAGCAGTGGAAGACAGCCCAAGTGCTTGGGCCCCTGCACCCATGTAGGACACCTGGAAGAAGCACCTGGCTGCTGGCTTTGCATCAGCCCAGTTCTGGCCATTGCAGCCATTTGGGGAGTGAACCAGTGAATGGAAGACTCTCTGTCTCTCCCTGTCTGTAACTCTGACTCCCAAATAAATAAATAAATCTTAAAAAATTAAGATGATTAAGAAGCAGCTTATTTCCTAAGATGGGATATTTATAAACAAGTACTAAAGGAAAGTTTATTTAACTCCTTAACACTACAAAAACACTACTTAGAAAAATTTTGAGCATGCTATCTCTGTTTCATGAACACTAAGTCAAAAATCAAAATAGATAAAAATGTAATAAATAAACCTATACATGAAAAAAAGCCCTTCTTTTTGTGTTGGTTATTGCTATGACAATTTAATTTGGAGGAAAATTTAGGCCACAATAATGTACAGAGAATATAAAAAACAATCTATATATGTACTGCAACTAAGACTTAAAAACAGTAGAATATGTCTGCAATGTGGTGTAACAGGTAAAGTTGCCACCTGCAGTGCTGGCATCCCATATGGGCACCAGTTCAAATCCCAGTTGCTCGACTTCTGATCCAGCACTCTGCTATGGCCTGAGAAAGCAAAAGATGGCCCAAATCCTTGGGTGCCTACACCCACGTGGGAGACCCAGTATAAGCTCCTGACTCCTGGTTTCGGATCAGGTCAGCTTCCGCGGTTACAGCCATTTGGGGTAGTGAACCAGGGGATGGAAGACTTTCCTCTCTCTCTCTCTCTGCCTCTGTCTCTTTGTAATTCTGCCTTTCAAATGAATAAATACATCTTAAAAAAAAAAAAAAGAAAAGAAAAGAAAAAACAGTAAAACACTGTGGCATATCTGCTCCAGCTTTTTTTTTTAAAGAAAATAACAAAATTCAAGTTTCCTTTGTACCTCTCAGCAATCCCATTCTCCTTCTTCTCTATTTTGTAAATTTCTTTACTTTCCATGAACTTATTGAAGCTACTTGTACAAAGTTTACTAATACTCTTCAATGTAAATTAATGTACCTTGAACTTTTACTAAAGTCTTCCACATGATCAGAAATGTCTCCCTGTGTAACTGAATATATCAATCATCCCAAGTAATTGTTGATGATCTATGTTTTTTCCCACACACATACTTTTGAAAAACAGACTTACTTACTGGAGCACTCCTTAAGCAAACACTGGTTTGTCTCAGATCATTTACAACTACACAATGACAATCATGTACTATTTTAAGATTCAATTTCCATATGATCTTATTCCTATGTGATCCCATGTACGTTATTCCAAACTTTATATGCTTTGGTATTTGCCTCCACACAATCTGCAGTATGTGATTAACTAAGCTGTCTACCTTTTACTACCTACCATAAACTCTTTTTCCTGAACTTCCACTACTGTCTCTTCTCAGCGAGACTGCTGGGGTCTGTTTACTGATTTTTGCAACGATTTTCTTCTTGTTGGTATGAATTCTGAACTTCCCTTTCTCAAACTCTCTACTTCCTAACCAAACTAACATCAAGACAAGGCAGAAACTTGTCTAGTCTGCTTTTGCCTCATGAGGCAACCAAGAGATTTCTGAAGAGTTGAAGAAATCCAGATCACTCTACCTTAATGCCTCTGTAGGAGCCTCATGATCTACATTATATACCATCACATTCCCTCAATAGGCCTCAATAGGCCCAGCTACTCTGTAATATACTCCCATAATATATACCACTTTGGCCTTCTCTCTTTTTATCTTCACCCTATCTCTCCAACATAGGTTCTGAATAAATATATAAAAATTTTGACATTGAGGGCTTTTGCCTTTTGTTTAAGATTTATTTATTTACAGAGTTAGACAGTGAGAGAGAGAAAAACAGAGAGAGAGAGAGTTATACACAGTGAGAGAGAGACAGAGAGAGAAAGGTCTTCTTTCCGTTGGTTCACGCCCCTAATGGCAGCCATGACTGGCGCTACACCGATCCGAAGCCAGGAGCCGGGTGCTTCCTCCCAGTCTCCCATGCGGGTGCAGGGACCCAAGCACTTAGGCCATCCTCCACTGCCTTCCTGGGCCACAGCAAAGCTGGACTGGAAGAGGAGCAATGGGACTAGAACTGGTGCCCATATGGGATGCTGGCGCCTCAGGCGGAGGATTAACCAAGTGAGCCATGGCGGCCGGCCCTATGTATTTATTTATTTGAATGGCAGAGTGACATCCAGGGTGAAAAGAGTGAGAAGAAAGAGATTTTCTGTCTACTGATTCACTCTCCAAGTGGCCACAAAAAAGTGGGACTGTTCCAGGCCAAATTCAGGAGCAAGGAACTCCATCCTGTTCCTCAACATGGATGGCAGAGACCCAATCCTTGGAACATCTTACACTGCCTTCCCAGGGGCATTTGGAGGATGCTGAAATGGAAGCAGAGAATACTAGCATCTCAAGCAGTAGCATAACCCACTGCACTATAACACCAGCCTCAACACTGAGGTTTATTCCTTTTGTAAGTTATATTTTCTACTGCAATGTTCTAATCTTGAATAATATCCCACAAAAATCAGAATTTATACTATTCTTCTCAAAACCATTCAAACTGTGGTAAAGTACAGCTGCTATGACCATTCATGTACAAGGTTTTATTTGAACATCTGTTCTCAATTTTAGGGGGTTTAAACCTACTGGAGTTATATTATAATTCTTTGCTTAATTTAGTTAAAAACTTCCAATTTTTTAAAAAATAAATTCCTAGGCACCTCCCACACCATTATTCTTTTCCAAGTTACATAATGGCTTTTTTTTTTTTTTTTTTTTGGATAGACAGAGTTAGACAGTGAGAGAGACAGAAAGAAAGGTCTTCCCTCCATTGGTTCACTCCCCAAATGGCTGCTACGGCCGGCGCTATGCCCATCTGAAGCCAGGAGCCAGGTGCCTCCTCCTGGTCTCTCATGCAGATGCAGGACCCAAACACTTGGGCCATCCTCCACTGCCTTCCTGGGCCACAGCAGAGAGCTAGACTGGAAGAGGAGCAACCAGGACTAGAACCCGGCGTCCATATGGGATGCCGGTGCCGGCCCCCATAATGGGCTTATTAATCTCATAGTTTTAGCAATTTCCTTCTCTTTCTATATTACTTAATCACTGTTAAATTAACATCACTGTTAAATTAACAATGTTTCTACCAGAGATGAAAGTAACTGGCTTTCTAGATCAGTGGTTGGCTGGGACCAAAGGATGGGGGAATGATTGCAAAGGGACATGGAAAACTTTGCAGGTGGTGGGTATATTAATTGCCCTGACTGTGGCCATAGCTCCACAGGTATAGATGTATTTTTGTATGTGTCAAAACTTCTTATCTTACACATTTTAAATAAGTATAGTGTTCTTGTGTATGAATTATACTACATGAAAGTTGTATTTTAAAAGACTAACTCCAAATTGGTGATAGTATATTTAGCTGTTCCAAATTAGTTGTAAAATAGGAAATAATGACCCTCCAGAAAAACCACAACGCATTAACTACCCACTATCCATCCACCCCCATATTTTCACTGAGGCTAAAGACTTCTTTCTAGTCAGAGATAAATGTTTGGAGTAAAACAGCTAAGGTAGGAGAGGTGCTAACATAAATGAGATGAGGTTTTCTTCAGCAGAAATGAAGTCAGCTCCAAAGGCAAGAGGACAGCTGGGGAAGAGAGAGAACTACACAAAAGGACAGGAAATTACTATGACTAAATAGGAATTAAACAGCCAGGTTATCACTCCTCTGTAAGAAAATCCCAAGTTGTTGCCTAAATACGCACACATGCATATTTATACACATATACATAAAAATGAGTATTTTTATCCAGCAAAATACTAATGATAAGAATAGAACATTTTAAGAAGAATTATTGATACCTTTTAGGGTGGCCCAAACACACAAATCTGCTAAGCTCAAGGAGTTCCCAACTAAGTATGTTCTCAGAGACAGGCAATGATTGAGCTCATTGACAGCAGAAGTAAACAAATCACATGAAGACAATTTTGTAGTACTAAACTCCAACCAGTGATCAATCTGTAAATAAAAGGCAGAAAAGAAATGTACCTAAGGTTTAGACTTAAAAAACACCATGACAAAAATCTCAAGTAATTAGTGTAACAGTATCCTCTCAGCTTTCATAGCTAAAAACCTGCTTTTCTAATCTCAAATTAAAGAAGTTGTCATTATGTGGATTCAGTTCTGTTTGCCTAGGATCTAAAACAGCACTTAAATATCTCCCACACAGGTGCAGCGGCCTAGGCACTTGGGCCATCCTTCACTGCCCTCCCGGGCCACAGCAGAGAGCTGGACTGGAAGAGGAGCAACTGGGACTAGAATCGGCACCCATATGGGATGCCAGCACCACAGGTGGAGGATTAACCAAGTGAGCCATGGCGCCGGCTTTCCTTTTTATTCAGGGTCATAGAGAGGCACTCCAGGAAAGAACAAGAAAAATATTTGAGAGAAACTGATCTTACAGAAGTAGAGAGTTAACATAGTGGTTATCAGAGCCACAGAAAGGTTTGGGGGAGAAATGACGGAGAGAAGTTAATGGGTACAGGTAGAACAGGGCAGTAACTTCTAATATCCTACTTCTACACAGTACAACTATGGCTCACAACAATTAATCCTGAATTTCAAAATAGCTAGACAGGATTTTAAATGTTATCAAAACAAGGATGATAAATGTCTGAGGTTACTGATATGCCAATTAACCCTGACCTGATTTTTATACACTAGGATACAAGTACTGAAATGTTATATTATACTTCATAACTATGTAGTTATTATGAGTCAGGTATAAATTAAGAGTATATTTTTAAAAATATTAAAAAGACTTGTGAATTGGTAATAGGAAGGAATAACCAGTCTGAATGAACCCAAGGAATGGGACCTAGCCAAACAGTTCATCCACTTAAAGAATTTAAAAGAAATAAAGAAAATACTGAGAAAACTGCCTCTGTATATTTGAATTTAATCAGATTTAGGAAAGTTAGAGTGGAATACAAACAGGGAGGAATAAAAGCACCTGCAGAGCAGCACTGAAAGTTGATCAATGAGTGGTGCAATGGGTAAGACATTTACTTAGACAGGGATCCAAACTGTGATATCACTCTGGGCAACTGCTGAACTTTTCTGGGCCTATTGCCTAATCAATAAAGCAAGAAGCTTAGATGAGATGATCTATAAAGTCCCCTCTGGCTATGAAATTCTAGGGTCCAGAAAGATAAAGACAGCACTAAATGCCTCAACAGGACAGGCATTATGGGATTAACATTCAATGAGGAGCTACAGAAAAAATTTGTTTCCTGAAGACAAGATGAACTTGGTCTACAATTAACACTCTGTTACAATCCTAAATAGAATAACACCGTAACTAACAATATGATGAGGTTCCTCTGAAAAACAGCAGCATAAATTAAAACAAAAGAAAGCACACCAAAGCAACAGTCTTGGCTTACCTCAGTATGTTCCAAAAGGTTAGAGCCATAGAGCCCAACTCTATTTGCAACTCTAGCCAGGTAACGAAGGATGGAATTTACGTCCACAAATACCACATTTCTAGAATATAAACACAAAATATTACTGGTGCTCCATCAAATCAGGAAGACTATAAGACTAATAAAGAAATTTCAAATTGGAAATATTATTATTATTATTTTGACAGGCAGAGTGAACAGTGAGAGAGAGAGACAGAGAGAAAGGTCTTCCTTTTGCCGTTGGTTCACCCTCCAATGGCCGCTACAGCCAGCGTGCTGCGGCCAGCGCATCGCGCTGATCCAATGGCAGGAGCCAGGTACTTATCCTGGTCTCCCATGGGGTGCAGGGCCCAAGTACTTGGGCCATCCTCCACTGCCTTCCCGGGCCACAGCAGAGAGCTGGCCTGGAAGAGGGGCAACCAGGAACAAATCTGGCGCCCCAACCGGGACTAGAACCCGGTGTGCCAGTGCCACTAGGTGGAGCCTACTGAGCCGCGGCGCTGGCCGTGGAAATATTATTACATTTACCATGTGTTTTCCACTATAGTAAAAATAATTAATCTGGCTATTTTGTTCTTTACTGCTTCAATCAAATTCCAATCTGTTCTGAAATATTTAGCTAAATCCACCAATTCATTCCAGAGCAGACTTTCCTTTTTTTTCCCCTTGTTTATTTATAAAGATTTATTTATTTATTTATTTGAAAGGCAGAGTTACAGAGAGGCAGAGGCGGAGTGAGAGAGAGGTCTTCCATCCATCTGGACCGATCAAAGCCAGGAGCCAGGAGCCTCCTCCAGATCTCCAACATAGGTTCAGCGCATAGCAGAGAGCTGGATCGGAAGTGGAACAGTTGGGACTCAAACTGGCACCAATATAGGATGCTGACACTGCAGGCAGTGGCTTTACCTGCTACACCATAGCACCAGCTCCAAGAGCAGACTTTTTTTCTGACAAGCAGAGTTAGACAGTGAGAAAGAGAGACAGAGAGGAAGGGTCTTCCTTTTTCCATTCGTTCATCCCCCAAGTGGCTGCTACAGCTGGTGTGTTGTGGCCGATGCGCTGCGCCGATCCGAAACAAGGAGCCAGGTACTTCCTCCTGGTCTCCCATGTGGCTGCAGGGCCCAAGGACCTGGGCCATCCTCCACTGCACTCCCGGGCCACAGCAGAGAGCTGGACTGGAAGAGGAACAACCAGGACAGAATCCGGCACCCCAACCAGGACTAGAACCCGGGGTGCCGGCGCTGCAGGCAGAGCATTAGTCTAGTGAGCCGCGACACCGGCCCAGACTTTCTACATCATAATTTATTACCTATCTACCTATTAGTTTTTGCATATCATTCAGTGGTGAAAATATGAAGATATAATGGGATACTGAGAATAACAGATTTAAAGTAAATCCAGGGGCTAGCGCCATGGCTCACTTGGTTAATCCTCCGCCTGCAGTGCTGGCATCCCATATGGGCGCCGTTTCTAGTCCCAGTTGCTCCTCTTCCAGTCCAGCTCTCTGCTGTGGCCCGGGAAGGTAGTGGAGGATGGCCCAAGTGCTTGGGCCCTTCACCCGCATGGGAGACCAGGAAGAATCACCTGGCTCCTGGCTTTGGATCGGCGTAGCTCTGGCTGTAGCGGCCATTTGGAGGGTGAACCAACAGAAGGAAGACCTTTCTCTCTGTCTCTCCCTCTCACTGTCTATCTCTTATCTGTCAAATAAAAAAATAAAAAATAAAAAAAAAAAAAATTAAGTAAATCCAGGCAAAGAAATCAAAAATAAACTATTATAAGCAGGTTAGTTTTATTAACTTCCAGGTTAAGGAAGCAAGGGTGGGCAATATTGTACAGTGTGTTAAGCCACCCCTTTGATACCTGCAACCCAAACCAGAGTGCCAATTCAAGTCCTGGCTGCTCTACTTTCAATCTAGGTCTCTGTGAATGTGCCTGGGAAGCAGCAGATGATGGCTCAAGTACTTAAGTCCCTGACACACACAGGGGATACCTGGATGGAGTGTCTGGCTCCTGGCTTTGGCCTAGCCCAGCCCTGGCTATTGCAACCATTCAGGGAGTGAACCAGCAGATGGAAGATACGTGTGTGTGTGTGTGTGTGTGTGTGTGTGTGTATGAGATTCTGCCTTTCAAATGAATAAATCTTAAAAAAGAAGGTAGATCAAACTCCATTAAAGCCTTATCACAGCGTGGGCATTTGGCCTAGTAGTTAAGACACCAGTTAGGATGCCTTTGTCACAAATCCAGTTCCATATCCAGTTGTGGTTCTCGACTCCAGTCTCCTGCTAATGCAGACTCAGGGATACAGCAATGATGACTCAAGTGATTGGGTTTCTACCACTTAGTGGGAGACACAGATGGAGTTCCTGGCTCCTGGTACAGCCCTAGACGTTGTGGCCATTTGGGAGAGTGAAACAGTGGATAGAAGCTCTCTTTTTACAGGTAAGAAACACCCTTACTCCTAAACCTTACTGTGTACCACAGGGTTAATGGTATAGGTTTCTTCTTTTTTAATTTATTAAAGATGTATTTATTTATTTGAAAGGCAGAGTTACAGAGAGAGAGAGGGAGAGACACAACAAGAAAGATCTTCCATCCACTGGTTCACTCCCCAAATGGTCGCAAAATGGCCAGGGCTGGGCCAGGCCAAAGCCAGGAGCCAAGAACTTCTTTAGGGTCTCCCACGTGTATGCAGGGGCCCAACGACTTGGGTCATCTGCTGCTTTCCCAGACCTATTAGCAGGGATCTGTATTAGAGAATGGAGCAGCCTGGACTCAAACTAACATCTATATGGGGTGCTGGCACCGCAGGCGGTGGCTTTTCCTTGCCACAGTGCCAGCTACCAGGTTTCTTCTCCAAAATAGAAGATCTCTGGACGTGGGGAAATCTGGAACAGTTGAGTGTAGCACCAAACAGAAAACAGGGATGATAAAGAAAACATGCACCCAAGATGCTGAGATCCCTACATTCTTCTTGCCCTTGTCTCCTAAAATATGGGGTAACAGCTATTCTCCATCTTCTAAACAGGCAATTAGATGTCTTACCTGGATAATCCAATCAGCCTAAGGAGGACAAAACTAAGGATACCGACATTAGAGCTTCCTCAAATGAATAGCTCAGTCAGACCATCCTAGAGTAAAGTTCAGGGTTGACAAGACCAACCTGAGTTCAGAATGCTTTAATCTCCCACTCTAAATCCAAGCAAACTATCATGAGTTATCAGATATCTGAAGATGGTGATAGAAATAAACACTAAAAAAATGTAACCTGGACAAATCATGGAAAAGAAAATATAAGTACAATTGGGATTTAATGCTATAACGAGTACTCAAACAATATATTTCACTTTGTGTTTCTATGGGGGTGCAGACTGTTGAAATCTTTACTTAATGCATACTAAACTGATCTTCTGTAAAAAAAAAAAAATTATCAATTCCCAACTTGACTCTCACTGGGATTAAACATGACAATAGGTCTGATCTGATTTCATCATCATTTAAAAAAATCATCTATTATTTTTCACTTTATGTTTCTGTGTGGGAGCAAACTGTTGAAATCCTTACTTAATGTGTGCTAGGCTGATCTTCTGTATGTTAAGATAATTGAAAATGGATCTTGATGTGAATGGAAGGGGAGAGGGAGTGGGAGGGGGGAGGGTTGTGGGTGGGAGGGACGGTATGGGGGGGAAGCCATTGTAATCCATAAGTTGTACTTTGGAAATTCATATTCATTAAATAAAAGTTAAAAAAAAAAAAGAAAATATAAGTACATAAATTTCTTCTTAAAAATGAAATATTGCAATGATAATGCAAGAACAGAGTATTTAAATATTTTAAAAGGAGTATCCAGAAAATGAAATGCAGAATTCCTATATACAAAAACACAATAGCAGGGGCATGCTTTAGGCACAACAGTTAAGAAGTTGCTTGGGACACCCATTTCCATATTGGTGTCTTTGGGTTTGAGTCCTAGTTCCCTCCCAATTCCAGCTTCCTGCTAATGTGCAACTGGGAGGCAGAAGTAATGGCTAAAATACTCGGGTTCCTGACACCCATACTGAAGACCCGGATGGAGTTCCTTGCTCCCAGGTTCAGCCTGGTATGGTCATGGCTGTCACAGGAATTTCAGGAGTGAACCAGTAGATAGAAGCCATCTCTCTTATTTTCTGTCTCTCTGTTTCTGCCATCCAAATAAATAAATACATAACTAAGAATTTAGAAAAAATACAATGGCATAAAGAAAAAAATCATTAGAAACATGAGATGATAAATTTGAGAAATTCTCCAAAAAGTGAAGGAAAAAAAATAGATGGGAAACGGAGGTGACAATTTAAGAAAACAAAAGCATTAATTTCAACATCTACAAAAAGATCAGAAAATGGAGGGAAACATTTTCCAAATCAAAGAAAAAATATAACTTCTAACATGAGAAGAATGTCCAAGTTTCCACACTAAAAGGAACAACCAAATACCCAGAACAGATGAAAAATAGACCCAAGCTGCAGCATACTACTGGGAAATTTTGGAATACTGAATCCTAAGGAAGATTTCTACAATCTTCCTACTCACATGGAAAAGATCAAGAATCAAAAAACAGGAATAGCCGGCGCCGCGGCTCACTAGGCTAATCCTCCGCCTAGCGGCGCCGGCACACCGGGTTCTAGTCCCGGTCGGGGCACCGGATTCTGTCCCGGTTGCCCCTCTTCCAGGCCAGCTCTCTGCTGTGGCCAGGGAGTGCAGTGGAGGATGGCCCAGGTGCTTGGGCCCTGCACCTCATGGGAGAACCAGGGAAAGCACCTGGCTCCCTGGCTCCTGCCATCGGATCAGCGCGGTGCGCCGGTCGCAGCGTGCCGGCCGCGGCAGCCATTGGAGGGTGAACCAACGGCAGAGGAAGACCTTTCTCTCTGTCTCTCTCTCTCAGTGTCCACTCTGCCTGTCAAAAAATAAAAAAATAAATAAAATAAAATAAAAAATAAATAAAAAATAAAAAAAACAGGAATAATGCAAATAATTATTCCATAGAAAACTAAGTTTTACATGAAAAGTAATTACAGTGCACGGCTCAGCAGTGAATAAAATTTACATGGTCAGTATGATGTAATCATTCAATGGTGATCACACCAGAATTATGACACAACTACCTTGGGAGGAAGGGGGAGATGGGGAACGTAGGGTGTGTTTGTGTGTTTGCCTGTGGGGAGAGTGTTTCAGTGAAGTGGCAATGGGAAAGCTTTATCCTAAATACTGGAGAAAATAGCAGAATGTTAGTTAGAGACAAAGGTCAGTATCAAAACAGTGCAAAGCCCTCAGAGAGGAAAAGGATGATGGCAATGGCTGGCTGATTTGGGGAGTGGATGAGGTGTTGTTTTTGCTTTTTTTTTTTTTAATATGAGAGAGAGAAAAGAAAGGCAGACAGGTAGAGAAAGAATTATCCACTGGTTCATTCCCCAATGTCTGAAACAAAGCTAGGAATGACAGACCTACTACCTAAGCCATCACTGCTGCCTCCCAGGATCCATATTAGCAGGAAGCTACAGTCAGGAGTCAGAGCTGGAAATAAACCCAAGTACCATGACATGGGATATGGGCATCCTCATCAGCATTTTAGCCTTTAAGCCAAAATGCCTGCCTTGACTTGTGTGTGTTTATTTATTTATTTTTTTTTTTTTGCAAGTTTATTTTTTCCTCTATTTGAAAGGTAGAGCAACAGACATCTCCCAAATGCTAGTTCATTCCCCAAATGCAAACAATCGTAAGGGGCTGGGCCAGGCCAAAGCCAGGAGCTGAAACATTATCAAGGCCTCTTAAATGGTTTTCACAGGCCCAAGCATCTAAGCCATCATCTACTTCTTTCCAGGATGCATTAACAAGAAGCTGGACTGTAAGCAGAGAAGCCAGGGCTTAAACTGGCATTCCAATTTGGAATGCAGGCTTCCTATGCAATTAACTTGCTATGCCACAACACCCATCCCAAACTGTATTTTATAGAAGAAACTAATAGAACTCTCAAAAGTATTTGCATACATACCCTTAATTAAGATTTTTTTCTCAGTGAAAAAAATACTGGGGGTTAGCATTGTGGTATAGCAAGTTAGCTACTCCTTGGGATGCCCACACTGCAGTTCAAGTCTAAGCACTCTACTTTACAACCAGTTTCCTAACACACCTGGGAAGTCAGCATATGATGACTCAAGTGTTTGGGACACTGAGAGTTCCTGGCTCCTGGGTTCAGCCTGGTTCAGTCCTAGGTGTTGAATGCATTTTGGGAATGAACCAGTAGATGGAAGATCTCTCTCCCTCTCTGTTGCTCTCCCTTTCAAGTAGATGAAAATAAAAAATAAACATTATTTCAAAAATTGTACCTTTCTCAAACATATCTTTCTACATATATGAATTTTATGCATTTATGTCCTAATTTTTTTCCACAATTTTTTTATTTATTGAAGAGGAAGAGAGAGAGATATAGAAAATGATCTCCTGTTTTTTGGTTCACTCCCCAGATGCCTGCAAAAGCCAAGGCTGGACAGGAGCCAAAGCTTGGAGACAAAACTTGACTCAGGTCTACCACATGGGTGGCAGGAACTCAATTATTTGAGTCATCATCACTTGCTTTCAGGGTCTGCATTAGCAGGAAGCTGGAGTCAGGAACCAGACACTCTGATGTGGGAAGCAGGTGTCTTAACTGCTATACCAAATGTTTGCCACTGATGTCTGGCTTTTCTTTTTAACTAATATTATATTACACACATAGCCACCATTAAAAATTCTTCATAAGCCTCTTTATTTTTCATATATGCTTAATATTCTATGCTGTGGACTTAACAAATTTATTTATTTCCTATTTTGTTGATTTTAAATACATCTAACCTTCCAGCAGAATAATTATTAGAGTAAAACTTAAAGGCTTTATATATAAATCTTTCTGTATACTTGTAGTTCCTTTTAAATACACTATGACTAGAATCAGAAAGCTTGCTGGCAAATATCAGCCTGTGGGTTCCCATTCTCTTAGCTTTTAGAATGATGAAGAAAAGTACGTTGCCTTCTAAGAACAATCTACCTAATTAGCAAGTAGCACAGGCACACATTTAATGCTGAGTATTTTAAAAAAGATGTTTGGAACAACACAAAGATGTAAAAGCACTTACTCAGAAACACGAAGAATATTCTCTTTCCCTTCTTCAACAGAAATGCTGACATCACCTTTCAAGTGTTCCACTGCCAGCAAAGCTCCTATAAATGATAGGATGAAAACATTTCTCTTTGAAAGCAATGTAGTACTTATAACTTGAATCATAAAGCAACGAGGATGAGTTAACAAAGCATATTAAGTTTTATAAGGAGTAAACTTTCCCCAGGACTCTGTATACATAAAATTTATTCTTCTGTCTTACAGAAATAACATCAGAATCCATTCATTAGCACAGTCTAACTGCTTTTGAATGTGCTCAGCTTCCAGTTAATGATACTAAAATTTATCTTTTCCTCCCTCAAAAGTCAAGAAGAAACTAGAATAGTGATTTTCATGAAAGTACATAGCATTTGAATGATCACTATGTTGCAGACACTAAGAAATGTTTCACAATCATCAGACTTGCTGTTGTTTTGCTTTTTTTTCTAACTTGAAAGGCAGAGTCACAGAGATAAAGAGAGACAGAGACAGAAGCAGAGAGAGAGAGAGACCTCCCACCTGCTGATTCACTTCCCAAATGTCTGTAACAGCTGGGACAGGGCAAGGACAAAGCTAGGAGCCTATAACTCCATCCGGGTCTCTCACATGGGAGGCAGGAGCCCAAGTATATGGGCCACAGTCTGCTGTCTCCCAGGCACTCACAGAAAGCTGGATTGCAAGCGAAACAATCAAGACTTGAACTGGCAATTTGACAGGAATACAGGTGTCCCAAGTGGGGGCTTAATCCACTGTACAACAATGCCCACCTCTCTTAAAATCTGTAATCTTTCTAGCAACCTTAACAGTTATATCTAATCTCATTTTACAGAAGAAATTGAGCCTTAAAGAGATAATAAATACCCAATCGAATATTGTTGGCTAAAAATACAGCAGTCAAGATTTACATGCAGGTGTAAGGTAGTTCAGTCCTTAAACTCTAAAACACAGTACAATACTGTCTTCTCAACACATAATAAAGTTTGCTAAATTCAGACTCATTAATCCTTTGTCCCTTAATTTGATTAAGATGGACGACTAGCACCCAGACATTGGTTTCTATTTTTTTTTTTTTTTTTTTTTTTTTTTTTTTTGACAGGCAGAGTGGACAGTGAGAGAGAGAGACAGAGAGAAAGGTCTTCCTTTGCCGTTGGTTCACCCTCCAATGGCCGCCGCGGCCGGCGCGCTGCGGCCGGCGCACCGCGCTGATCCGATGGCAGGAGCCAGGAGCCAGGTGCTTTTCCTGGTCTCCCATGGGGTGCAGGGCCCAAGCACCTGGGCCATCCTCCACTGCACTCCTTGGCCACAGCAGAGGGCTGGCCTGGAAGAGGGGCAACCGGGACAGAATCCGGTGCCCCGACCGGGACTAGAACCCGGTGTGCCGGCGCCGCTAGGCGGAGGATTAGCCTATTGAGCCGCGGCGCCGGCCCCAGACATTGGTTTCTAAACACTATGTTCTGCAGGAAATAAAGCCATGTCATGGAAGGTACAAAATATACATGGAAAATCTCTTGCTAGACAGTTGTACCATGGTTTGAATGTTTGCCCTCCCCAAAACTCACATTAAAATTGAGTTGCCAATGTAACACTTTTTTTTTTTTTTTTGACAGGCAGAGTTAGTGAGAGAGAGAGACAGAGATAAAGGTCTTCCTTTTCCGTCGGTTTACCCCCAAAACGGCCGCCATGGCTGGCGCGCTGCGCCCATCCAAAGCCAGGAGCCAGGTGCTTCCTTCTGGTCTCTCATGCGGGTGCAGGGCCCAAGTACTTGGGCCATCCTCCACTGTCTTCCCAGGCCACAGCAGAGAGCTGGACTGGAAGAGGAACAACCAGGACAGAATCCAGTGACCCAACCGGGACTAGAACCTGGGGTGCCAGCACTGCAGGTGAAGGATTAGCCTAGTGAGCCACGGCGCTGGCCCAATGTAACAACACCTTTAAGAGATGGAACCTTTATGAAATATTTAGGTCATGAGTACTGAGTCCTCATAAATGGACTAGTACTATGGAAGTGGGTTCACCCCCTCTGGCTTTCCCTTTCTCTCTTTGTCCTTCTGGCATGTCATGACATCATGAAGGTCCTCACCAGATGTGGCCCCCTGACCTTGAACTTCCCAAACTCTAGAACTGTGAGCCAATAAATTTCTGTTCATTATAAATTATGTAGCCTGTGGTATTCTGTTACAGCAGAACAAAGCAGACTAAGACAGCAAGGAAATCTCAAAAGAAAGATAAATATATCAGAAGGACAACGGAGGACAACTTAAAGAGGCTCCCATGGGCAAATCAAGGCAATGTGCCCATCCATGAGAGAAATAGGAGTGTATCCACAGAATGGGAGCCTATCCACCAAATGAAAGGAATGAATTGCTGTTATAGGGAACAAGACAGATGGCATTTTTCAGAACTAACAGAAATATTCTATATTATCATTGTAATTGAGGACTACATACTATATATTTGTCAATGTGTAACTTAAAATTGGTGAACTTCATTAAATGCAAGTTATAACTCAATAAAGCTAACCTTAAATAAAATGTTTAAAAAGAGTTGAAATAATACAGAGTAGAAACTATCAAGCACATTCTACTATGAATTTTTAAAGCTCTTCTCACACAAAAAAAGCCAACTAATAGATGGTACAATCAGAAGACTACTATTTGGCAACCATCCCAACATTCAATTAAGCAGAAAGCATTATCAGATGCTGAAACCAGTGGGCAAAGGTACAAGGGAATGCAGAATTTTTACATGGTCCTGAAGTATCTCCTCATTAAAATGTCTAGTATGGGGCGGTGCTGTGACACAGCAAGCAAACTCGCCGACTGCTGGTTCAAGTCTCTGCTGCTCCACTTACGATCCAGCTCTGCTATGGCCTGCGAAAGCAGTACAAGATGGTCTAAGACCATGGGCCCCTGCACCCACGTGGGAGACGGGAAGAAGCTCCTGGCTCCTGGCTTTGGATCAGCGGGGCTCCGACCATTGCAGCCATCTGGGGCCTGAACCAGCAGATGGAAGACGCCTCTCTCTCTCTCTCTCTCTCTCCCAGCCTCTCCTTCTCTCTCTGTGTAACTGACTTTTAAATAAATAAATAAATCTTAATAAAATAAAATGCCTATTAATTGACAGACGAAACCCTACAGTGAGGACAGCTGGCAAACACCAGGAGTCAAAATAAGAATCATCAGTAATGAAAAAGCTAAAGTCATGCATTAATTGATGGGTTGCAAAAAAGATTAAGAAATGACTTTTGCAATGAGTAAGAAATAACTGAGTTATCCTTGCCGAAGATGCATAGGCAGAGGCTGGCGCTGTGGCTCAATAGACTAATCCTCCGCCTGCAGTGTCGGCACACCGGGTTCTAGTCCCAGTTGGGGTGCCAGATTCTGTCCCGGTTGCCCCTCTTCCAGGCCAGCTGTCTGCTGTGGCCAGTGAGTGCAGTGGAGGATGGCCCAAGTCCTTGGGCCCTGCACCCCATGGGAGACCAGGAAAAGCACCTGGCTCCTGGCTTCAGATCAGTGCGGTGCACAGGCTGCAGTGCGCCAGCCGCAGCGGCCATTGGGGAGTGAACCAACAGAAAAAGGAAGACCTTTCTCTCTGTCTCTCTCTCACTGTCCACTCTGCCTGTCAAAAAAAAAAAAAAAAAAAAAAAAAAGAGAGATGCATAGGCAGAATCTAGCCACAAGGAAACATCAGGATATTCTTCAAGTAAGCAGTTTGTAGCCAGCACAGAGGTCAAAGCTATGAATGCCAAAGGAAGAAGAATAAACTATTCCACACTAGAAGAAAGTGATGAGATACTCAACAAGGTGCAAACGGAACTTGATTTTGGATTCTGGTTCTCATACTACGGAGCACACTGTTGGAATAGTTAGTGTTAGTTAAGAATGGGGTCTGTGCATCAGAGCAAAGGAACTGTATCAATGTGGATTTCATGACTTTGATAGCTGTGTGAGATCATGAGGTTTCCTTGCTTGTGAGAGATGCACACTGGAGTATTCTGCAGTGATGAAGCATTGCATCTGCAATATGCTCTTGGATAGTACAGAGGGAGAAAAGGTCTTTGTTGTAGTCTTGCATCTGATTTAAAACTAAAAAAAGAATACTGAATGATATAAAATAGGGCAATTCTAGCAATGAAATTCATTTTCCTAAATATTTCATCTTACTGTATCATTTAAAGATAAAATGTATTTTAATTAAACAACTAAGAAGAATTCAATCAAAAACAAAAGAGGAAGAAGAGGGGCAACCAGAAAAGCAATGTATGCTTGTATTCTATATCTGGTCTATGGCTGAAAAGGACACCAAATTTCCATAAGATTGTTCCAGAACACTAGAAGAATGTGGGTGAGCTCTATGGTTCATTACAGAAACAGATCTGTCACCTTCTGTGTGACTTTCTAAGTAACATTTGTAAAAACTGTAACTAATACTAGTAGTTAAAAAGTGTCAAGAAGCTTACCTACTCTCCTGCAACCAACTCTGGATGGAAGGCATTACATCCCCTATCCTAAATAAGGTAATTGTGGGAAGGAGCTCAACAATGAATTTGTCAAGGTTCCACAACTAACATATGGCAGTCAAGGTTGAAATCGGGCTTCCAGGAACCAAATCGTGGAGGCCACACTGCTCAGTGCCTTTCCAGTTCAAGAATCAAAGTAATTTCTTTTAGTGTTCATTATTTGTTGTGTGGTTAGTACATAATTACTGGAACCAAACACTAAATTTTAAATATTTAACATAGCTATTAAGTTGTGTTTTGGTTTCAACACACAAACACACACACACACACACAAAACACCACCCGTTAAGAATATAACAAGTAATTTTATCAGCCCTACAAGGCCAATTTGTATCTAAAAGTTTGGGCTTCTGGAACATTTATTGTGTCTATATTTAGCAAATACGAGATCAGTAAACTACTTAAATGCTTCTTTGTAATTTGCCAAATGAGTGAAAAGGCAGGAATTCTACGGTATCCAGCCGCAACAACCTTGGCCACGATGAAAAAGCAATTTCAAATAGAAAGCTAAGCCGCATCGGGTAGGTGACGGGGCTGGCATTTACTACATCCAGGACGTGTAGTAAGGCAACTCCATCTGCAGTGTGCCGCAATTACCCCACCACCTTGAATTAAAAACACACCCTCGGTTGAAATCCCAAGTGCTGATGCTTCCATCTGAGCCCGATAAAATGTAAGGAAAAATCGAGGCAAGTAGACTGATGGCTTTTTCTGAGAAGGGGAGGGAAAGGAAGGAAAGAGAGGTCGGTGCGTGGAGGAACTCTAAGAAAAGCGATGACAATGGGATCTTAGGTTTTAACGTGGTATTTCTACGAGTAACTCTCGGTCTCCATTTCAAAATGGGAGAGGGAAGAGTCATCCCGGAGAGAAGGTCTGAAAGCGAGCCTCGTGTCGCCCAGCCCCGGCTCACACTGCGCCTCCCTCCACGCCCGGGAAAACTGCCTTCAGGAGCAGCTCACGGGCTGCGGGGAGAGGCCCACCAGGCAAGCAGTCCCACAAAGGTGCAGGCCCCATCTCCCTAGACCACCCCCGTCACCGCGCAAAGCCGGGGCGACCTTTCTCGCCCCGCACCCCGCCTGGCTGATGCAATCAACACCCGCCGGCAGCCTCGGCCCCTTACCCAAGGGAGGATCTCCTGAGTTCACGGTTAGACAGAGCGTTGCCATCTCCACCAGTCTGCTGGTCTACCTTGCCAGTCCACCTGTCTGGCGCCCGAAACGCCCCAGACTCGCTGAAAGCGAGGATGCAACGTGTGCGTGCTCCCGACGCGCCGCAGCCTTCGCCCCGCCCCCGCGTCGTGGCCACTGTCGTCCTCGCGCACGCTGCCGTACGTCAATACCACGCGCCGTCTCAGCACCCTCTGGCGGCTAAGGTCACAAGAGTCTACGTGGCTCTCCAAACCGCCGTAAGAAAGACGCTGAAGTGCACGCGACTTTACGACACTTCGTAGAGCGAAGTAAGGAAGCGTCGTCTGTACTTGGAGGTTTTCGCTCGCGTCTCTCTGCCGAAGAGGGTTGCGTGTATTTGGATGTATGATCACAGCCACTCTCCAGAGTTGGCAAGGTGCCTGCATCAGAGCAAGGCCGCCTCTCTTGTTAACAGAATCTCAGGAGTGGGCTCCATATCATATCAAGTTCGGCAGGTTATTCTATGCAAAACAAACCATGCGTTGTAACTTCCTCCCTTGCAATTGGTGTCTTCTGCACACTTTGTCATTGTTAAGATCCTTGTATGTTAACACTTTTTATTTAAGCTTTTTTAAATTTATTTTTTAAGGAATACAAATTTCATAGATACAGCTTTAGGAATATAGTTATTCTTCTGGATTTCAGTTCCAAACTAATCTGTTAATTCAATTTAAAAATTTTTGAAAGCAAAGTAACACAGAAAGAGGGAGAGGAGAGAAAAAAGAGATATCTTCCATCTGTTGGTTCACTCCTAAAATGCCTAAAACAGCTAGAGCTGGGCCCTGTCAAAACCAGGACTCAGAAACTTCATCCGGGTCTCCCTTGTGGGTGGCAGGGATCAAAATACTTTGGCCAACAGCTGCTGCTTTCCCAGAAGCATTAGCAGAAAGCTGGATCTGAAGTGCAGGAGCCAAAGCTCTAACTGGGACTCCGATATAAAATGCAAGAGTCCCAGGCAGCAGCTTAACCTGCTGCACTACAATGCCTGTTAATTTCGTTTTTCCATGTCCTTGTTCTGATGTATATGACCAGGAGATATAGGGAGGGATGACAAAGTCCCTGCCCTCAAGGTGCCTACAGTCTTGTAGGTGAAAGAAAGGTAAATAGAGATTGCTCTACAGTGGTATATATGTAACAACTGAAATGTGTTTATCTTACATCCATTTTGGAAATGAGAACAAAAATAATAAAGCTTGCAGAAAGTACAAAGGTAGCTCAGAAGATGGAAAATGGTCACCCATGGTGAGTGGAGGACAGTGGAGAGAACAGTACAGGCAAACCCTTGTGATGGGATGGTCTATTTAGGGGATGGAAAGAAGTTGAAGGAAGAACATGAGCTAAAAAGCCTGGAGTCAGGAAGCTGTGAGTACTTGGATAACTGATTGGTTCATTATTCAGACTATAAAATATTTTGGAAATGAAAGATTAAAAGGCTTCAAGAAAGAGCCTAAATTATGACCAATTCTGCATATAATATTGCATTAGATTTTATCCTATGGTAGGAAGGTAGAGTTTTCAGCAGGAGTAAGAGATGATCAGGACTCCATTTTACAAGGAAGATCACTTTATTTTATTTTATTTTTTTGACAGAGTTAGACAGTGAGTGAGAGACAGACAGAGAGAAAGGTCTTCCTTTTCCGTTGGTTCACCCCGCAAATGGCTGTCACTGCTGGTGCGCTGGCTCCGAAGCCAGAAGCCAGGTACTTCTCCTGGTCTCCCATGCGGGTGCAGGGCCCAAGTCTTGGGCCATCCTCCACTGCCTTCCCGAGCCACAGTAGAGCACTGGACTGGAAGAGGAGCAACCGGGACAGAATCCAGCACCCCAACCGGGACTAGAACCCAGGGTGCCGGTGCAGCAGGCGGAAGAGTAGCCAAGTGAGCCGTGGCGCCAGCCAGGAAGATCACTTTAATAACAGAATAGCGCATGGTTTGGAATGGGCAGAAATGGAAATAGTTAAGATAGTATTGTGGGGGCTGGCGCTGGGTCTTAGTGAGTGAGGCTACCATCTGCTGTGCCGGCATTCCCATATGGGCGCCTGTTCAAGTCCCAGCACCCCACTTCTGATCCAGGACTCTGCTATGACCTGGGAAAGCAGAAGATGGCCCAACTCCTTGGGCCCCTGCATGGGAGACCTGGAAGAAACTCCTGGCTCCTGCCTTCGGACAAGTGCAGTTCTGGCAATTGTGGTTATCTAAGGAGTGAACCCGCAGATGGAAGACCTCTCTCTCTCTCTCTCTCTCTCTCTCTCTGCCTCTGCCTCTCTGTAACTCTGCCTTTCAAACAATAAATAAATATGTAAAAAAAAAATAAGACAGTATTACAACAACCCATATGGGAGAAGATAAAAGATGAAGGCTTAAACCAAGGCAGTGGAATCAGAATTGAGTCTAGAGACTGTTTCGGACATATTTAAAAAGTAGAGTCAACGGTGACATACACAGTGCCAGGGAAGCAGATGGTGAGAGAGAAGTAAGTATGTCTAGGTTTATTACTGAATTCAGGTCCGATGACCCAGGAGACAATTATGTCAATCTAAGGCGGCAAGCCAGCAGGGAAAACAGGTTTGACCAAGTTATTTTGTGCAAGATTCACTGAGATGTTTGTAAGATGCCTAGGTGAAAATATCCTTGTAGCAATTGTAGATTATAAATCTGGTGCTCAGTTGCAGTGTGTTGCTAAAGATACCAGTGGCTGTTAAAATATGAGATAAACCAAGAAAATATGTAGAGCTATGCCTATACAATATGGTAGGCGCTAGCCACATGCAGCCGTTTAATTTTTTCTAAAGCTTCATTGAGATATACTTTACATACCATAAAGTTCAACTATTTAAAGTACAGAGTTGTTATCACAATCAATTCCAGAACATTTTTATCAGCCCCAAAACTCTGTGCCCTTTAACAATCACTCTACATCCCCTTCAGCCTTTAAAATATTTTCAACAAGATAAAAATATTTTACAAAACTCCTCCAATTACTCTGTTTTAACCACTTAGTCTTCCTGTCTACTCGTTTTCTTCTTCAAAAATGCACTTGCTATTCCCACTAGAACTCTTTATAACACTTACCACACTATGGATTAATTCTGTTTACATATTATATTGCTTCCTAAGATCATGGGCTCAACAAAGAATAGACAACGCTGTGTTATGCTCACTGCTAAATGTTCAGTGTCTATGTCGTTCAGTGTCTAACATAATATGGCATGTGCTCAATGTATATGTATTTGTTGAATGAATGAATGGAAGCCAAGATGAGAGTATTAGGGGGAATTTTAAAGGGTTGATCGTGGCTACAGTACAGGTGATCAGAGGTGATGCTGGGGAAAGCAGCAGCTGGGACATGGAGTGCTTCACATGCTGTTATAGAGAACTTGCATTTTATCCTGAAGGAAAAGGGAAGCCATAAAGGATTTTGATTTAAAAAGCGTTATTGCTAGGTTGTCACTCTGTAGACAGTGTGATAGATGAGTCGGAGAAGAGCTACAGTGCAGACAGATTACTCAGGAAGACACTGTGGTGATTGCAGACAGAAATAATGAAGTATACCCTCTCTCCCCTCTGTTCATTGGAAATCAGTCTGTTGATGATTTTTTTTTTTTTTTGACAGGCAGAGTGGAGGTGCTTATCCTGGTCTCCCATGGGGTGCAGGGCCCAAGGACTGATGATTTTTTTTAAAAAGATTTATCTATTTGAAAGACAGAGTTAGAGAGAGAGAGGTAGAGACAGAGAGAGAGGTCTTCCATCTGCTGGTTCGCTCCCCAGGTGGCCGCAATGGCCGAAGCTGAACCGATCCGAAGCCAGGAGGCAGGAGCTTGTTCTGGGTCTCCCATGCGGGTGTAGGGTTACAAGGACTTGGGTCATCTTCTACTGCTTTCCCAGGCCATAGCAGAGAGCTGGATCAGAAGAGGGTCAGCTGGGACTAGAACTGGCACCCATAAGGGATGCTGGCGCTTCAAGCCAGGGCTTTAACCCGCTGTGCCACAGTGCCGGCCCCGATGATTGGGTTTTGTACAGCACTGAAATGAAATCAAAGATGTAGAAGCATACTCAAAGATGGAAACGCACTCATCCTTCGCCAGTGCTTCAGGGGAGGGGCGGGTGGGCACTGGGGCCCTGTGGGTGCATTCTTGTCATCTGAGACTCTGGAACTTTATGAGCAACTGAATCGAAACAGTGTTAAATTATGGAAACATTTACACTTTGGGATTGAGTACTTAAAACTGTATGATCACACTTTGCAAATGCTACTTTTAAAGCTATTAATAGACTTTGCACCTTTTCTCTGACAAGGAATTGTCATATTTAAATGTTTACATTCATCATGACTGCAGTAGAACTGGGGAGGGGGGAATGTAATTTTTTATGGGAATTTTGATATGAACAGAAACTAGTCATTTATTTATACAATAGGCTTGGCTCATAAAATGATTTTCAGATTTGGTATTCCTAATGTGGAACATGACTGTATTTTATTTTTAGTAGCAAATATGGGTGTAGACTGACAGACATAACTGAATGTCTTAATAAATTTAATTTGAAGATAAAAAAGAAATAATGAAGTATAAAGGTATAGTTTAATGTAGGATTAATGGGAATGGAAAGAGGATGCAGACTCAAAAATTGGGTAACTCAGGTTTTCATGTAAGAGCCTGTAGAAATACCTTTAAAATTAACCTCATGCTACATATGGTGGCTTTGTTTTTTTTTTTTTTTTTTTTTTTTTTTTTTTAACATTTTTACTTAGTTGAGAAGCAGAGAGAAATAGAGAAATAGGGAGTGAGCTCCCATGAACTGGTTCACTCCACAAATGCCTGCAACAAGCCAAGAGCCAGAAATGCAATCTGGGTCTCCCAGGTGGGTGGTAGTGACCCAACCACTTAAGCCATCAGCTGCTGCCTCAGAGGGTATGCATTAGCAGAAAGGTGGAATAAGGGGCAGAGCTGGGGCTCGAACCCAGGCACTCCAATATGGGATGCAGGTGTCTCAAGTGATATCTTAGCCACTAAGTCAAATGCCTGCCCAAACTGATTGATTGATTTCTTTTTCTGTCCTTTGTTTTGACTAGATTTAGTTCACTGTTCAGATGGAGAACTCTTCTTACAAGGAAGTAAATAAATTAAAGCAGTGACTTTTTTTAAAGATTTATTTATTTATTTGAAAGAGCTACAGATGAAGAGGGAGAGATGGGGAGAGAGAGGGAGAGAGAATCTTCCATCTGCTTGTTCACTCTCCAGATGGCTACAACACTACAACCACCAGGGCTGGGCCAGGCCAAAGCCAAGAGCTTCATCCAGGTCTCTGATTGACACCTTGTGGTTGGCAGGAACCCAAACACTTGGGCCATCTTCCACTACTTAGGCATTGGCAGGGAGCTAGATCAGAACCGGAGCAACCAGGACACAAACCAGTGCCCATATGGGATGCTGGCATCACAGGCAGAGGCTTTACCAGCTATACCATGATACTAGCCCCCAAGAAAGTGATTTTTAAATATAGCCTATTATCAGGACCATGTTGTGTTTGTAAAATAACTTGAGGAGTGGGCAAGAATGAAGAAGAGCTGTTTAGAAATAATACTGGTAATTCAGAGGTATCGGTAAGTCATCAAAGTAGATTTTTGGGAGTGTAGATGTAGAGTTTAAGAGTTCTATGCTGGATAAAAAGATTTTGGATTGATGGGCAATATGCCCACATGAAGCCATGAAGGTAAAGCAGGATCTGGTGAGAAAGTAGAAAGCCTAGAACAGAATCTTGGTGAATTGTGACACTTAAGGGAAGGAAGAAGAGATAGCAAGAAAGGTGATTAAAAAGTGGCCAGAGGGCTAGAAGAAAATCAGGACCATAAGAACAGTTCCAAGAGAGCACAGTTAAAGGTGTGAGGGCTGCAGAAACCTCTTTCTGTTGTATTATGATGCCCTGTAAAATAATACCATATAATCTTATCTGGTGAGCCTAATAATTAAATGATTATCAAAGTCACCAAAGTAGCCTTCTTAAAATATACAGAATAAAAATGGCTGAGACAGACCCTGTGAATCTTTAAAAAAAAAAAAAAAAAAAAGATTCTCATGTGCATAGAGTGTGGATCCTATTAACTTAAATCATTTGCTTAATCTACAAACAGAGATCTTAAAAACAATGGATGGGACAGATATTTAGCCTAGCAACTAAGATGCTCCTATTACATATTGGAGTGTCTGGATTCAATACTTGACTTCAGCTTTCTGCTAATGTAGACCCTGATAGGCAGCAGTGATAGCTCAAGTTATCAGATGTTTACCACCCTTGTGGAAGACCTGAATTGAGTTACCAGCTCCCAGCTTCTTCCCTTTGTCTGTGGCCATTGTGTTACTTTAGGGTATAAACCAGCAGATGAGTACTCTCTCTCTTTGGCTCTCAAATAATAATGATTTAAAAAAGGGGGGGGGGGTAATGGACAGAGACCTAAAAAATAAAATCATAGGCATAATGTCAGATTTTGATAATGTTATAAACTCTCATTAGAAGGAATAAATGTAATTATCCAACTTTCCAGTTAAGCTTTATAAAGATGCCATACAATAAACTAACCTCCAAAGTAGAGAATCTGTAATTTTTTTTTAAAGAGTTATATTATCTATTTGAAAGGCAGAGTGACAGATAGCGAAAAGACAGACAAAGAGATCTTCCATCCACTCCCAAATGGCCATAATAGCTCGAGCTGAGCCAGGCCAAAGTCAGCAGCCAAGTTCTCCATCCCAATCGTGCAGGCGTGTAGCAGGAACTTAAGTATTTCAGCCATCTTCCACTGCTTTCCCAGGAGCATTAGCAGGGAGCTGGATAGGAAGCAGAGCAGATAGGACTGGAACCAGCAATTCCATATGGGATGCCAGAATTGCATGTGCTGGCTTAACACACTATGCTACAACACTGGCCCTGAGAATTTATAATTTTTAAATAGTTGAAAATACAAGAGCTTGTGAATAACAAAAAGAACTAAGATTAAGTGATTTATTTTGAAGAAACTTTCATCATAAATCTGTTTAATCAACATACATAACATTATATGTATTTGTACATAGAACAGGAACATACTAAAAATCACTGAGAAAACAGGACTGAGATTCCAAACAAATGACTGGGCTATGTCCTAAAGAAATCAGTATTTTTTTTTGGTAAGTATTCTTTTTTTTTAAAGATTTATTTATTTATTTGAAAGAGTTACACGCAGAGAGAGAGAGAGAGAGAGAGAGAGAGAGATGGTTCACTCCCCAATTGGCCGCAACAGCCTGAAAGCTGTTCCAGAAGCTTCTTCCGGAAGCTCTGCTCCAAGAGCTTCTTCCAGGTCTCCCATGTGTGTGCAGGGCCCAAGGACTTGGGCCATCATCTTCCACTGCTTTCTCAGGCCATAGTAGAGCAGCTGGGACTCAAACCAATGTCCACATGGGATGCCAGCACTGTAGGCGGTGGCTTTACCCACTATGCCACAGCACCGGCCCCAAGAAATCTGTTTTATAAAATAGGAATGTTGATTCAACAACTGAGCCTTATGGTCAACTAGAGCTAAACCTTTTTTCATTTCTTCACATAAAAAGAGGAAAAAAATCACATATTAAGGTTTGCAAATTCTCCAGATGACGAATTTGGTCTGGCTGATTAATCGAGTTCAATACTTTAATTCTATTTCTTGATCCTAAATAACTAAATGTAAATCACTGATAATAACAATGAATAAAGATGGAGCTCTGATCCCATTCAATTAGTTTAAAAATCTATTATTTTATGAACAAGTCCTTTACCTAGCTAAGTAAATGAAATTGTCCTTTAAGGAACAAGTGCCTGTTTAACAGATTCTGGAACTCGACTCGCATAGTAGTCATAATTTCTCAGTGCAGCCAGGACTCCTGCAGAGTTCATGTGCTTCACTTCCTTGTTGTACTGGAGGGCATTTCCATGGATATCAGTTAACTTGCCTGTAGAAAAAACATCAATACAACATTAATGGCCAATGGAATCAGGCCAGTAGTTTTTAATTGCCTTTTGTTTCCCTATTCAATAATAGCCAATAAATTTAGAATAAAAATAGCAAGCAACTATAAAGGTTAAAATTTTAATTCAATTAAAATTTGAGAATATAGAAAAATTGTAACCAAAGAATTATTTTTTGTCTCCAATTAAGATTCTTTTCATTTAGCATTTTCAATTTGTATTTGTCAGTAATCAATCAATTTCCTTTTCTCAAGGTGTCAATCATTCCTATTGGTTATACTTCATCATCAGAAATCACAATTTCTAAAATGTCTTCTTCATTCTATTATTTCATGTTACACTTGATTTGGTAAGAGTTTATGTGTAGTGAGCTCATGCAATGTTAAGTGTATAATATAATTTCATTTCACATTCCTAACTGTATTATATTAAAGTTTACATTCCTAATAAGAAAAAAGAGTAATGACACACAGTCTAACCTCCTCATCATACAACATGCCAAGATTGATAAAATAGTATTTTAGTAGAAATGACAGAAAAAATTAAGTATTTTACTGCCTTTAAAAAAATTTTACAGGGATTTTAAAAGGCATTGCTTAGAACAGTATATATGAACTGATGTCAATCTGAGGTTGAAAGATCATCTTACTATGATTATGAGTGCATTTGTACATATTTTCGGTCAGGTTTTTTAAAAATTCTAGCTCTATGATCTTTAGTACCAGTAATGAGAAATTCATCAATACTGTCTTGAAAGAGACTAAATGATGATGAACATTCTACTTTTCTAGGAAAAAATTCCAAAATATTAAAGCTATAAAAATGTATGTAGATTGACAATCAAAAAAGAAACTATAACTAAAGAAAAATAAATGTGCTGAAAACCTACTTTTCCATCTATGAAATGAGAGATGTGGACTGGATAATCTCTTAAGTTTCCTTCTAGTTTTTATGTCCAAAGAATCCAGGTAAAGTGAAACCACTAAAATACTATGTCTTAGCATAATATAAATACTATGATTCCCCCAAATAAAATGGACCAACCTCCTACAGCATGTAAAATGACTTCCGGGGCACAGGTATCCCATTTCTTACATCCAGGACTTGCAAATACATAAGCAGAGGCTTTGCCTTCAATCAGCTGAATTATCTGTAAGGTAAGAAATAATAATTATCCCTCAATATCCCTCAAATATCCTTTTCATGTTTGAAGCACAAATAAGAAAAATTGCTTGATTCTACGAAGGATAGCTCATCAATCATATTCTGTCATACTTAATGGGTGAAAGCTGTTAGCAGATTTAAATGATACCAGTATTATGAAGAAATAGAATAGATGCATAATAAGACAGCAATCTGAAGGGGAAAAACTGGTAAAATAAACTACAAAAGATATCTGAACACTCTACATATTCCAAGTTAGATAAATTAAGATTTTCTTATTTAATGTTATTTTTCTTAGTAAAAAGCAATATATATTTATGTAAAAACATTTTTTAACTTCTAAAATATTGATCATTATTGAATAAAGCAAAGAGAAATAGCAAGCAGTAAATAACATACAAATTGTGACAAGTCCTAACAGATGCTCAATGTTGACTGGTCTGACAAGTACTTTCCTAATTCTTCAAAATTATATCTATGCTGTTTCCACTACCAAATACAAAAACTTTTAAATAGCCATCCTAATATTTCCTGTAATGCTCATACAAAATTGAGGTCACTGATAGAACCTGAATGACTCTAAATAGTGAGTTGCTATTCAAGTTTTCAACAATCATTGACCTTTTTAGTTATATTATAAAATCATTATTACTACAGAATTCAGTATTCACATGAAAAGACCAGACTGAGAGAATGAGGAAAATCTCAGTGAACATGAAATAATCAAGTATTTTTTTTAGGTACTATTCACAAACATTTCAACCTTGTTGTAGCCTTTTTTAAAAAAATGTCTAGTTATTTATTCTTATTTGAAGGAGTGACAGAAAGAGAGAGAGAGAGAGAGAGAGAGAGAGAGAGAGAAATCAATCAGTCTACAATCTGCTGGTTCGCTCGACAAACACCTGCAACAACTGGGTCCGAGGCACATAGAAGCCAGGAGCCAGGAGCTCTGTCCATGTCTCTGATGTAGATGGCAGGGACCTAACAACATGAGCTATCACCAGCTGCTTTCTAGAGTGTGCATTAAGCAGGAAGCTATACTGGAAGCAGGGGTAAGATTCCAATATGAGATGCATCCCAAGAGGTGGCTTAACCTGTTGTACCTCAATGTCTATCCTAGACTTTGAGTAATACATTTTTTTGTTATTTTTAAATATTTATTTATTTATTTGCTTTGAGAGACATAGTTGCAGAGATAGATAGAGAGAGAGAGAGAGAGAGAGAGAGAGGTCTTCCATCCACTGGTTCATTCCCCAAATGGCTGCAACAGCTGGCGCTGAGCCAGGAGCTTCCTCTGTGTATCCCATGTGGGTGCAGGTGCCCAAGCACTTGTTCCATTCTCCACTGCTTTCCCAGGCCATCAGCAGGGAACTGGATCGGAAGTGGCGCAGCTGGGACTGGAACTGGTGCCCTTATGGGATGCTGGTGCCGCAGGTGGATGCTTAACCTACTATGCCACAGTGCCAGTCCTAGGGTTTTCTTTCATTGAACAAATGTGTCAAGTCTAATATTATCTGAAGAACTATTGCAGGTCTGTTTTTTGAGTGGAGAGGGGCTGCAGATCCTCAAGGGGGCCCTTGATGTAAAAAAGTTAAGAACTGTCCAACAAGGCTTTTCAAGAGGAGAAGAGACATACAAGGATGGACACTTTATTTATTAGGAGAGTGGTGTCCTTTGAGAATAAGAGTTAATAGGCTTTTGTGATTACAACAGTGGCAAAGAGAAATCACACCTGTCACTATTTCTACTATAGTGAAGACCAGAAATAATTTTCACTTTGAAATGTTGTATATTTTTTCCAAGTTTTAATTCTCATTCTTCACTGTTATCAGTAAATGCTTTTAGGAGCACCAAAAACAGTTGAGTATTGCTTCTAAAACAAGAGAAATGAGTTCTTCAGTTCAGTGATTAATTATTATTTGCCTTCCTGTTGTTGGGCACTCAAGTGAAAAATACACATGTGTCTGGACCTCCACACCATTCAGTATCACTAGAACCCAAGTATGAGATGAGGATACAGAAGACTACATTCCATGCTGATAGGCTTGGATTTTAAATTCTTGTGATTAGGAATCATCCAAGCATTTGGGACAGGGGATAACTTTTTCCATTTTTAATTGTTCTGGTAACATTTGTGGACTAGACTGAACAGGGAGACGACTTCAGTATTCTGTGTGAGAAATGACAGGTTGCAGCTAGGATAAGCTAGGATACTGGCAATTGAAATGGAGACATCAGGGAAATAGTTCCAAGTTAGATGGGTAGGACCAGACTGATAGGATTTGAAGAAAGGAGACATCAAGGGTGACTTTCAGATGTCCTGATAGGGCAGTTAGGAAAATGGTGGTGCCATTAACCAGATAACGATTAGGAAAAGGAACACATGTAGGGATGGGAAAAAAGAGGAACAGCTTCCGTGGCACATGTTGAATTTGGGATACCTCAGAGGATTCATCATGATGATATGCAAGGGACAATCAGATGAAAAAAGATTGGGGCTAGGGATGTAGATCAAATTGTGTCCCATTTCACAATTTTCTCAAGAGGTTGGAAGCCTGGATGAAAGAATCGGGGGATAGGGAAGGGGAGTTACCAGGAAGGGGTTGGCAGGCCTGTCCTGTGAACCTGTAGAAGGTCTAGGGTATATCCTAGGAGGGTCCTTAATAAGAGGTGTGGGGTCCTGCCTTGATGAATTTTACTAACACTAAAAATGACCTGAATTTTATGAAATCTCCTTTAAATTGAGATGTAGCTGAAATGTATAATTGGTAACAAATCACACTCTTTAATCCCTTCTCTTAAGCTCTTATTTCAAGTTCTGAAAAAGTTCAGTATTTCCTCCAGTGATTCAGTTGCATTTCAGAGCAGATGACAGATCTTTTTCCTACCTTATTTCCGGCTCCTCCCACTCGCAGCACATCATCAGGATTCATTGCAGTAACACAGTCGGTAACCAACTTGTTGCTGTGGGATCGAGTAGTGGTGACAATATGTTTCCCAGCAGGGGCTTCTTTCAGTTGAAACCCAAAGGCACCTAAACCTAAAACTCCCCAGATTGTCCTCCCCAACACAGCATCTGGTCCTGCCTATGTAAACAACAACAAAGCTTGTAATCATTTAGAGAAGAAAACATTAGCCATTAATGGAATAGTTATACTGTTACAGTTAACAAATTTAGAATATGGAATATTTAGGTAGAGTTAACTATAAAAATGAAAACATGTCAAGGTTATAAAATATAAGAATATCACCGACAGCTTTTCCTGAGAAAATCAGCTGATTGGTCACGTCATTTTGGTCACGAGTTCCTAAGGGGCTGAAGGGAATTTTGGATTGTTCCCTAGAGTCCTCAGGAAAGGAACCACCACATACTGATTCATAATCTGAATTATAATCTGAATTGTCTAAGGATCTCTGTTTTATTTGAAAGTACCCATTTTTCAAAAGGTACTGAAGCCCCCAGGACAGGAAATACCATGTCTTCATTGCTATTTATCATTATGCAAGGAACAATAAAGGTCATGTTACCAAGGGACTAGGTAATAGGGAGAATGTATTTTGCTGCTCTAAGCCTATAGCTAATACACTGACAGCAAAGAGTAGGTATGGATAATGGGGTCAGATTAGTATTTTACTGACGACTGTAGTGGCAAAATGGCAATGATGATACATTCATACAATCTATTTTCTTTTGAAGAACTCACAATTTTTACATACATTGTTATATACGATAAGTCTTCAGAAAGCTCATGGAAAATAAGATGTATATCATCAAAAACTATGCATGGGCGGCCAGTGTTATGGCATGGAGAATTAAGATGCCTCTTACAAAACTGGAATCCCATTTTCAGATCCCAGTTCAAGTCCTGGCTACTCTGCTTCAATTCAGCTACCTGCTCCTAGGCAGTGGGAGATGGCCCTGGAACTTGGGCCTCTGCCACCCATGTGGGAGACCAGGATGGAGTTCCTGGATCCTGGCTTCAGCCTGGCCCAGATCTGGCTTTTGCAGCCTTTTGAGGAGTGATCCAGCAGATGAAAACTCAGTCTCTCCCTCTCTGTCACTCTGCCTTTCAAATAAATAAATAAATAAATCTTTTAAATCACAAGGTGACTAGAATGAGGACCCTAGTTTTTAAAAATATGTATTTATTTGGAAGGCAGAGTGATAGAGAGGCAGAGGCAGAGACAGAAAGGTCTTCCATCCATGGTTCACTCCCCTGGAGCTGGGCCGATCTGAAGCCAGGAGCCAGGAACTTCTTCCAGATCTCCCATGTGGGTGCAGGGGCCCAAGGACTTTGCATATCTTCTACTGCTTTCCCAGGCACATTAGCAGAGAGCTGGATAGGAAGTGGAGCAGCTGGGACTTGAACCGATGCCTATATGGGATGCTAGCACCAGCAGGCAGTGGCTTTACTCACAATGCCACAGCACTGGCCACAGCACTGGCCCTAATAAAACCATTCATGGCTTTCAAAATTTTTTGCACCAGAATAAACTTATCTTTTCATTTTCCACAAACTTTTTGAAGTACCCTTATATACTTGTATATGGACAAAAATAACCTGTATTTCAGGGAAAGTAAAACAGATACATAAAATAATTAGGAGCCATCAAAATACAACAATATTAATACAGAGGGCATACGTTATAGAGTTATAGGCATATTTTACTGAACATATATTTTATTGTATCAGGCATCATACTACATGCTTTACATGTATTATCTCATTCCATTCTCAGACCAACTCCATGAAATATGTATTATCATCCTTATGAGAAAGATGGTATTTGGAATCATGAAATGACCAGAATCAGGATTCTAATACATAATGAGCACTGGGCTCATCTGTGTTCAAAACTGGTATTCTTTTTATTTTTAAATTTTAAAAATTTTTCTTTATTTGAGAGGCAGAGAGATTAAAAAAAGAGAGCGCTCATCACCTGGGTTACTTCCCAAATGCTACAACAAGCTGGGAGTCCAGAACACAACCCAGGTTTCCCACATGGATGGCAGGAAACCAATGACGTGAGCCATCGCCCTGCATCCCAGGGTCCGCATTAGCAGGAAGTTAAAGTCAGGAGCTGAGGCTGGCAATCAAATCCAGGTAGTCCCCACATTAGTGGGGAGCTGGATCAGGAGAAGAGCAGCCAGGACTTGAATCAGCACCTATATGGGATCTTGGTATTGCCTACATCACAGTGCCAGTCATGGACATGGGCATATTAACCACTAGGCCATGCACCCACTCCCAAAACTGCTATTCTTCATACTCAATTGGTCTGCCTGAGTTTACTTGTCAAAATGTTTTCAAACATATCACCTTATTTGTCCTGGGTGCTGTCAGAGTGTAATATGCTTATGTTTTAAGTAAGGCTCTCTGAGAAGGAGGCATGGGGATAGGTGGAATGGTACTAAGAAGTGCCCTTAGGATCAACACCAGTGGAAGGAAGTAGGCTTCAGGGAATGCAATCCCATGATACAGCCATTTGGCCTTACTCAGGACTCCTGATCTCATTGTCTCTCTCCTGCAAAGGCTCTGCACCAATTTTCTGAGGGTAACAAAAGCTAATGTTTCATCTTCTGTTAATTAAACTTTATAATGGCACATAAAAAATTTAAATTAAATTTATATGGCACATATAAAATTTAAATGACACTATGCCATGTCATTTTCTGTAAGTGCCTATCAGCTTCAGAGTCTGTTAGAAGCCATAATAAAGTTTGAATTGTTAAGTCTTTTTTCTGGCTCAACAGAGCAATGTTGAGTACAGTAAGGACTGGGCCTGAGTTTGAATCTTAGCTCTGCCATTTACCAACTGGGGTGACCTTGAGCACATTAATTGCCTCAGTTTTCTTTATTTTAGATTATTTATTTTTTTGAAATGCAAAGAGACACATAGAGAGAAGGTGCTCCCATTTGCTGATTCATTCCTCCAAATGCCCATAACAGTCCAGCGGCTGGGAAACTCAGTCCTGGTCTCCTATGTGGGTGGCAGGAACCCAGTCACGTGGTCCATCACTGCTGCCTCCCAATAGCCACATTAGGAGGAAGCTGGAGTCAGGAGCCAGTGCTGAACAATAAACCCAGATATTCTGATATGGAACACAGACATCTTAACCACTAGCCTAAATGTCTATACATTCTCTTCTTTAATATGGGGGTAATGGTTATCTTAAAGGGTGTGGTGAGTATTAAATGAGATAATATATGTGAATCTTTTGAGCCTAGCAACACACAGGAAGCTCTTAAGTTCCTGTTGGATTTTAGCTATTATAATTATGATGATGATGGTTTTTTAAAATTTAGCCTTAAATATCACCAATACAGACAGGCAACTTTTCTACTGCTATTCACTGTAACTAATTTAAGGCATAAGCAAAAGAGAGGTAAGGAGAGTATACAAAAGGGAATGAGACAAAGGGAGAGATAATGAAAAGAAGCAGAAAGGGAAAGAATGAGCTGGTACATAGGATGGACAGTGGCTACCCAGGGAACCACAAACTGCCTACTTCTTTACTCACTACCAGAACCAGAACCCTAGCTATTTTTCTCACCTTTGCTTCACTCCTGTCTTCCCTTAACTTCTGCTTTTCATTGTTCTGTGGAAAATGAATACAGTTTTTCTAATCTCAGAAAGAAGTGAGGAAAATTATCAACAACTCCTAGTCATTTAGATCTTTTTCTTTGTTGAAAGGTGACATGCATTACAATGACTTCTATGAACTAAATGCCCTTCTTTTAAGTAACACTGACTTACTTTAAAGTTCACATAAAAACCACAAACTTGTATCTGCATATAATACTATATAAACATTAAAGTCCTATTAAAATAATTAATGGACACTTAAGCAATTCAGTAGGACTCTTCCAATCATGTATAACTATTTTGGTTAAGTTCTAAGAAATACATGATCACAAATAAAATTTATAATCATAAATAGCAGGAAAAGTAAATGTAAAGATTTATCCTGCTGTTAACTCAAACTGGAAATTCAGAAGTAACAGTCCTCACCCTGGAAGTATTGTTTCTCTAAAGTTCTATCAAGGTCACATCAATGTAAATATCTTAAGTATTTTATCTCAACAATTTCCTTTAAAATTTAATGTAATCTAATGGTATATTCTTGCTATGAAATTATAATAGTCTCTTGCTTTTAAGGAAGACAGTTTTCTTTGATGTATAATAGAAAGTCACAGCAGATCAGAAGATATAAAATATGAGAAAAGAGTGCAAAAGCATATTTAGTTGTTACCAATACTGACTACCATTTAGACACAACGGAGTATTACCAGGAAAACAACATGGCTAGCATTTTTTTTTTGCTTGAAAAGGTTCACTTTTAAATGCACTTTAAGAACCAACTGTAAATCAAATGTCTTGATGACCAAGCTAATCAAGAATCATGTCAGAAATTCCCAAAGTTCTGCACTTCAATCATAAAGCACAGATAAAAATAATACAATGCATACATTATAAATGTGTACATACACCTAAGTATATATTCCTGGTACCAACATCCCTAGAAGTTCTGATTCAGTAAGGCTGGGGTATGACCTGGAAATCTGTATTTTGAAATACTCCCCATGTGATTGCATGTACAACCAAGCTAGGAATCACTGGATAAGATGACATCAGGAAGCATATGCCACAGTAACTGTTCATACAGTAAAATATTTTTGCATCATTTATAGTATTACCTGGTAGTTGTAATATGGCTGGTTAATAATTCCTGCTATGGCTTTTCCTTCATAAGCAATTCCAATAAGAACTGTTACATTGTCAAGAAGGCCTATACAGAAAAAGTTAACATCAATTATATAACTTTCTCACATATCACTCATCATCAGTACAGCAACTACTTCAAGTTACTTTGCAATAAAGGTAAATAATTTGCAATAATGCATCCATAGTCAATTCTACTTATGCAAAGAGCACAAAATTATAAGGGGACTGGCCGAAGATAGAAATTGAGTCTTTGGCCACTTAATTTAATTGATAACCATGATCTCATGAGTACAATTTGTAAACCAATTAAATAAAGCATCCAGAACTGCAGCTATTATCATTAGGTCCCTCTATGTCCCTTCCACCACTCTCCAGCTCACTCTTACCTGATGCGTCACTTTATGTTCCTGGATTTCTCTCTAGACTTGCATTTCATACCTCTAAAGCAAGGTGTCTCAAAGTGGGGTATATGGACTACCTAGGAGTATTAGAACTATTACAATTTTCAAGACACATATCTTCTCAATCTCTTTCCTAGAACTTTTAAGTCAAAGTCTCTGGATATGGAAATCAAGACCTAAATAAGCTTTCTCAGTGCTTTTAAACATAATAAAGTTGCCCAGAATTTTCCTATTTCTCAATGAATGATGTTATAAGTAAACATGTACAAATATATACTTGCACAAACATACTATATGATTAATTCATTAAAGAAATGTCTCCTTAAGGAGAGTTTTTTCTAGTAATTATGAGAATTTTCTTTAAGCTATGAAGCTGAGAACCAATAAGAAAATCTATGTGGATCTTACTTTAAAAAATAAAATTCTAAGCTACTTCTAATTTTTCTCACCTTAGATCACTTCAGAAAGGAGAAATATTGTACTGTTTCAAAACTTATCTTTAAAGATGAGGGTGTATGGGGCCGGAGCTGTGGCGCAGCAGGTAAAGCTGCCGCCTGCAGTGCCAGCATCCCATATGGGTTCCATTTCAAGTCCCGGCTGCTCTACTTCCCATCCAGCTCTAAGCTATGGCTTGGGAAAGTAGTGGAAGATGGCCCAAATCCTTGGGCCCCTGCACCCACGTGGGAGACCAAGAGGAAGCTCCTGGCTCCTGGCTTCAGATCCAACCAGTTCTGGCCATTGCAGACACTTGGGGAGTGAACCAGTGGATGGAAGACCTCTCGCTCTCTGCTTCTGCCTCTCGGTAACCCTGCCTTTCAAATAAATAAATAAATAAATAAATATTAAAATAAAAAAAGATGAGGGTGTGGAGAAAGTCATTCCCAGAGGAGGGGAGAGTGAACAGGAAGGCATGGGAAGGTGGCAGCAGAGCAAGGGCAACATAGCTGTGTTTGTCATCGTTTTTCTCCCCCTGGAAAGCTGGAGATCTGGTATAGTTCCATTGGTAACGCTGATTTAAAATGTGAGTTATTCTCATCTAGGGGACTCAGAGTTGTGGACTGGTAGAGTTATATAGGGGGTGGTGTTTGAAAGAGATGAAGTTTCTTCTTTTGTTTTGATAATTACTGATTTATGACAATAATTGGATACCAGGAGCACAAATACAGCTTTAGAGAAAAACAGGGTACCAACGTTTCATACAGCACCTCAAATACTTACAGCTAAATGTCACATCCTAGTCCTACTTCTGTCAAGTACAAATAGAGATACCAACCTTCAGTATACTCCTTGGTACCATCTAAGGGATCAACCCAGACCACAAGCTTTAAAAAAAAAAAAAAGGAGAAATATTTTAATCAAATTTCCAAAAGTAGATTTAATAGAGTAAAATGACTGTTTTTTAGATTTATGTTATAGATGGCTTAAGATAATAACATCAGTAATGTGATATTAAAAAATCCACCTTATTGGCCGGCGCCGCGGCTCACTTGGCTAATCCTCTGCCTGCAGTGCCGGCACCCCGGGTTCTAGTCCCAGTCAGGGCGCCAGATTCTGTCCCGGTTGCCCCTCTTCCAGGCCAACTCTCTGCTGCGGTCCAAGAGTGCAGTGGAGGATGGCCCAAGTGCTTGGGCCCTGCACCCACATGGGAGACCAGGAGGAAGCACCTGGCTCCTGCCTTCGGATCAGCGCAGTGCTCCGGCCATAGCGGCCATTTGGGGGGTGAACCAACAGAAAAGAAAGACCTTTTTCTCTGTCTCTCTCTCTCTCACTGTCTAACTCTGCCTGTCAAAAAAAAAAAATCCACCTTATTATTTTTCTAATTATAGAAAAAGTCCATTTGAATTAGAAAAAAGTATGATTTAAGAATTTTAAATATTATATGCTTAACTTTTTTTTAGTATATGTGCTGCTGAAGCGAGCACTTACCTTTTTTATTTTTTATTTCTTATTTTTATTTTAAAATTTATTTTATTTACCTGAAAGTCAGAGTTACACAGAGAGAGAACGAGAGGCAGAGAGAGAAGTCTTCCATCTGTTGGTTCATTCCCCAAATAGATGCAATGGCCAGAGCTGGACTAATCCGAAGCCAGGAGCCAGGAGCTTCTTCCTAGTCTCCCACACGGGTACAGGGGCCCAAGGCGTTGGGCCATCTACTGCTTTCCCAGGCCATAGCAGAAAGCTGAATTGGAAGTAGAGCAGCCAGGACTCGAACTGGCGCCCATATGGGATGCCAGCACTATAGGTGGTGGCTTTACCCGCTATGCCACAGCACTGCCCCCCCCCCCTTTTAAAGAATTATTTTATTTATTTGAAAGAGGCAGAGTGAGAGCGAGAGAGAGAGGTCTTCCATTCTGCTGGTTTAATCCCCCAATGGCCACAACAGCCAGAGTTGAGCTGATCCAGAGCCAGGTGCAGGGGCCCAAGGACTTGGACCATCCTCTACTGCTTTCCCAGGCTACAGCAGAGAGCTGTATCAGAAGTGGAGCAGCTGGGACTCAAACCGGTGCCCATATGAGATGCCAGCACTGCAGGGTGGGGCTTTAACCTTCTGTGACACAGCTCTGGTCCCAACATGCTTAACTTGATAAAAGTTTACTGTCACTTCTATACTAGGCACAAGGTCATGGACACTGAGCTCTAGATGATAGTATGGCAAAACTTTCAATGTGCCAGCAAAAATGTTTTGAACAATGTGTGGTTGGCACTCCTTTTTACCTATAAATGTTGATTTAAAAAATATACTCAGATTACCTTAAGGACATCGTTCATATAAGGTGACATCAAAAAGTAGAGGGAAAAATGGATTTAAAAGATCAGTTTATTTTGGTGTAAAATTTTTCTGAAATCCATGCAGTTTTTAAAATTTTATTTGAAAGGCAGAGAGAGAAAGACAGGTATCTTCCATCTATGGCATCATTCCCCAAATGCCAGGCTGGGCCAAGCTGAAGTCAGGAGCCCCAGATCTCAATTCAGGTCTCCCACATGGGTGGCACGCACTAAGTACTTGAGCCATCTAGTGCTGCCTTTCAGAGTACACATTAATAGGAAGCTGGAATCAGAAGTGGAGCCAGGACTTGACCCCATGGACTCCCATATGGGATGCAAGTGTCCCAATCTGTGTCTTAACGGCTGTGCCAATGCCTGCCTTATCCAGTTTTCATAATATGCATTTCCATGAACTTTCTGAAGCATCCTTATATAAGCCAAGAAAAAAGTGACAGTTGATAAACGGGCAGCAGATTAAGAAAGAAATTCCTTCTGCTTAGGACTTTTAACATGATTCAGTACAAGCTGCCATTTACCAATAAAACTGCAATGCTTGATGTGAATTTGTGAGTGACAGCCTATTTTTGATACAAGAAACCATGTCCCATTTTTTGTGTATCTTTTGTACCACAGAGCCAAGTGCTTGCTTATAGTAAGTATTCAATGAATATGTTTAAAATTATTTAAAATTAGGAAACTGAAGAAGTGGTGGTTATCTGAAGTGACAGATTTAACTTAAGCAACTGTAACCAGAAAGTGGCATGATTTTTACAGCCTTCTAATAATAAAAGGTAGCAAGCTGTTTCATCTTTTTCCAGCCTCAATTATCAATGTAATGTTTTACCACCAAATTTACTAAACAACAAATTAGACTTCCTCTCTATAAGTATTTTCAGTACTTTCAGAGTAGAAGGCAACCATCAAGATGTGAAACTGAACTATAAATCAACAGATCAGACATTCCATAGGGTTACTTGATACCTTCAGAGATTTCAAGCTTTTCAGTTGCCCTTATTTTACAAATACCAACTTGTCATCTTGCAGGGAAGTTTTATGTCCTCTACTATGGTAAGAAACACAGAGTATAAAGTATAAATACGGATCTTACATCTTCCTCTTTAATAGAACTGTACTGTGATGGACATGGTTGCTTCAGTATTTCCTCCCACTGCCCATCTTCAATCAGCTCTTGATCCACTTCCTCAGAGGGCAGATCCTAAAGCAGAGGTAATACTGACAGTTATTAAAATGCTTAGTATTTAGAGAGTACCATTTCTCTCAGTAGCAGAGGCATGGCATGAGAGCGTTTGCTAGCCCTTCCTGTTTATCTTACACTTACAACTTTTAAAGCAAACCTAATACAATTGCAAAAACAATCATTTTTTTAAAATGACTAACTGTTCTCAACTTCATTATCCTGAACAGGATTTAAAAAGTCTTTTTAAGTATTAGTATTTAAACAAGATGCTCTGACATCAGATACTTCTGCTCTCTTGTTCACATGAGATGTCAGTTCTTTCACTTTCAAGGCTACATGGTTTTAGATTAGCTTAATTAAAAACAAAACAAAACCCGTTTTAATCCAAAGTTCTAGAACTCCCACCATCTTAAAGTTTGTATGCCGAGGATGATAACAGTATCTTTTATAGCCAAGAATTGAAGCATCTGTCTCAGAAATGGAGCAAAATATTTTAAAATCAGTATTTCCTCCAAATCTAAGAAATGTAATGATTTTTATGTTAATACAAGACATAATGTTTAAATCGTAATAGTATATAAACCCTTATAGTGTTCATTATAAGCCTATATGGTAAACAGGGATTAAAGGAATATTCTGTTCCTGACAACTCTTACCTCCTCCCCTATAATTGTTAGTTTGGGGAATTTCCGTGCCAATGAAGAGCATATGCTCATCTGAACCAATCGGTCAGCTTTGGTCTGCAGGTCAGTCGCACAGGTCTGTAACAAAGAATGCCAATTTTAGCAGACTGATGTGAAGCTATGTTGTCCTCTGATTGACTCCTAATGTAAATGACCATCTATAGAATTTAGAATATAGTGTAAGTTTTTAAAGTTGCAGAATTTAACAATAAATGTATTATCTAGTTTCTTGCTGGGATTTGATTTTAGGATTAACAGTGATTAAAATTTGGAAAGAGCTTCTAAATTATTTAGAACATTTTCTATCCTGATTCAGAAATTTCTAAGATCTCTAGATAGCAACATTTTGTTTAAATAGGTTAAGAGAGAGGAAATTGGGGCTGGTGTTGTGACATAGTGGTAAAGCCACCACCTGCAACGCAGGGTTCCTGCCCTGTTGGTTCTACTTCAGTCCAGCTTCCTGCTAATGCTCTTGGGAAAGTAACAGAAGATGGCCCAAGTGCTTGGGCCCCTACACTCATATGGGAGATCTGGATGAAGCTACTGATTCCTGGCTTTGGCCTGGCCCAGCCCCAGCCATTGCAGCCACTTGGGAAGTGAACCAGCGACTGAAGATCGATCAATCCATCGATCTATCTTCTCTCTGTAACTATTTCAAATAAATAAAGAAATCTTTAAAAATAACAAGATAGAAATTTATAATTTTTAAGGCAAAGGAAATATTCCTTAAATGAATCCTCCTATATTTTCTCCTCACTAATCCTAATGTAAATAATTCAAGAGCTCCTCAAGATGATTCACCAGTTTATAGAAAGAATTTCTATTTCTTTTTTTTTAAAGATTTATTCTTTTTTTTTTTTTTTTGAAAGGCAGAATTACAGGGGAGGGGGGAGGTCTTTCATCTGCTGGTTCACTCCCCAAAAGGCCACAACAGCCAGAGCTGGGCAGATCCAAAGCCAGGAGCCTGGAGCTTCTTCGGGGTCTCTTATGTGGGTGCAGGGACCCAAGGATTTGGGCCATCTTCTGTTGCTTTCCCAAGCACTTAACAGGGAGCTGGATGGGAAGTGGAGCAGCACCCATACGATGCTGATGCTGGCACTGCAGGTGGTGCCTTTATCTGCTACGCCACAGAGCCAGCCCCAGAATTTCTATTTCTAAAATCTAAAAAATTTAAGAATGAACCACAGTAATATTTAATACATAGCTATCCTATGACACCATCAGTGAATCCATATACCAAATAGTCACACTAGTAAAAGACAGTGGAAAATTTTGTAATTAACAGCCATAATCTTGTTTATTTGCTTTCAGAGAAATTACACGTTACAATTTAAATATGCTTGCTTAGTGGATTTACAGATTATATTATCTTTAATAGAATTTCATGGCATATTGAAGTTTGATGATTATCTCAATGCAAACGATTATATTTTTAAAAGTTTTATTTATTTGAAAGGCAGAATGATAGAGAGACTCCCTAAATGCCCACAACAGCTAGAGCTACTAGGTTGGACCAGCCTAAAACCAAAAGCCAAGAACTACTTCTGGGCCTTCCACACATATGGCAAGAACACAGGCACTTCGGCCATCATGTGCTGCCTCCCTGGTGCATTAACAGGAAGCTGGACCCAAAGCACAAAGTAGCCATGACTTGAATCCAGGCACTCCTACATAGGATGTGGGTATCCTAAGCAGCAGCTTAACTCACTGAACTACTATAGCCACCCCCAATTCTTATTCTGACAGAATATTTTAAGGATTTTGTTCTCTCAAGTTTTGTGCCTGGCATACAGCAGGCATTCTATAAATATCTGCTGAATGAAACTACTAAAATTTTTGAGTTTGAAAATTATACATTAATGAAGTTTGCAAACCACTGCTGTAGAGAAAAAGGATACAGTGACAGCCATTTAAGTACATGCATGAGGAAAACTATTCTCTTTCTTCTCTATGATAAGTATCTTTTTCTCTTTCTAACAACATAGTTCCAGACCTCATCATTCTGGATACCCTGGGTGGCAATCTTATGTTGCACTGTTTCTTTTAAAATCTTACGCTGTACTGTGGCATAGCAGGTAAAGCTGCTGCCTACAGTGCTGGCATCCCATATGGGCACTGGTTTGAGTCCTGGCTGCTCCACTTCCCATCCAGCTCCCTGCCAATGTGCCTGGGAAAGCAACAGAAGTTGGACCAAGTCCTTGGGCCCCTGCACCTGTGTGAGAGACCTGGAAGAAGCTCCAGACTCCTGGCTTAGGATCAGCCTAGCTCTGGCTGTTGCAGCCATTTGGGGAGTGAACTAGCAGATAAACATCTTTCTCTGCCTCTGCCTCTCTTCAACTCTGCCTTACAAATAAACAGACCTTAAAAAAAAAAAAAAAAAAAGCATCAACAGGTAGATATAAAGTATTAGAAGTAAGTGCCAGCAGACTCATATAATGGCAGATGTTCTAAATAGCACTCTGGCCTCAGAATCAACCCTTAAGGCATTCGGATATGGCTGAAGAGCCCATGAGAGTATTTTAGGCATGGAAAGCCAAAACACTCTGGGGGAAAAAAAAAAAAAGGACCTAAATGAAAGATCTCTGTGAGTGAGATCCCAGTGGAAAGAACGGGGCCATCAAAGAAGGAGGTACCTTTCTCTGAAGGGAAGAGAGAACTTCCACTTTGACTATGACCCTGTTGGAATAAGATCGAAGTCGGTGAACCCAAAAGGCTTCCATAGCCTTGGCAACTCATGACTACAGCCTAGGGAGATTACTGACGCCATAAACAAGAGTGTCAAATTGTTAAGTCAACAATATGAGTCACTGTATACTTACTTCTCATGTGGGATCTGTCCTTAATGTGTTGTCCAATGTGAAGTAATGCTATAACTAGTACTGAAACAGTATTTTTACACTTTGTGTTTCTGTGTGGGTGCAAACTCATGAAATCTTTACTTAATATATACTGAATTGATCTTCTGTATATAAAGATAATTGAAAATGAATCTTGATGTGAATGGAATGGGAGAGGGAGCAAGAGATGGGAGGGGTGCGAGTGGGAGGGAAATTATGGGGCGGGGGAGCCAATGTAATCCATAAACTGTACTTTGGAAATTTATATTTACTAAATAAAAAAAAAAAGATTCAAGAAAGAAGTGCCTGCACAGTAGTACATAGGACAATGAAACTTTTTTCTAACTTGGACAATCTATTTCTCCTTAGCTAAAGGCTACAAAATTGTACATCTAATATAATCACAACATAAATTCACTTTAAACAAAGTGATGTGAAAGAAAAAAAATATGTAATGAAATGATCCGAATTACTGGTGATGATGGGATGATAGATGATTTTCATTTACTTTTTGCTATTTTCCATTGCCTATTTTTAAAAATAGAAAATATTTTATGAAAAAGAGATTAGCAGCCTTCTGAAAGCATCTGTACTAAACTGTGATATCATTAAACATGTATATGGTCAATTGAAACCTTTCTTGTTTTTTATAAATTTTAAAAAAATTATTTGGTATATGTATTTGGCACAGTGGTTAGGATGCTACTTGGGAAACTGGCATCACATCCCATACTGGAAAATCAGGTTTAAGTTCTAGGTCTACCATCATCTGGCCTTCTGCTGATGTATACCCTGGGAGGCAGTGTTTCAAAGCTCAGGTACTCAGGCCACACCACCACCTGACTAAGTTCCAGGCTCTGCCTTCAGTCTGTCCCAGCCCTGGGTGTTATAGGCATTTTGGGAAGTTCTTTCTCTGTCTTTATCTCTGTTTCAAATTTTAAAAAATTATTTATTGATTTTAAAGGCAGACAAATAGGGGGTAGGGAGCTTGTGAGAAAGGGGACAAGCTCCCATCAGCCCACCACAGCTGGGACAGGGCCAATGGAAGCTGGGATTCAGGAACTTAATCCAGGTCTCCCACATGGTGGCAGATACCCAGTAATTTATATCAGCACCCAGAGTTTCCCTTATTAGAAAGCTGGAGTCAGGAGAGGGAACATGTTTCTGAACTCAGATACTCCAATATGGGACACAGCCACCCTATCTGCTGTCTTAACTGTTAAGCTAAATGCCCACCCCATAACCTCTTTTACAAAAAGAATTGAACTGGATTTACCTTATATTACTTGACTGTGAATACAGGATATAATTTTATTCCTACTGGATTTGGCCCACTTTTCTCAGAGCTTACGACTATTTCTAACACTTACTCTTGTGACTCAGTGCATTATCTAGCACTCCCAGAAGACAGGACAGAGTCAGGAGCACAGTCCTGTGCCCTGCTAGCAACTGTCCTGTTCCATCCAGGCTGAAAAATGAATCATGAATTACAATTTTGGGGTAATGTTGTTCACCCAGCTATGAATACATCTAACAGTGCCTTGGGATAGAGGAATGGGAGAGATGTCATTTATACAACTATGAATAGCTTGATTTTTTTTTTTTTTTTAATTTAAGAGACACATAGAAAGAGATAGCTGCTATCTTCTGGTTCACTCCAAATATCCTCAGTGGCCATGGCTAAGCCAGGCTGAAGCTGGAAACCAGAGACTCAGTTCAGGTTTCCTATGCAGGTGGTAGGAACCCATTTATTTGAGCCATCACCACTACTTTCCAAGGTCTGCATTAGCAGGAAGGTAGAATCGGGAGCCAGAGCTGGGACTCAAACCCAGGTACTGACACATAACTTGCAGACATTTTACCTGCTAGGCTAAGAGTTGTTTGTTACTCACCTATGTGGCTCTAATTTTTCTAAGAGTAATAACATTAGATAGATGCCTAATTTATCATAAGCGAGGGACTTAGCTATGACTCTATCTCTATGACTATTAAAGTGTTAATGACAAATCATCTTCCATAATTTTCCCACTTGGACAAAAATATAATACAATCTTCCTTAAACATAATGCTAAAGACTTAAAGATTAAAAGTCAATATATAGAAATTTATATTTAAAGTTTATCATGTGAAATAACCAAATCTTACGGAAGAAATACTATTTTAAGCTGGAATACCTGCATGGTGTTATTTCTTTAAAGAATCAACCCTCAGGGCCAGTGTTGTGGTATAGCAGGAAAAGTCGCCACCTGCAATGCTGGTACCCATGAGTGCTGGTTAGAGTCTCAGCTGCTTCACTTCCAATCCAACTCCCTGCTGATGCACCTGGGAAAAGCTGCATACAATGGCCTAAGTGTCTGGGCCCCTGCCACCTACATGGGACACCCATCCTGGCTTCAGTCTGGCCCAGCTCTGGCTGTTGCAGCCATTTGGGGAGTGAACCAGCAGATGGAAGATCGATTCTCTCTCTCTCTTACTCTTTCAAAAGAAGAAAAAAAAATCAACTACCACCAAAAACTTTCTGGTAACATACCTAATTTTCAAATTACCATACTAAAAAGGAAAACTCTGAATTTTTCTTCCATGAGAAAAAAAATGTATTGCTTTGAATATAAGGAATACCTATTTAAATGCCAGATTTTACCAAACATGTTGCTTTTCCTAAGAATTGCAGGGTTTTACAGGATTACTCTTGGATTTGTCCTGGGACTGGATATTGGTGAGAAGACCTATTCAGGGACGTCTGCAGTGGCAGCATCCCACATGGACACCGGTTTGAGTCCCAGCTGCTCTACTTCAAATCCAGATCTCTGGTAATGTACGTGGAAAGCAGTGCAAGACGGCCCAAGTCCCTGGGCCCTGCCACCCACAGGGGAGACCCGGAAGAAGCTCCTGGCTCCTGGCTTCCACCTGGAACAGCCCTGGCCATTGCAGCCATGTGGAGAGTGAATCAGCAGACGGAAGATTTCTCTGTCTCTCCTTTAACTATGCCTTTCAAATAAATAAATGTTAAAAAAAAAAAAAAAAAAAAGACAACCTAGTCATATGAATAAAATCTAGAACACTTGATGTAATTCCCCAAGCAGAAATGGAATCCATTAAACCAAGGGTCTTACAGTATCAAAAGAAAGCCCTCAAGTGTGTTAACTGCTAGCCAATCCAAATAGTTACATCTTTAAATTAAACTTCAGTGAAGGAAAACACAGTAGGTATGAAATGAGATGTCACGTGTCATACCTTCTCCACAATTCCCAGGTCTCCTTCAGCAATAACATGTCTCACTATCATGCCTGCCTTTTGAGCAATGGAATAAGCTGAGGCTACCAACCGCATCAACACAGTGTGACTGGAAGCCATGATGAGCCCTAAAGGAAATTGAGAAAAATGTTTTGTTACACTTTCAAAGCCAAGTACTGGTTTAATTTACCTGAATTCAATTCCACACATACTTATTGTGTGATTCCTTGGGACTGACACAGGCTACTGAGCATGGGAGAATTTGAATTTTTTTTCTTTTTTTGTGGGGTGTTCAGTGTGCACATACCCTGAAAGCTACATCCAAAGAAACTGCTCCAGTGGCTGAAAATATAAGATGTAACATGTGCCTTTGAGGAACTACTATTTTGCTGGGTTGTGGGTAACATAATGTAACCTAATATCTACAATATGAAACTGGTAAGTGCCAAGAGGGGTATGAAAAGTGTAAGGGGGAAGTATATGTGGAGGTAACTAAATAGGGGAGGCACTGCATGGGTCTACAATGATTTCTGAAAATCAATAACTATTCCTCTAAAGATTGAATAAAATTTCATCAGCAGCCAAATAATAGAGAACAAGCAACATATAACTACAGTAAAGTAATGAGTGTTAAAGAAGTCCCTAGTTCCAGTACAATGGAAAATGCTGCCTTAAGGATCCAGTGCGTTCCTCTTTGAAAATCAAACACAGACCCTGCAATTTAAAGGCAGGAGCTAAGCCTAGTGGTCATGATGCCCACATTGCACCTCAGAGTCCCTGAGTTTGATTCCTGGCTCCAGCTCCTGACTCCAGCTTCCTGCTGTTGCAGATCCTGGGAGGCAGTGACGATGGATCAAGTAAATGGGTTCCTGCCCCCAACATAGGAAACGTGGATTCTATTCCTGGCTTGCTGCCAGGCCCGGTTGTTGTGGGCATCTGGGAAGTGAACCAGTGGATGAGAGCTCTTTCTATAGATCTTTCTCTTCTAAAATAAAAAAATCCTGCCGTTTTGGTGACTGTTTTGGATGCTGGAGTGCACCTCTCAGATTCCATTCAGGACTGAAGAACTGGCCTCCCAGCTGTGGAAACTGCTGCCTATGGATGGTCCTTAGCTGCCATCTTTCTTTGGGCAGCTATGTGCTAAGCAGAGTCACCTCACTTGAAACTTGTCAACAGAACGGTTTAAAGGCCACTCTGCACCCCAACTGAACTGCCTCCAGATTTCTGAGGGGCACCCCAGCTTCTGAGTACCCAGTGAGGGCAATGGGTACCTTACTTGAGAATACATTCCAGCCCAGCATCCTTCTACTTCTTCCCTGCTATGAGTGGTCCCAAGAGGCCGGCGCCACGGCTCAATAGGCTAATCCTCCACCTGCGGTGCTGGCACCCCCAGTTCTAGTCCCGGTTGGGGCGCCAGATTCTGCTCCTCTTCCAGGCCAGCTCTCTGCTGTGGCCCAGGAGTGCAGTGGAGGATGGCCCAAGTGCTTGGGCCCTGCACCTGCATGGGAGCCCAGAAGCACCTGGCTCCTGGCTTTGGATCAGCGCAGCATGCCGGCCGCAGCGGCCATTGGTGGGGGTGAACCAACGGAAAAAGGAAGACCCTTTTTCTCTGTCTCTCTCTCTCACTGTCTACTCTGCCAGTCAAAAAAAAAAAAAAAAAAAGTGATCCCAAGAACACTACCTAATAACCTTCATGTACTTGAATGTTTATGGGGGAGGAACCTAGGACAGAAACCCTTCCACCTCTAAAGCAGATCAAGCCAACACTATTTCCTTGCCATTAGGGAGTACACTATTTTATATATATATATATACACAAAAAAAATATGTTATATAAAGAGAAAGGACTTAAAAATCCTCAATTCAGAACAGTCATTTTCTACCACAAACTCTACTTAAGTATTAGATTTGAGGTATCTTTTAACTCCTTTTTTTCTATCACCTGTATTCTATTTACAGAATGATAAACAAAATTGAGATGATAAACTTAAGTGAAGTTTTCGAAACTTTTTAAAAAAGAAGAATTGAAATTGATGTAAGTAATGAGTGCCATACTATACCAATAGCTCTCTGGAATTACAATGAAAATAACATGGCTTATCTTATGTCATAATCAGGCTAGATTGGTTTTCTTAGCATATTTGGTATTACACGTTGACTATAACAGTTGTGATTACTACCAATTCAGGAAAACCTCAAATAGAAAGCGAGGAAGAATATTTAGCAAACACTTTGGAGGACTTAAACAACTCTTTTATATCTATGACCAGTCTTACATCTGATTTATTCTGTGCTGGAAAAGTGGCCTTCAAGCAACTAATGTATTCTACCCAGATGTCTTAACTCCTGAGAACGTTAGAACATGTGTTGCTTTGTTGTGGCTATCCCCATGTTATAGAAGACTTATGTGACAGGAAGATCATTTTTCTTCACTATATAGTATCGTTACAACTTTTCATAGATATCATTTACCTTTGAGCCTGCTTAAGCAATCATTTGAGCCTTGTCAGGCTTCATACATGTTTTCTCCTCTTCCTCTTATGTTTGCCAAGTCCATGGTATTTTCTTATTTCAAAGAAAACCTTTTAGTTTTTAACTGTGTACTGCTTCCCTCACAAAATGTATGCAGGGGCCAGCACTGTGCCATAGTGGGTTAAGCCACTGTGTATGATGCCAGCTTTTCATATCTGAGTACCGTTCAGGTCCCAGCTGCTCTGCTTCAGATTTAGCTTCCTGCTAATGTGCCTGGGAAAGTAGCAGCAGATGGCCCAAGCACCTGGGCTCCTGCCACCCACGTGGAAGACCTAGACAGAATTCTGGGGTCCTGGTTTAGCCCAGCCCTGGTTATAGCAGCCATTTGGGGAGTGAACCAGATTTTTTTTTCTTTTTTTGGAGTTTCTAGTTTATTTGAACTGGCTGTCAGCAGCCCCACCATGGAGCAGGAACCCAATAGTTGGGAGCCTGGGGCTGAAGAAGGGAGGTATGTCCAAGTGTGAGATACAAAAGGTACTCAGCTGAGCAGAAAGAGCAGCAATGGGCAGGAGAGGCCAGGCCTGATGGAGCACAGCCTCACTCATGGCCTCAGCGTAGAACCTCACCACCTCTCTTTCTCTCTCTGTTTCTGCCTCTCTCTATATATCACCCTGCCTTTCAAACAAATAAATCTTTTTTAAAAACAAAAATTAAAAAAAAAAGAATGAAAAAAATGAAGTTTGATATAAAGCTAACCGATTCATAAAGAGAGATTCCACAAATCACTTTTAGTTGGCAAATGAAGTATTTCAAGCATTTTTTTTTGAGGTCTAGAAATTAACTTTTATTTTAAATCTGTCAAGAACTCCTGGCATGTCTTAAGCTTATTATTATTACATCTGGCAAAACAAAGGAGCGAGGTCACTCTCTGCAACATAAATGAGAGAGCCTCAGCTGCTGACTCAGCATCGTGCAAGAGTCTTTGAAAGGACTTCAATTTCCAGAAAATGTTTAAAGCAGCAAAAGAAAAAACAAAAGTAACTGCAATTGCAGCTATTGCCAAGGCTGTGCTAATTATAAAATCTTCTTGATGTGTTTATATGCCAGATGGCATGTCAAGCATTCTTCTCTGATATACTTCTCTGGTCCAAAGTAATGAAATAGCATTATCCCTTAGCTCTAATAGTTTTCTTTTTAAAAAAAGAAATGGATACAATTTTTGGTTCTTAGTATAAAGAAATGCAGTAAACCATATTATTAAAACACAAGATCTATGAAAGAGGTTCCTGCTTGCCTTTTTAATTGTGCCCTCTCCAGGTGCTCATATGAGAATTACCTTTTGATGCTACAGGTGGACTAAGAACAATGCCCAAACTAGTTGAATGCAGGTTAACTTCCTTAAAGCGGTTCAAATTACACCCACTGTACTCCCTTCTCTACTAATTTTACACCTTGGTGCTAAAAACACTACCTTTTATGACCATGCCTTTCTGAAAGCTGAGTCAACGGCATAGTGGTTAAGGGCATGAGCTCTGAAAACAAATACCTGTGTTCAAATCCTGGCCCTAGCACACATTAGCTGCATGGTCTTGAGAAAGACACTGAAATTCTGTGCCTAAACCTAAAATGGAGACAACAGAGGTACCTACAATATAGTGGTGTTACAATTATTAAATGAGTAACACCTGTAAAGCATTTGCCTTTTTAAGCCTGAAATAATACTGACTAGCTAATAATACTACTATTAAATTATGTCCTAAGTTTTGACTATGAGGCAGTGATAAGGAGACAAAGTTCTTATAACTTTTGCAATAGCTTTTGACTTTCAGAATGCAATATGATAATCACCATGACCCTTAATCAGAGAATTTCTTTTTCACAACATTCTGGCCTTGGGTATAGAGTAGATATGAAAAAGGGTTGCATAACATCCAAAGTAATCAACCTAACACCCCCATCTATTTAAGAAATCTTTACAACTGCCAATGGGACTAGGTTAGAAGGATGAAAAATAACAGGAATCAAAGAACCAGTTTCTTATCATAGCCTGGGAGAGGTATCTTGAATTCAATTTAAAGATGGTGAGCATATGAGGATTGGGCTATAAAACTAACGTGTTTCTGATTAAAATACTAAAATTATTTATCTTTTTTAAATCTCTTTTTTATTTTGTATTTATTTTTTTGACAGGCAGAGTGGACAGTGAGAGAGACAGAGAGAAGGTCTTCCTTCCGTTGGTTCACCACCAAATGGCCACTGCGGCCGGCGGGCTGCGGCCGGCGAGCTGCGGCCGGCACACCGCCCTGATCTGAAGCCATGAGCCAGGTGCTTCTCCTGGTCTCCCATGCAGGTGCAGGGCCCAAACACTTGGGCCATCCTCCACTGCACTCCCGGGCCACAGCAGAGAGCTGGACTGGAAGAGGAACAACCGGGATTAGAACCCGGGGTGCCGGCGCCGCAGGTGGAGGACTAGCCTAGTGAGCCGTGGCGCTGGCCAAAATTATTTATCTTTAAGACCCTGGCCAAATGATGCTAAAGTTCATAATCCTCTGGAAAAAAAAATAAAAATAGGTGTATGACAGTAAATTCTGAAAACAATGAATAAATATACTTCTCCTATCAATTATCAAAACACATAAAATCGTAATTAAAACAGTTTAGCTAGAGACACTAATGAATTACACTAAAAAATTGACTCAAACACTAACTGATATTTCCAATCACAGAGGAAAATCAATTGCACATAATTTTGATAACTCTAAAAATGTTAAGTCCTTTTGCATTTTTTGTATCAAAATATATTCTAGGTCAATGCATGGTTTTTTTTAAAAAATGAACCCATAATGGTATGAGACTATAACATGAATGAAATGCCTTATTAGCCTGATAAATAATGGCAAATTTGCACAAAAATTAAAATTTCTACATAGCCACAATGCCATAAACAATTAGGTAATTACAAGATGATCTTTAAAAGTCTTGTATCATGAAGTAGACAAATGGGCTAGTCTGGAAAGGGCTCTCAGACATCAATGTGTGAAAGATGAATAATGCAAAAGAAAAATGAGCAAGGACAAGACCAAGCAATTTCTAGAAAAAGACAAACAATAATCATTAAAATGTATGACATGTTCCCATGTTCCGAAAAGGCAAATGAAAGCAAAGAGAAGTGATTGTTAATTTCTAAGACTGGCATAGATAAGAAAAAGGCTGCCCTGTTTGCAAAGAGGGTGGGGACCATGTTCCTGAGCACTGCTGATATGGAGAAGAGAGCAGTGAAACCTCTCAGGAGGGTTTTGAGAATCTCAGTAAAAGTAAAATGTTCTCTTAAAAAAAAAAACCTAGCAATTGTATTTCCAGGAAAGCCCAAAGAAATCATGAATGACTACAAATATGTGGAAATATCACCTGGAAGAACATCTGATAGTCTCATGAAAAGTACTTTTAGTTCTAAGACGATTTCTAAATTTGGGTGCCCGAACGAATTCAGTGTCTTGTTGTTGCCTTGTTGTTGCCGTAAAGTACAGCTACGAGACGACCCCAGAGCACGAAAAGCACAGACAATCCAGGAAAAATCAAGAGCCTTAGGCCGAGGGGGCTGGAGCGGTGGCCTAGCGGGTAAAGCCGCCGCCTGCAGTGCCAGCATCCCATATGGGTGCCGGTTCTAGTCCCGGCTGCTCCACTTCCGATCCGGCTCTCTACTGTGGCCTAGAAAAGCAATAGAAGATGGCCCGGGTCCTGGGGCCCCTGCACCCCCGTGAGAGATCCGGAAGAAGCTCCTGGTTCCTGGTTTCAGATCGGCACAGCTCTGACCGTTGCAGCCAATTGGGGAACTAGCGAAGACCTCTCCTCCCCCTGTATAACTGACTTTCATGTAAATAAATGAATCTTAAAAAAAAAAAAAAAAAAAAAAAAACTAAGTCCAAAATCGGGACATTTGGAGGGGGCAATCCATTCACATAGTTGCGTGGGGTTTTTTTTTTTTCCTTATTTTTTTAAACCTAACTCTTGTTACCTGTGCACAGGGGTGGAATTAACAAATCAAGACACTACTCAGATCCGACAGGCAGGGGAGACTTACAGCGACAAACGAAGAGGCACCACGTTAGAAGACACCGCAGGGACAACGACAACTGCGTTAGGAAGCCAAAGGTCCCTCTCGGCGTCCACTACCGCAGGAGGTCATTTGGGGCTGGAGGGCAACCCTGCCGTAGCCACTGGGCATGCGGCGGATTCGGCGCAAGCGCACAGTGGCTGCTTCGATAGCCCGCCGGATGCGATCCGCAGGAGGGATCCTTGGCTCCGTGTTTTCCTCAAGCTCTCCGTAGGTGCTGGTCACCCGGCGTGCAGCGGTAGGCCGGTCTACTTTCAGAGACTGACGTTTGTTTTGGGTGTCTTCCTTTCCATTTTGCGCAGTTGACTCTTTTTTATTAAAAAAAAAAAAAAAAAAAGTGTTCGCTAGGTTAGCAGTAGGGCTCCGCGGCTGCGGCTACTTCACTTAGGGGTTCGTCCAGGGTCTCGGGGTGTCCACCGAGCCATCCGTCTCCACCTCCCCGGCCACAAATCAACTTTACGCAGAGTTCAGTGTGCTTACTCCCAGTCCCCTATGCTCTTCTAAACCTTCCATTGGCGGCCCTCTCTGCCGCAGCTCCAGCTCCGCGTCCTCACAGACCATGGCGAGGCCCCCAGCGAGTCGCCCTCCTCCTGCTGGCCGCTACCGGGGCCGTGACCCACCTCGGCCGGCGCGAGAGCGGGGCGTCTGCTGCGCCGGGTGCCCGCAGGTCGCCCAGGTCAACGAGCCGGGAGCGCAGCGCGCATTGAGCTTGGCGCTCGGCTAGTACAAGACGAGCAAAGATGCGGACCGGGAACCTCTCAAGGGGTGTGTGCCCACAGCCGCAGATCTTAGCTGGCGTGAACTTCTTCAGGGAGCGATACAGACGGAACCAGTTCACCAAGTCGCTTAGCAGCTTGTGCCACCTGCCCCTTTCATGATCAGCCAACCTGAAGAGTAAAGTGCTCTGCCCTTTGCAGATCTACAGCGTGCCCTGCGTGGGCACGGTCTCTATGGTGAATGGAATGCAGCTGTCAGAATGCGTTGGGGTCTGTGCCAGGCTAACCTTTACCCAGTCTTCCTCATATATCCTTGCCCCAGTGCTTAGATGGGTGCCCCTTAGCCCTGCTGGAAGTCTCGGGGTGCAGCACCTAAGGCAAGCACAGAACGCTTCCAAGGCAGTTCCTTTCTTTTCGTCGCTTGTCAAATACACAGCTATGAGGTACATAAGTGCTGCTCCTACGTCCATGAAAATAACAGGGCAAGCGTTTCAGTGCAACGGATTCAGCTGCTGCTCGGGACGTGAGCATCCTATATGAGAGGGAATGTCCAGGATCCAGCTTCCTGCTAATGCAGAAGGATATGAAACTGTAGGTCAAAGATCAAGTGCATTTTAAATGGTCATTGATTTTCCAAATTGCTGCTCAGAAAAACAATGTGTATTTCACAAAACTTCCAGCAGTCCACTTGCTCTGTCTCCCAAGCCCTGTTATCAAACTTCTTTATTCCACATCATAACTGCCTGCTTTCAAAACCCTAAAATTATGCATCCTGTCTTCATTTTCATTTTTTGTGTGCTTGAATTGCCTGTGCTTTTTTGTCTTTCTTTTCTGTTGGGTTGTTTGTAGTTATCTTTTTGATTTGTAGCCATTTTTTTTTTTATTTTTTATTTTTGACAGGCAGAGTGGACAGTGAGAGAGAGAGACAGAGAGAGAAAGGTCTTCCTTTGCCGCTGGTTCACCCTCCAATGGCCGCCGCTGCAGCCGGCGCACCGCGCTGATCCTGGCAGGAGCCAGGAGCCAGGTGCTTTTCCTGGTCTCCCATGGGGTGCAGGGCCCAAGCACCTGGGCCATCCTCCACTGCACTCCCTGGCCATAGCAGAGAGCTGGCCTGGAAGAGGGGCAACCGGGACAGAATCCGGCGCCCCAACCGGGACTAGAACCCGGTGTGCCGGCGCCGCAAGGTGGAGGATTAGCCTATTGAGCCACGGCGCCGGCTCTGTAGCCATTTTTTTTTAAGAATTATTTTATTTATTTGAAAGAGTTACAGAGAGAGGTAGTGCAAGGTGTCCGGCGCATAACAAATCTTCCCAGGCAGACGAATCAATTAATTCACAGGCTTTTATTGGGGTTCCGCCCCCCGGGCGAGGTTCCACAGTCCCAACAGAGAAACAGAGTGGGGGCCAGGGAAGTTGCCTGAGAGATTGGGAGAGCTCCTTTTATAGATTCAGGGCATGGGAGTTAAAAGTTGAGGCGGGTCCAGTCCTCATTGGTTGACCTTTAGGCACCCTCAGGGACCTTGACAAGGACCCCCCCCCCCCGGAAGTACAGGTAGGAACCTTCCATTCCCGGAAGTATAGGCCTTCCTTCCGTGTAGATCCCAAAGCTACCAGGTAGAGCTCGAGAGAGAGAGGTCTTCCATTCCGCTGGTTCACTCTCCAAATGACCGCAATGGACATAGCTGAGCTGATCCAAAATCAGGAGCCTGGAGCTTCTTCCAGGTCTCCATGTGGGTGCAGAGGCCCAAGGATTTGGGCCATCTTCTACTGCCTTCACAGGCCATAGCAGAGCTGGATCAGAAGAGGAGCAGTCAGGACTTGAACGGTGCCCCTATGGGATGCCGGCGCTGCAGGCTGGGGCTTTAACCCACTGTGCCACAGCGCCGACCCCTGTAGCCATACTTTATATATGTTGTTTTTTATATGTTTTAAATATTTTCTATAGTTTAGGGAAGGCAATATAGTGTGGTGACTATGCACATAAGCACTGTAGCTTAATTGCTTGGATATTGATTCTAGCTTTGCTTCTTCCAATTGTATGATCTTGCAAGTTACTTAACTCTGCAGTGCCTCAGTTTTCTTATCTGGAAAATGAGAATACTCATAGCGTTGTTAGGTAGGAAGCTAGAAATTAGCCTGTGTGTGTGAGAGGGGCCTGAGGAAACCAGCATCTGCACTTCAAAGTCCTGCCTAGACCCTGATAACCTTCCAGGTGGTCCCAGCCTTTCCCCCACCAAGGAAAGCTCCCAGGAGAAATCTCTCCTCAGGACTTGATAACATGGGGCAATGTAACTTTCCCAGATGCCCTAAGGGGAAGCCCCTCTGCCCAGAGCCAGCAAACCTGGGGAAGAATTTCCTAATTTACACTCAGCAAACCCTTTGTCCTAGAGGAGGAGGAGGGGAAGGAGAAACCTGAACCCTTTCTCCCTTCTGAGCCTGCTATTTAACCATGTAACCTCACTTTCCCCCAGTCTGAGAGACTGGGCACACTCTCTGTCCCTTCCATTCTGATGGATGCCCTGTCCCCCATAAAACCTTGCTACTTTGCTCCCTGTCTCATGCCTGGATTCCTTCTTCTTTCAGTGAAAGAAATGTACAGAAAAGTGAGGACTTTATTTAGGAGAGAAAGAAGTCTAGAAGCACAAGTTGGGTCCATACCAGGCAGAGAGCAGGCTGGGAGCCCCGTGGAGCAAGGCATTTGATTAGGAGCAGCCACAGATAGGCAGAGGCAGAGAGGCTGCGAATAACAAGGGAGGGGCCCACTGTGCTCCAGGCCTTTTATTCACTTCCAAAGGGGCATGGTTACATAGTCTGATTGGCAGGTGGGCATACTGGTGAGATCATGAAAGGCGGCATGGGGGATGGCGTGGTCTCCAGCTTACGAATCTAATCAATTTAATCCTATCTGCCTGCCTCTATCAATTGGAGGCTACTGCAGGAACACGGAGTGGCTGAAGAAGTGTGTGGAGGACAACCTGGTGAGGTCGAGAAGGAGGCCCACACTGAGGAAAAGCTCAAGCTGGAGATTGTGTAGGTCCAGAGCAAGGGCCAAGCAGAGGCCTTGGCCTTCCAGGGAAGCCTGAGGAAGACGTAGATGCAGATCCAGTCTCTGAAGATGACCTTGAAGCAGAAGGTGACGCAGAATGACAAACTGACTGGAATCCATGATGACCTCATCTCCAAGACTGACAAGAACTGACAGCCGGCTCTCCTGAGCCTTCTCTCGCTACCTGCTTTTTAAGCTAGAGTCTTGTTAAAAGACTAAATAAAATTTCCCTTAGGTTGAAAAGAAAAAGCTTTCTCTATTTTTTTCCTTCTATTTTGTCAAAAATATGGCACTTTTAATTTTTTTATTTATGTAAACATCTATTCTGAATATTGTGTTTTACAATCAGGATGGCCATTCCCAAAAGGTATTTTTTACAATGAAGTAGTAACAGTTTTGAAGTGTTAAGAAGTGGGCAACCAGCCACAGCAGACTCCATCAGAAACAAGAGAAGTTGCCACATGTATACTGTTTTATAGGAGTAGGCTACGAAGGTGCTTAGGGAATCTTTAGTTAATTAAAATTATGGGCAGCCACTGGTTTGAACTCAGCTCTTGCACTAAGCCCAAGAACCAACCCCAATGGAGACACTCTGTGATTCCAGCTGAGCACAGGTGCCCTGAGTTTACTACTAAGACCTTGGGAGAAATCAGGAGAGATGACAGCCAATACTATTGAACCTAGAGGGTTGTTTCTGCCTCTAACAACCAGACCCCTTTTGGCTCCTTGTCTCAGCTCTCCTGGGCCTTCTCTGCCTATAAAGTGCACCATTTTAATTCTTTATGTGTTGTAGCGTTGGTATAGCTGTCAAGCGTGCGCGTGCATGTGTGTCTTTAAGAGGCAGTGCACCAGGATGCGCACGTGAGCCCGCGGGCAAGGGTCGCCGCGGCGGCATGGAAAACCCGGAACTGGCTGACTGCGCCAGGGCTGTGCTTCCCGCCGGCTCCCCGCCCCTTCCGTGCTCCCCGCGCGTGCGCACTCACGCACGGCGCGTCTTTGGGGTTTTTAGTGCAGTTGTGTCCCAAAACCCGGTAGGGAGTCCTTGTGCTAAGCAGGTGGGCGCAGCCATGCGTTGGGGGCTGCGTCGTCATGGGCCCGGGGCGTCGACCTTGGCCGCGGCCCGGAGTTTGTGGGGGCCGCCCCGCCTTCCGCGCCGCCCCGGGTGGCGAGGAACGACCCGGAGGCTTGTGGTGCGCTCCGTCTCTGGGGCCAACAGCCAGCAGACGAACCCGGAGAGCGGCAGGTACCGGGGCACGGTGCTGCTGCCGCAGACCAGCTTCCCCATGAAGCGGCTGGGCCGGCAGCAGCCGGACACGGAGCTGGAGCTCCAGCAGGTACGGGCCCGCCTCAGCGCGGGCCTCCGCGGGGCGGGCGGGGTCAGCGGGCCCGGCCCGGCGGCTGGGCGCGCGTGTTGTGGCCAGCTCGGGGGAGATCCTCCGCTCGCTTTCAGTTTTTTGTTTGAAAACCAAAGTGAAGGAACCTCTAGATAAGTGTTTCAGTTGGGGCAGGTTCTGGAGCGCGATGTACCGAATGCACGCCCCTGCTTCTTACATAGGCCAAAGAAACCGACCTTGGAGTCATTCCCGGAGACCTATAAAAGTTGATTCCTCTGTACACGTAGAAACAAACAGCCACAGGGCTGAGGGGAAGTGGAAGCCCACCCTTGTACCGTGAGACCCCTAGCTGGAAAGGTAAAGGTGCAGGACCTCTCCGAGTCCTCCTTGTACAAATCGGTGCGTCTGTCTCTTGTAGACTGAACTTTGTAAGGGCAGAAAATTCGTTTTGTTGGTTTTTGTACTTTCAGAGTCTTAAAAAAAACCTCTGTAATTTCTATTCTTATAACTAGTTCCAGGTTATAAGTCTGTTTTGCTCATCTAATTTTTTAAAGAGTTTGACACAGTACCTTGTGGATGCTAGGAAGTGTGACAGTTTGACTTTTTCATTCAGTCTTTACATCCGCCCTGTGAAAGAGATGCTATTTTCAGATGAGGAGACAGGCCCATGAGCTCACTCAGCAAGTGAGGGAAGGGGAGTGGGATTGCAGGGAGTGTTGTTCCAAACTTAGGGATTGCCAAGTGCTGAAGCCAAAGAGTAGCAAGGATAAAGAAAGATGCGCTTTAGCGGGGATCTACAGTTCCTTCAGCATCCTGGCACGGAGGGGTGGGGAGGCTGCCTGAGAACTTGGTGGCACCGAACCTTGGAGTTTTATTTTAAAAATTTCTCAATTTTTTTGAAAGGCAGAGTTACAGAGAGAGTGCTTCCATTTGCTGGTTCACTCTCCATGTGGCCACAATGGCCAGGGGTGGGCCAGGTCAAACGCGGGATTCTGGAATTCCATCTGGGCTTCCAATAGGGGTGCAGGGGTCCATGCACTTGGGCCATCATCTGCTGCTTTCCCAGGTGTATTAGCAGGGAACTGTACTGAAAATGATGCAGCTGAGACTGGAGCTGTCACTCATGAGATGCCAGCTTTATAGGCAGGGACTTAACTTACTGGCCCCTCGCCCCACTAAACCTTTATAGGGTCCTGTCTACCACATGGAAAGTTTAGACTTTAACCTGGGAAACCATTGAAAAGTTTTAAGAGTCCTTAGCTGTGCTTTCAGAAACCTCACCTTTTGTATTTAGGAGTTGAATAGATGGGAATGGGTTAAGAAATAAGCAAATGTTGGCTGTTATGTATGCTAAGATTCAGGAATACCATGTGTTTATATGATGTTTACACATTGTTCTTTTTAAACAGAAATGCGGATTTGCAGAACTTTATTCATGGCAAAGAGAAAGAAAAGTAAAGACAGAATTTTGTCTTCACGATGGACCTCCTTATGCAAATGGTGACCCTCATGTAGGACATGCTTTAAATAAGGTAATTATAATTTAGATTATGACACTTGAAAAAACATGTTTATGTAAACACTCTTCAATATAATTATATACCAATTATTTATATTGGTATGTAAAACTAAAAGTTAAACTAGAAAGCATCAATAAACAGTTTTAGTCTTGCATGAAAAGTTGCTGATACTTGCTTTGAGCTTACTGTGTTCATAAATATTTTATTTAGTCTATAATTATTGAATACCTTTTATGAGCCAGACATTGTAGATTCTGGGAATAGCACTGAGTAAAATAAAGACCTGTCCTGTCCTTATGCTTTAGAAGGAAGATATAAAAAAGATTAAAAAAAAAAAAAAAAAAGACATGTATAATGTGCCAGAGAGTGATGAGTGCTTTGGAGGGAAGCAAAAGCAGAGGGGAGGGTTAGGGAAGGTCATCTCTGAGACAACTCGTTGAATTTAAAAGTAATAAAAGGGATTTTTCACATTTAAGCTTGCTGCAAGTCACTTCTTTCCATTTTTTCCTCTTCCTCCAGGGCTGCCGGTTTAGCTGAGTGGCTGCTAAGAGCAAATTTTGTTATAGGGCTGTCTGTATTGAAATACTGAACTTCAATCAGAATGTAAATAGACGTTGTTACTAAGTATACATTATTTCAGCTGAAATAATTTTTGTAGCAAGACTTGAAGAAGAAAGCAGCGTTGATTTTCATTGTAATATAAAACTCCATATATTGATGTAGATCCATATCTTGAGTAGTAAAATTTTAGAACATGCAAGAAATCTAAAACAATATACCCAAAGCAGTGATTGCCTAGGGAGGTAGGTTGAGTGGGAATAGGGCATTTATTTCAAAGGTATGTAAGGAAACTCCTGGGAAACAGATTTGTGTTTGAGATCTTTCTCTGTAAGTGGATAAACAAATGTACAAAACAGTCAAAGCCCATCAAACTGAATAATTTAGGATTTGTGCCTTTTACTGCATGTTATTCTTAATGATCAGTGATTAAAAAGTTGCCTTAATAGTTAAATAAATCTGGAAAATTAAGTAAGTTTAAATAGTCAAGAATGTGATTTTGTATAGTTAAGATTTGGAGAAAGATGAAGAATGAGTTGCTATATCAAATATGACTCTATTGCAGTATTTTTTTTTTTTTTTGACAGGCAAAGTGGACAGTGAGAGAGACAGAGAGAAAGGTCTTCCTTCCGTTGGTTCACCCTCCAATGGCTGCCGTGGCCAGCGTACCGCGTTGATCCGAAGGCAGGAGCCAGGTGCTTCTCCTGGTCTCCCATGGGGTGCAAGGCCCAAGCACTTGGGCCATCCTCTGCTGCACTCCCTGGCCACAGCAGAGAGCTGGCCTGGAAGAGGAGCAACCTGGACAGAATCCGGCGCCCCGACCAGGACTAGAACCCGGTGTGCCGATGCCACAGGCAGAGGATTAGCCTAGTGAGCTGTGGCGCCGGCCCCTCTATTGCAGTATTAAAGCAGTCTGGTTCTGATGCAGGCCAACAGGGCCATATAGGCTGGTCTGGCCTGGTCTTATAATGCCAAAATACACAGGAACTTCCAACAGTCACTATCTTTGCTTAAAGCTGATTGATATTAGGCTTACTGTGTCCTATCATAACATTCCGTATGTAGTGAAAACCAAGCAAAGGGTGGAGTTTCATTTTTAAAGACTAAGTCGGCATTTTGGACAACATGTTCTGTTTGTTTTTATAAAGATTATTTTATTTGAAAGGCAAACTTACAGAGAGAGGGGGAGAGAGAGAGAGAGCTTCCATCTGCTGGTTCATTCCCCAAATGGCCACTATGGCTGGAGCTGGGGAGACAAGCCAGGAACCAGGAGCCAGAGGCTTCATCCTGGTCTCCCATGTGGGTGCAGGGGCCCAAGCACTTGGGCCATTTTTCCGCTGCTTTCTCAGGCGTGTTAGCAGGGAGCTGACTCAAAAGTGGAGCAGTAGGGAATCGAACTGAGGCCCATTTGGAATGTTGGTGCTACAGGTTGCACTTAACCTGCTATACCACAACACTTGGCTCAGGTCAACAGAGTATTGGCAGTAGAACCTGGACAGCATTTACCAAACACGGTAGGGAAAGCTCACATTCTGCATTATAAAAAAGACAGCAAGATATTAACTGTTACAGAAATGAAATAAGATGGAAAACTTTAACAAACCATTTAAACTGTTTTCTTAAAGAGACTTTTTGTCCTGGTCAGTCATCTATCAGGAAGCAATTCTTCACATAATTGATGAATTTAGGCCGGGGCCATGGCTCACTTGGCTAATCTCCGCCTGTGGCGCCGGCACCCTGGGTTCTAGTCCCAGCTGGGGCGCTGGATTTTTGTCCCGGTTGCTCCTCTTCCAGTCTAGCTCTCTGCTATGGCCTGGGAGGGCAACAGAGGATGGCCCAAGTGCTTGGGCCCCTGCACCCACATGGGAGACCAGGAAGAAGCACCTGGCTCCTGGCTTTGGATCGGTGCCAGCCGTAGTTGCCATTAGGGGAATGAACCAACGGAAGGAAGACCTTTCTCTCTGTCTCTCTCACTGTCTATAAACTCTACCTGTCAAA